GTACAGCAATGCAGATTTTCTGGTCGAACCACTGTAATGAAGAGAGAGAGAGAGAGAGAGAGAGAGAGAGAGAGAGAGAGTTAAAGAGAGAGAGAGAGAGAGAGTTAAAGAGAGAGGGAGAGAGAAGGACTCCGTCTGGAGCCACGACGGCAGCCCCGACGAGCCGACGAGCCCCTTTTAGCAGTGTCGAAAGCAGTCGCAGGCTCGTTTAGTCGCTCCGTGTCTCCGTCGCTCTGGCAGGGCGTTCCGCAGGGGTGCGAGGGAGACAGCCGAGGACAGCGACACGATCGACTGTATTTATGAATTTGTCTAGTGGGTAGATGTGAACTCCAAGGAGCCCCCACCCCCTGGGCTTCATTACGCAGCTGTCACCACGCATCTGTCACACTGTTGCCCAGGACGGCCCCCGTAAAGCCTGGAGTTGACGCTGCGACGCGGGCGGGACGGCGACGGCGACATTGTCCAGATCAGCCGAGCGATGCCGAAGATAGGTTCGTCGCTCTGTCTCCCTCGCACCCTCACGGAGAGCCCCGTGAGTGCGACAGAGACAGAGCGACGAATGAATCGCTCGGCCCGCTGCGTACGTTTTCTATTAGGGTGAAAAGTCGTAAAAGAGGCGGTGGCTCCCGCAGCGCTGTCCCGCTATCAAACCTGTGGGCACCTGAGTGGGCCCGGCGGCCTTGTCCATCGCCGTGAGCACCGCCTCTTGTAATCCGGTCTCGAGACTGATTTTTGTCACCGTGTCTCTTTCACTCACACCCTTACGAGACGCTCCACGAGTGCGAGAGAACCAGAACGACGAAAGAGACTTTTGGTTATTTTTGGTCTGCGGGGCGGGAAGGCCCAGCGCGGGTGGATGGATGCCGTGCGAATGCCGTGCTTGTCACGGCGCGGTGTCCGCAGCGTCTCGCGGGGCTGCAGGTTGATTCCGCGCCACTGCTTGTCGCTCTGTCTCTCTCGCACCCACACGGGCGGGTTGCACGGGCGGGACGCCCCACGAGTGCGAGAGGGACAGAGCGACGGAAGCAGAGATGGGAATCAGTCCGCCGCGTGCGGGCGGAATTGGCGGAATCGCGTGGCGGGCGACATGATGCACTTGGCGGGGGCGCGGGGAGCGTGCGTGTTGTCTCTGGGGCGGTCCCTCCTGGCCGTGGTCCTGGCGGTCCTGGGAGGCAGGCAAGGCAGGGGCGGGACGAGGCGCTGGCCCAGCCAATAGTGTAGCCCGGCCTGGCCGCCGTGGCCGAGCGGCGTGGAGGGGCGGGCGGACTGGCCCGCTGCCACCGCTGCGCAGCGCGAAGGCAAGGCGCTCCGCCTCCGCCCGCGTCAGTCAGTCAGTCAGTGCGCGAAGCCCAGCCAGTGCAGTGCGCAGTTCCAAGCCGCGGGTCGGAAGCCCCTCCGCGGCACCTCGCCCGGCTCGTGTGTGTGCCTGTGTGTCTGTGTGTCTGTCTGCAAGACCGTGGATCTGTGTGCGCGTGCCCACGGCGTGCCCACGGCGTGCCCCAGCCTTCAGCACTCGTTCAAGTGCCGGCGGTTTCAGCGAGCAAGCCGCCGCCTACGCTACGCCCCCCGCGGCCGTGTGCATGCTCGGCAAGGACCTGCGTGTATGTGTGTGTGTGTCACCCCAGTGACAATGCGCCCAGGTGAGAGGGCATAGGGCAGCTTCGCTTGCCAAAGCGCGCCGAAGCGAGGCGTCGAACCTGGAGCCTGTTGCGCGCGTCTTGGACGTGCGGTGTTTCGTGGCCGTCATCAACAACCAACAAGCATCACTCACGGTGTAGTAGCCGGTAAGTGTCCTGCCAGGTGTGCGGGTGTGGGTGTGTGTGTGTGTGTGTGCGCGCGCGTGTGTGTGTGTGTGTGTGTGTGTGAGTGAGTGAGTAGGGGTGTGTGTGTGTGTGTGTGTGAGGTCACTGCCGCACTGCCCCCAGCCCGCAGCTGATACGATCGGTGTCGCGGGGCCTTGCCCGCAAACCGGCGTGACTCGGTACGGTACATTGGAAAGTGGGAGCTGTAGAGAACACAACATACTTGTCGGAGCGGTCCGTCTGTTTGCGGGGCGGGAAGGGGCTGGCAAAATCCGTCTACAGCAGTGTATTCTTTTGGCGTTCTCGAATCTTGTCGACCTTGTTTTCAACTGTCGTGTGCTGGAATGATGCGGACGAGGAGGCCGCGGCAGCGTCCATGGCTGGTCACCCGAGTGTCGTTTTTTGCTCAAACTCTGTCTCTCTCGCGGGCGTCCCGTTGATGCGAGAGGTACAGAGCGACGCATGACGACTGGGTGCCGTTCGCAGGCCGTGCACTGAAAACGTAATGGTCGGACACATGGCCAAATTGTGGCGCGACAAAAAGTCGCGCCGAAAAGCTCTAGCCTAATTATACACACCTGCATTCGGTCCGGAAACGAAGTTCACTGCAAGAAAAAGCCGCAACAAAAGAGCGCTAATTCCTGGCAAATTTTTAATCGGGAATTTGTAGTTCTTTCAAAGTACAAAAATTGTTGTACAAATCACAATAGAACCGGCGTGACGAGTGCTGTGTGCAGTCCAGGCCTCGTTGTAGCTATGTAGCTTGTACAAATCTCTTTGTACTTACTACAATCACCGTTGGGTTGTTTTTTTCGTACAGTTTTCGTGGTACTTTTTTTGTACTATTCACACTTTCCTATCCGTCGAAGCGACTGGGTCGGCAGGCGACGGATGCCGTCTGACGCGGCGCATCTCGGCGGCAGCAGTAGGGGGCTGTCCATAAAATACGTCACGCGTTTTTGGGTCATTTTTGATTCCCCACCCCTCCCTCATCACATCTTTGTCACACACGCCTGTAAGTACCGTAGGCGGAAAGCATGGCTGTGCTCTTCTTGAGCAGATGGAGGGTGCTCGCAATGCTCACACACTGCGTACTTTTGTTGTGCGTAGCTTTTGCGCGGCATGCGCTTGAAACGCTGCCACGCTTGGTTCGCACTATGAATAGTGTGACTGTCCCACACGTGGGTGCATTGTGGCGCGTACCGGTTGGCGCGTAGTGTACAAGCTAAATGGCCCGTCATGTGCCCGCGCGCTCTCGAGAGCGCATCCTGTTCAGGCCCCTCCCCCCTCGTTGACCCTCGTTGACCGGTACTGTATCGGGGAACGACTAAGGGCGGCCGCCGGCCGGGACTTGGGGCGACTGCCTCCCTCGGCCACCCTTCAGGGTCACCCTAGGGGGCCACCCCTGCCAGTCTCCTCGTCACTGGCAGATGGGCCAAATTAGCAGAAAGCAGCCGCGCTTGCAGTGATGCTGTCAATTTGCAGGCGAACGGTGACGTGTTTGACGGCGGCGAGCTCGATGTGGCGACACGTTCTTAGGCCGACTGTCCTCAAATGATTTGCCTCCCTATCTAAACTTAAAGTGTGTTTTTAGCAGATGATACATTATACACAACGACATAAAGACAAAACAGAAATAGTAGTGTAGATAATGTATCAGCATGCTAGCACTCAGGATGCGTAAGGATGCGAATGAAATGTCTGTAAGGGGACCGATTCCGCGTGCGCGCCCGCCGCTTGCTGGGGCTCCCCGCCTGTCTGACTGCCAGCTCTCCTGGCCGCCCGCTGGCCTGCCTGCAGACTGATTCCGCACAGTGCGGAGGGGCCCACCCGCATCACTCTGTCTCTCTCGCACTCATGGGTACTGTCGGTCGGCGGGGCCCCTCCGCACTGTGCGGAATCAGTCTGCTGACTGCCAGCTTGCCTCGCCGCCCGCCCCGCCGCAGCTCGGCTCGCCGCGCCCGCACCCCCTCCTCCCCCACCCCTTCTCGCAAGCAGGCTGCGCCGGCCTCACGTCCAACCACTCGCTCAGGTGTGATTTCCCCTGTAAAAAAAAAAACGCGTGCGGAAAAGTGCGCATTCGTCGAGCTGGGTGGAGGGAAAGTAGACAATCCTTCCTGCATGTTTCCAGAGAGAGAGTCATGGGAAAGCTCGATTTTAGTCAGGGAGAGGTCTTGGGAACCGAAATTCCAAATGTTGTCACTACTCTGTGAGAGATTTGAGACCTGTTTGTGCCAAGTTTTGCTTCCCTAAAGATATGCTGGAATTAATTCTTTTGAAATGGTTGTTTCAGTTACGGGAAGTCTTACCAGTAACTCAGCCGCCCAAAAGTATCAAATCCGCAATTCTCTGTGACTTCGCTGGAGCCCAGCAACGCAGCGCAGCCCTCTTGGCCAAGTAGGTGCACTTACTGGGAGGAGCTAAAATGAGTTTGTGGATCCAGAGACCGAGGGGGGGGGGAAGGGGGGACGATCAAAAGTTGCCTATCTTCAGGGGGCAAAGTGTGGCTTTTTGAGGTTCTGAAAGAGGGGAAAACTTGAATGTTTGGTCTGGAAAACGGAAGCCCATTTTCAGTGACAACGTTACGCACTAGGGGCAGGAGGTTATCCATCTGGTCACGCTGCGGGAACTAGGACAACTCGTCCCGGGCCCAAGTCGACCCATGTCCATCTCGACCCTGCCCTTTCGGCCCCCGGGTTAACTCACCCCCGAACAAATTAATAAATTAATTATTTGCTTAAATATTTTTTAGGGGTGGACCGATTTGACCTGCTTGGGACGAGTTGGCTGTCACCCGCATAATGGGGTAGTATGTGGGTCAGAGAGCCAGCGTAACGTGACGCTAAAGTGACGGCTAAACCCTTCAAATATGAGAGCTAAAAGTTCAAAGCTTTTCCATGAGAAATTGTCTAGTATTACGCTGTGTAGGGAGGCCAGCAGAACGCCAACCCTTCCATGCCTTGTGTCTGCCAGGGGCCATCCATAATGTACGCGCGCTATTTTGGAGTCAACCCTACTCCTATGTCCGCGATCTAACCTAACCTTCCCCTTGGGCTGTCTGTTTTGGTGTAACCCCCCCCCCCTCTAAAACTATGGACGTACGTACTTTATGGATGGCCCCCAACTTGGCCTTGACCTCGTGACTCCTTGCAGTTCTGTACATGAGTAACGTCTTCTCTTCCAGGTCCAGTCGGCAAGATGTCCTGTCCGCCCTGCGACGCTGACATGAAGGAGATTTTCAACAGAGAAGCACTGGATGTCTACATAGAGTCCATCAACGATTATTCGCCTCTTTGGGAGATGGCGGAAGAGGAGGGAGACGGGCAGAAGAAGGGTGACGAGGAAAGCCCCGGGGAGATTGTCGAGCCTAACACATTGCTCAAGCCCAAGCCGGTGTGTCATGAACTGTGGAACCAGACACTCATGGACCTGGGCCTCCTGCTCGACCAGGATCCATTTCAACCGCTGCCGGCTCCGCCCTCGCCCACGCCCCCGCAGCCACGGCCGCCAACGGCGGCCCTCACCATCGATTGGCCCCCGCTATCACCGTCGCTGCCGGCCCCGCCGGCCCCGCCGGCCCTGCCGGCCCGCGAGATGGACTCGCTGCTGTCGGCGTGGCCGGTCAACCTGCAACCATCACCACCACCATCACCCCCATCACCACCGCCAACGCCGCCATCACCAACACCACCTCCGTCGCCGCCACCGTCGCCTCGCAGCGTGGACGACATGGGGCCTCAACGCGAGCCACCCGCGTGCCCCGCAACCATCCCTGCTGTGCCTTCCGTGGTGATGATCATCTCCGTCAAGGAAGGAGTCGTGGTGCCAGTCCCCACCCTCGTCGCGCAAGGAGTCTCGCGTTTGGTGACCATCCCCAATTGCGTCGCTCCGCCGCTCCTGCAAGCTGGCCTCCGGAGCGGCCGCGAGCGACTGTCCAGCTGGAGCAGCGATGTGGTCATGCCCATGACGCCAGAGTCCTTGGCATCACCCGAGTCCATGGCATGGGACTTCTTGGACAGCGAGTCGTCGGCGTCCTGTGCATCGCCGTCCTGTGTATCGTCGCCGACGTCCCCGGCGTCGCCGCCCGCCCCAGTGCCGCCGCCGTCCCCGGCGTCGCCGCCCGCCCCAGTGCCGCCGCCGTCCCCGGCGTCGCCGCCCGCCCCAGTGCCGCCGCCGTCCCCAGCGTCGCCACCCGCCCCAGTGCCGCCGCCGTCCTCGGCGTCGCCGCCCGCCCCAGTGCCGCCGCCGTCCTCGGAGTCGCCGCCCGCCCCAGTGCCGCCGCCGTCCCCGGCGTCGCCGCCTGCCCCAGTGCCGCCGCCGTCCCCGGCGTCGCCGCCTGCCCCAGTGCCGCCGCCGTCCCCGGCGTCGCCGCCTGCCCCAGTGCCGCCGCCGTCCTCGGAGTCGCCGCTCGCCCCAGCGCCGCCGCCGTCCTCGGCGTCGTCGCCCTGCCCAATGGCCTCCCCAGAGGCAGCCGCCCCGAAGAAGCAGAGGGCGCGTCGTGGGGGGCGGGCTACCTCGAGGGCCGCCGCGAGACCGAAGGGAGTCCAGCCCCGCAGCTACGGCGGCCGTAAGGGCGCCGCCGCGGCCAGCACGCAGCCACCCGGCCCCGCGCCGGCCCTTGAGGCCGCCCTGGAGGCCGCCACGCCGTCGCCTCGGAAAGCGCCCTCCCCGCGGAAGACGTCCTCTCCCCGGAAGACGCCCTACACCCGGAAGGCGTCCGCGGCCGGTACCGCCGTCCCTTCGCCCATCAAGGACTCGGCGCCGTCGCCAATCAGGTACTCCGCGCCGTCGCCCATCAAGAACTCGGCGCCGTCGTCCATCAAGTACGCGGCGCCGTTGCCCCTGCCCAAGGCGTCGTCGGGCAGCAAGAGGCGGTGCCGTGGCGGCGCCGGAGTCAAGCTGCCGCGCGAGGGTACCTGCCCCGTGTGTGGCAAGACCGACCTGAAGCGACTCGACAAGCACTATGACACCCACAGGGAAGAGAAAAAGTACCACTGTACGATGTGCGACAAGTCGTTTCGCCAGTCGGAGCACAAATTGCGGCACATGAAGAGTGCGCACGACGTGAACAGCCCCAACCGCGTGGTGGCGCCGTGTCCGGTCTGCGGCAAAGTGCTTTCTAGAAGGGACAAGCTCAAAGAGCACCTTCGGAAAGCACACGACCGTGACTTAGACTCTCTTTCCGGGCGTGCGTAGGCGAGTCCTTCGGGGCTCCTGCGGAATTCGAAAGTTCATCAACATATACGCAATTTTAATTTGAATGCAATGTGAGATACTGAAAGTAGTAAGGAAGAGCGTGGCTCTTGTTCAGTTTTGTGTGTGACATTAAAATTGCTTGTGTGTGATGTGTTTCGGGAGGAGCATCAACTGACTGTAAGGGAGAATGTGTGTTTGTGTGAGGGAGAGAGAGAGAGAGTGAGTGAGTGAGTGAGTGAGTGAGTGAGTGAGTGAGTGAGTGAGTGAGTGTGTGTGGGGGGAGGGGGGTGGGGGAAGGTCCGACTTATCTTCCATGGGGGGAGAGGGGTTGTGAGTACCACTGAATGCTAACTTAGAGAATCGATTTTATGTGCACTCTGTGTGTAGATTTATGCAGCTGAAAACTGTTTGGATCAAATTGGCTGATATTTTGTGAATTGATATTGTATTGTTTTTTGACAGGGTCAAACAACTTAAACAGCAATGTATATCAGGATTTTAATTTAGAGTCTAAAATACTCTATATGTTTTGTATTTTTACAAGTGCTTGAAAGTATATTTTATTAATTTTATTTACTGTGGAGCAAGCATTGTATACATGTTGGTTTTATGTAAATTTCCCTTTTTTTGAAAAAAAAAAAAAGAGTTTTATTACAATAAATTTTTTTGGCATGGATTCTTTGTATTTACTATTGCCAGAAAGTGAGTATCCGCACAGTTCTATTCTTCACTAACTTATAAAACACCTCACACAGTCATAGTAGACCTCGTAGAAAACGTAATTAGAAATTATCGTTGGCCGCGGGACTAGAGTGAGAGAGAGAGACACACAAAGAGGCTGTTCGAGACCTTCGGCTGGGGAGTGCGAGAGAGCCAGCGACACTGCCATAAATAGTTCGTTCCTTTGAGAGAGGCCCGGAGTGCGCGAGAGAGGTGTGAGAGAGAGAGAGAAGGCGGTGCGCAAGGTGCGCATGCAGTAGACGCAGAGCGGACAATGTTCGGCGAGGCTGTCTTACGGCCGACAAGCGCTGACACACGACACGTCACCCAGTATTGGCGGAACGGCCGGACAGCTTTCGACGAGTCCTTTCGTCGTTGTGTCTCTGTCGCACTCGGAGAGAGAGAGAGAGGTGTTTATTGTGCTAGAAAGGCAGAACGACGAAGAAACGACTCTTCGCTCGGCTGCACGGCCACGCCCCCGCCACATGTTTGCTACAATGCCCGGCGGCCCGCGCGACTGGCGGTCCGGGTCCGGCACCTGTAGACTCATTCCGAGAGTCGTTTACGTCGCTCTGTCTCTCTCGCACCTAGACGGGACGCCCCACGAGTGCGAGAGAGACAGAGCCACGCTCGGAATCAGTCTGCTGCCGCAGCACCGCGCACATGCCCAAGGCCATGCCGCGTGCCGCGCGGACCGGTTGTGCAGTCTTCAGAGTCTCCATCCAACAGAATCCCGAAAACTTATCTGCCTTCAGGGACCGCACGGCGTCCGGCAGCACAGGGGTGCGAGTGAGACAGCGAATAGCCCTACACTGAAAAACCAAACGTGGTCTATAGACCTCACCAACAGGTGTGGTCAAATGGGTGCCATTTTGACCTCATCAGTTGGTGACCACGTTTGGTTTTTCAGTGTGAAGTTTACCGAGGGGCGTACCGTGGCAAGCCGCCCGTCTCCAACCCGCGGCGGCGTGTCGTGTGAATAGGGTATTTCGGAGCAGCCCTGGCCCGGAAGAAAAAGAACAAAAACGGAAGTTGGAAATGACAGTTTATGTGAGAAATATACGCTGCGGGTGCTCATCCGTAGCGTATATTTCTCATATAAACTGCCATTTCTAACTTCCGTTTTTTTCTTCTTCTTCCGGGCCACGGCTGCTCCGAAATACCCTATTGGTCGTGCGTGTGTTGATGATCCTGTCTCATTTGGGGAGACTGTTGCTCGCGCGGGACGGATGCGGGGGCCATAGAGGCCATGCGAAGGATGTGGGCCGAAGGGCGGCATTGCCATGGCATTGCCGAGCAATGCAATCTGATTCTGGGAACAAAGAGTGCCCTCTGGTGTTTAGTTTATGGTTCCGGTCCCACCCAACTCGCGCGGGCAACGCGCTGCAGCCGGGCTTCCGCGCTTACGGCTCGTCCGACCCGCTCGCATCACAGTACTGTACATACAGCGCCTGATTGGCAAAAATACGGCCCGAATTAGTGACAGTTATTACTGCTTGTGTCGGTCGGGCCGTGGGAAACCTTCCCCACCACCTCGCTGGATTTTCCATGCATGTAATGAAAATGAAGCCAGGGCTGGCCAGGCCACTTAGACTCTGGGAGTCCTGCGCGGAGCCTCTCTGCTGGTGGACCTTGAAGGAATCATCCTAATAGACAACAGGCCAGGCAGCTACATTGTTGTGACTCGGCAAATCGCCCCCCAAATTTTGGTCAAAATAATCAATGACTTCTCGCGGGTCCAATTTGCTGAGTCCCTACGCAGTGTCCGTCTTCTCGCGGCTCTCACGGGCCCGGGCCTGATTACATCGGTGTCGATGCCACCGCGGCCTGGCTCCTGTGGAGGCCTGGTTACACTGTGTGGGCCCCAATCAGAGCCTGGCACGGCGCGGTGTGGCACGGCATGGCATCCTCCATGCTTGCCGGGTTTTACTACTTTTCTAGGAAATCGTGTCGCGATCAGGAGGGGAGAATCAAATAGCGGAGCCGCAGGAGCGCGGGGGGAGAGGAGGGTGCGACCCGCAGCGTTTGGACTAACGAAGCACGGAAGGGCACAGCGACCGGCGCAGCTTTATAGCATTTAAATCGATGTGTGGCGGGCGTTCAACCTTCCTAAACCATGTTAGAGTAGAAGAGACTGACAGGTCGGGTCTGATGACATCTACTGTGATGAGCTTCTCTCGCGTTCTCTGTCTGTCTGTCTGTCTGTCTGTCTCTCTCCGATTTCCTCTCTTCTTTTCTAATTTTGGAGAATTTCCGAGAGGGGACCGGGGGGGGGGAGTGTGGCATCCTGCCCGCCTAACGCGGATGGACGACGGGCCATCCTCCAATAAGGTCATACTCAAATGCACCACTATTAATTTCTGCACTGCGCCGCCTTGCCCGTGACTCACTGGCTTAATTGACCCTTGTGGCGAGCGACACAAGTGAGATACATTGTTGCGAATGTTGCAAGTGCGCTGTTGGCCACATGCACAGTAGGAGCCCCCAGGAATCGATCGGGTACTTAAGTGTCGACGCCGGAAGGGGCCAGGCAGTTGAGTCCCGAGCACGGTCCAGTGCAGTGAGTGTTGTGTGCAAGAAAGTGTAGTGTGTGAAGCCCTGAGAAGCCAACCCATCTCGTCAGCCAATAAAACACCATACTCGCGAGTAAAGTGTTTCACTGTCAAGAGCCCTAAAGTACCCCTAAGACCGGCCCCTGTACTGTTGGATAGCGCGCACTGACCATCACACCCAGACAGGGAGCCACGCGTCACAGGAGGGAGGGAGCCAGAGTGGAAGGGATGACGACCGGGTCACGTGGTCCACGGTTTATCTATATAAGCGTTGGACGCGGAGTCCGGGCATCAGTCCTCATCGTCACTCCAGGAGCTCCACAGAGTCCCCCTGTCAGTCTCGGCGAGGAAGCTGTGCGGGATGCCTACCTTGGTCCTCATGGAGTCTGGGCTATCTCTGGCTTAGGTATGCGAGTGGAGAGGCGGATCCGTTTCTAGTGTATTGTATCTGCAGGTCGAGGGGGCACGCCCGGCTGTAAGGCGGTAGCGGTGTTGTGATGTGTTTATGTATGCGTGTGTGTGTGTGGGAGAGAGAGAGAGAGAGTGTGTGTGTGTGTGTGTCCAGCCCAGCGAATGGCAGAGGTGCCGAGCCGAGCTCATGGCGCGCTTGGGACCGGCCTGGCGGCTGTCTCTCTCGCGGGGAGTGGCCGCGGCACCATGAGAGGTGGCACTTCCCTCCGGACCGCCCGGCGGCCACGGTAACTCGGACTGCTTGGTGGCGCCGGGGCGCGCGGCTTTGCAGCAGCTGGTCCGCACGACCAGAGCAGGGTGGCGCGGGGCGCGGTGAGGCTGGCTAGATGGCTAGATGGATGGCGAGTGGCGGCGCGTGGCTGTGTGGCTGGCGGTAAGCTGGCGGGAGGGAGGGGGGATGCGGCGTTGCCAAGTGGGCCCCGCGGCCCCGCGCGGGCCCACTGTAGCCCACTGATGCTCCTGGCGGTCCGTCCCGCGCGGCAACGCGGCTTAGGCGGTGCCCCCTCGAAGCTCGCGACCGCGACACTGGCAGCGCCAGCAGCAGCGTGAGCGTGCGCGAACGAAGCTAACCCAACTAGTATAGCCCGTTGCGTTGCTGCGTTCGCCCGACGGCAGGATTCGTCTCGACGGAGCGTTTGCGCGCGGCATGTGTGTGTGCAGAGCCCCGGTCGAGTTGCACCGGAAAAGCCGACTGCTGCTGCCCTCCACGGTGAGTACTTCGGCCGGCGTGTGTTCAACTGTTCGCAGCCCGCGCCAGTTTCCTTGGTGTTGCCAGCGCTGCGCCGCTCCGCCGAACGCGCCCAGCCTTTCGGTCTCGAATGCCTTGGCCTTGGTTGCGGGCCGGGCCGCCTGTTTTCGGGGAACTGCCTCGGCAGGCACGCCCAGGACGCACCAGCCGTTGACAGGGCTCTGGGGTTTTCTGCGTCCGCCTGCGCTGGGGCAGCGGCGATGTCCTCGAACAGCTGACGCGCTGACGCAGCTCGAATTTGGCGCCAACCGAAATGGCACGGATGTTTACATCAGGGTTGCCGCTTATTGTGCCTAACGGCCGGGCAAAGGAAAGGGGACGACTAAATGCCTTTGCGATAGCTGCTCTCGGGTAGCACTCTTCTTTATTGGCGCCAGGTTGCTGACGTGCGGGCGTTCGACATCATTAGCTTCGAGTTGAGATTCCGAGATTCTACGAGCGAGCGCTACTGCTGCTTTGTTTTGTCCCTAAGCGGCGACACCTGGTGGCGCGTCGCTTGAATCGTGTGGGAGTGGATTCAGTGCCGGCACAGTGTATGGCCGCTGGCAGCTCGGGACCCCGCCGCGACCGCAGCCACCTCTCCGCGACCCCTCGAAATTAATTTTTTCGTGACTCCATTTGCGGTCGTGACCGCAAGGTTGGGAACCGCTCCCCTACCTGGTCGTGGGCCATAGAAAAAGGATTCTTACTCTATCTAAGTCGTGGGCTCAGAACGGTTTATAGCTGTGTTTCAGTACAGCTACCGGATTACAGATGTACCTCCGTGTTACGGTGTTTATAGCTGCTCCCTAGGAGGGAAAGAGGGCAGGGCTCATAAATGGTGAGTGGGTGGCCGTGTTTATGGCCGCTCCGTCACGATGCGGTAGTTCAGGTAGCTTCATTGAAGTTGTATGCAAATCGAGCGGCACGCGACGCGTCGCGACGTCCGTCGTGGAGAGTCGCTCGCTATCACCCCGAAGGGCCGAAGGTCCGAAGGGGGTGTCGGGGTGGCTCTTCGACAGGTCCGCCTGCCGCTTAGGTTGCCCGCGAGTCGTCTTCAGTCTGACTGCGCTAGTGTCAGCGTCTCCAGTTCACGCCGTTGCAGTCTTCCGGCGTGGACGGCTAAACCGGGTAACCGACCCAAGCTGTCCCTCGCTGGTGTCGGATTGGCCTTATCGTTCGTTGGTCGTGGGAATGAATGGGCCATCGCCGCCAGACGATTTATTCTGAGGCGGCGGCGCCTTGTCCCAGTCCAATACTATTAGGAGAAAAGGTTTCCAATTTCTTGCTCCAATTTTGCGATGTTTTTTCAGGAGCTGCCGCCGCCATGTCGCAGCAGCTGGAGACCGACGAGCGGGCGTCGGCGACACCGACTCCGTTGCCTGAACCGCCGGTAGCAGTGCCCATCGACCCAAGCCTGTTCAAGAAGCGCAGCAACAGCCGAAGCCCCCGCGGCGGTCTGAACCCTGGTTCCAACCCTGGTTCCAGCCCCGGATGCAGCCGAAGTAGTCCTACAGGTTCCAGCTCAAGCCGAAGCCCGCGCGGTGTTCCGAACCCTGGTTCCAGCACCAGCCCCGGATGCAGCCGAAGTAGTCCTACGGGTTCCAGCTCAAGCCAAACCCCTGCTGCTGGCCCCAGCCAAACCAGCTCCCAAAATCATGGCTGCAACCAAAGGCATGGTTGCTGGCAAAACCCTGGTTGTACCCGCCCTGATTGCAGCCACTCTGGTTGTGACCACCCTGGGTGCAGCCACTGGGGTTGCAGCAACCCTGGTTGCTGCCGTAACGCTGGCAGCATCGCCCCAGGTCAAGACAACAGCGGCAGTGGAGGTCCTTGCTGCGGCCATGCCCTTTGCTGCAGCCGCGCAAGCCAAGCCAGCTCCAGCCACGGTTTGTGCAGCCAGGAGAAGGGTGACCAGGGCCACTTCGCCGCCGCGGCCGCCGCCACCAGCATCGGCACGTGCCCCGACGTCGACGTTGACCTCTCCACCTTCTTTATCAAGGAGGAGCCCGCCGACGTGGACCCCGCCGACGTGGACCCCGCCGAGGCCGGCGCCTTCGGCGGCCTCCCCGTCCTCTCCATCGCCAGCGTGGCCGGCAACGCAGACGACCAGTGGGGGCTGCAGACCACGCTGGACTTCGAGGCAGAGGTCAAGACGGAGCCCATCGAGCAGTACTACGACTTCTGCGAGTCCGAAGAGGAGCAGGACTTCGACGCGGAGGCGGAGTACAGCAGCGTGGAGCCAGCCGCGTCGCGGGTGTCCCCCGAGGTGGAGGTGCTGCCAGTTCCGGCGCGGGAGTTCGAGGTGGTGGACCTGGAGGCTGAGTGGGAAGATCGGGAGTCGCCGCCCGGCAGCCCTCTTGGCGACAAGCAGCCGCCGCCCCGGGTGGTGGTCAAGGAGGAGGCCGCCGGCGCCGCCCGCGAGGCGGACTTCAGCCCTGCGGCCGCCCGGCCCGCCCAGCCCGCCCAGCCCGGCGCCGAGGGGGTTATCAGCAGAGTGAAGGGCGAGCGGGACCGCGCGGGCCGCTCGGAGCGCTCAGTGAAGCTGGAGCGCGACCACGACGAGGAGGCCGGGCGCGCGCTGCTGTTTGGCCAGCAAGAGTTCCCCGACGACGGCGAGGAGGAGCTGGTGGCCGACGAGGAGAGGCAGGCCGACTCCGAGCAGCAGGAGCGGACGTCAGGCCGCAGCACCGCGCTGTACCCGGCCGTGAGCTCCAAAAAGCTGCTGGAGATGAAGTTGCACGTGGCCACCATCGTGAACGTATACAATGAGATGAAGAAGCCACGCTTCAGGACGTTCTCCGAGGAGCGGGCGTCGTCCACGTCGCCCGTCACCGTCACCCACAAGTCCAGGGCGCGGCGCCCCCACAGCCCCGCCGGCCCGGCCGACAAGCGGCGTTCCAGCCACGACGCCTCGTCCAAGAAGGCCAAGCGCGACCCCAGCGCGTCGCCGTGCCGGCGGAGCAGGCCGAGCAGCACGGACACGGCCCGCGCCAAGAAGGCCTCTGGCCGCGACCCCAGCCCGAGCAGCAAGGACGCCAAGCACCCCAAGAAGAAGGCCCTGGCGCCGGCGCCCGCCTCCGTCAAGAAGAGGCGTCTCCAGGGCGTCAACGAGGAGGTCGCCGACGAGCCGCTTTCGCCGCCAGCGCCCGCCTCCGTCAAGAAGAGGCGCCTGCAGGGTGTCAAGGAGGAGCCCGTAGACGAGCCTCTGTCGCCGCCAGCGCCGCCAGCGCCCGCCTCCGTCAAGAAGAGGCGCCTGCAGGGCGTCAAGGAGGAGCTCGCCGACGAGCCGCTGTCGCCGCCGCCACCAGCACCCAAGTCCAAGAAGGCCTTCGCTGGCCCCGCCTCCGTGAAGAACAAGAAGAAGCTGCCGGTGCTGCCCGCGGCCCAGCACCCCACGGTGCTGTCGCCGCAGTACGACGGCCGCTCGCCGCTCTTCATGGAGGACGACACCCCCCGCAAGAGTTACTCCTCTGGACCTGCGGGTAAGTGGTCAAGTCCAAGTGGCACTAGCCTACACTAGCTCAAACCCCCCGCCCCGACCTTCCTTCATTGATGACTGAACTGCTGAACTGTGCTCGGTTTAAGGACTTGCACTTTAATTTGTTACTATGGGCAGGGAAAGTGGCAATTTTCACCTTTATTCTGGTCTGTCTTTGACTTTTGTCTTGTGCTTACAGAATCGTCAGAGAAAGGACCTATTCGGGCTTCGGTGCGTCCATCTTGGCTCGAGTCACTCCTTTACAGTATTGGTAAATGGAGGCCGGAGTGGCTCAAAGTATGTTTCACTTTGATGTACATGTTCTTTAAGTTGCATTTTCTTTGTATCTTATTGACATTTTGTGTTGTCAACAGGAAGCCCGACATATCAGTTCAAAGAAGGTCCCACCTCTTCTTCCAAATATGGAGAGATTTGATGTGGAAACAAAACATTTACAATTTGACTCAATAGATGAGTATTTGAGTCACTTCCAGAATGCGCTCTTGATTGAACTGTGGGAAACCATCCGGAAGGAATCTAGACCATCAAAACCGTAAGATTTTTTTCATTAACATAAAATAGAATGAAATTATTTGTGAAGTTTCTGTTGGCTGGTCATGGGTTTTTAGAGGTGGTGCACCATTTTCTGGAAAACCTAAGTTTTAAAAGGTTCAGTAACTTAGAAATCTTCTTTATTTGAAAGAAAAACAGAGAGATGTAGTTGATTGTTTCCTTGTTTTTCCAAATTTTATGATTTTATTCTTATAATTGCCAGTAAAAGTAGTGTGTAAACTTATTGTAACCCTTTAGATTATATTTTTACCTTCAAGATGAGTAACTGAATCTGAATAATCACCTTTGGTTCCCAATCTCTCAGCCTTTTTACCATCTGATGTCTTTGCGTCTTATGCAGGTTCCTGACGGCTGTAGAATCATCACAAGACAAGCCTTTGCTAGGGAACAAAAGAAAAAGAACTCTCACATGTCATTGTAAGTTGGTTATTAGTTATTATATTTTACGAATCAAAGCCTGATTTGTTTGTGTTCAACTCCCTGTCAAGTCAATATTTGTATCTTGCATTAATCCTACAAAAGATAAATACATTTTGCCAATCTTATTCCAATCAGGCGGGTCTGATCAGAAAAGCCCATTTAGACTTGGAGATTTGGTCATCGTTGGTCCTATTGGAAAATCCTCCGAGCCAGCTAAACCTCATTTTGGTTATATAGAAGTGGCCTCTAGAAACCAAGTTGTGTCAGATTCTGTCAGGCTATCTGTGCATCTTCAAGGTATGCTGTGGTTTATCTCATTTTACATTACTTTCAGGATTACACAATATGTATAGATATTTATGTTTCTACAAGGGCGGAGAATCCATTATTTGGCTTCACATATAACTAGCTCTCTTTTTCTTATTTGCAGAACATTTTAAAAAGGAGCCTGATTTTAAGTTCTCTTTTAAAGTTACCCTGTGTTCAGATGATAACCCGGAGACTGTTCCCAAAGTGTTAGCGGTGAGTTCTTTTAATATTCTAGTGTGTTGAAAAGTTTCTGTGTCAACTGTATTGAAGCCTAACCTTTTATATTTCCAGCTAAAAAAGCTAACAAATGTTTACGAGGAGGTCGAATTATTTAAGTTCTTATCTGATTTTGCTATCCACAATATGGCTCCATTGGTTTTGAAGCCATATTATGCAATTCGACCAGAACCTGTATTTGGTTTAAAAACTGTAAGTTGCCTTGATTTTTTAACATAGTGAATCCTTGTTATTATTTTTTTCCTTCTTAATTAACTTACTGTTACATATTTCAATGGCAGGGTGGAGACCTACATCCTCTAGCACAGAAGCCTGTGTTGCTCTCCTTAATCCAGGATATTGTTGACTATGAAGCTCCATCTCTTAGTGTTGTGGAAGGAGGACCTGGAACTGGAAAAACCCACTTAGTAGCTGCCCTAGCGCAGGAGCTAGTTGAACGTAAACATAAGCTCAACAGAGATTGTTACGTTATTATAGCAGCAAAATCAAACAACCAATTGGATATAATACTAGAAAAGCTGCAAGCTAGAAATCCCATGTTATCTGATGATCCTAAAAACAGAGACCCTGATGCTTTCCGTCCAGTTTGGCTTGGGAATGAACTGAGGGTGGGTGATAGGTTGAGGAGAAATAGTTTAAGACAGTTGGCAGAAAAACATTTGTTGAAACAGAATACAGAGCCCCTTGAGAAAGACAGGCGTGCACTTATGAAGGAAATTGCCAGGAATGAAACAAAATTAATTAAAATGACCAAGAAAAATTTCAATTTTCCTGACATAGCTTCTGCAACTGCCAAAATGAAATTAGAGTTGACTCTTTTAAATGAGCGGATAGAGATGATTTCTTCACAAGTAAGTTTTGGGAATCTCGTTACAACAATATTCATTTAAGTTGCTCTATCTATTGATCTTCATTATACAGGCAAAAGACGAAAATGTTGCTTTCTCAACTATTTTGAAGAAATGTGACATACTTTTAACAACATTTAGTTGTAATTTTTATCGCTCAAAGGCTCAAGAAGCCATCCTTCAGAGGTAAGTGCCAACAACTTTTTCTGTTATGTAAGTATTCATCAATTTCCTCCAAACAAGAAAATATTTATTCAATAATTATGTAGAGGTATGTCTTTAGCCCTGTGTGCATGTGCACAGGTTTGCTGCATAGCAGGGTTTTTATGACATCAGACCCTTATCTAATTATTTAACGGCCTCTGACACAAGTACATACAGTACTATTGAAAGCAGTTTGATTTATCTTTACCCAACCATTGTTATTTCTAGCAATCAACGGAAACATAAAGTTCTCATCATTGATGATGCCTCTGAAGTAGGGGAGCCTACAGTCATAAAGCTGATGGTTCTCTTTGGAATCACAGATGTTGTCCTCTTTGGGGATACGAGGCAGCACACGCCTTACGTGTCCAGTAAGGTAAGATCCTTTTTTTACTATTTATGGGAATTTAAGTCTTCTGGCCTTTCTGGCAGGTTTTTAGTTCATTGTGAATCCTTTGTTGCATGTTTCATTTTAGTGGGCTCGCAATGCTGGACTGGTAGTACCCCTCATGAAAAGGTACACTAATGCTCTGAAGGAGGCGCAATGTGTGCCCCCAGCTAGATTCTTATCAAGGCAATTTCGGATGCATCCTGATGTGCTCAGAGGCATCAATAAAACCTTTTATGAGGAATCTATGAAGCCATCAAACGATTATAAGAGGTACTTGGCAGAAGTTCAGGAGCATCAGTTGCGGCCTTATGTATGGTTCAACTGTACATACTTTGACGAAAAGTGAGCTTTTTACTTTCTTAAAGGTTTAGCTGCCTATGATTGGAATTGCTTAAATATTAGTATTAATTATGTGCTTACAGGAAGAAAAAGAAGAATGAAGCTGACTTTGTAATAAAACTGCTCTCCTCTATATTGTCATGCAAATCATACCCAAGCGACAGTGTGAAAAAACCTATCAGTGTCATTTCATTCTCCAAAGATATTAATGCCCTCCTTGCTTGCACCGAATAGTGAGTATTAAACATAATCTCTCCTTTTCTATGCTAAGGATGTAGATTAAACAAAAATATTGTTTCAAATTTTCAGCGCTAAATACTGTGACGTGGCAGAACATATATCAAGTATGGAGTATGATATTGTCATACTGTCATTTGGGCCATCAATGAGACTACGTGTAGACAGGACTATTTGTGCCCTGACAAGGGCTCGCAAGTCTCTCTTCATTTGTGGCAACATTGAGGTAATTGTCTGGAATTGTTTCCCCTTAGCCAATCGTAGTTCCATGTTTCTAACTTGTTTTATTTTATTGCAGGACTTATCTCCTAAGTTTCTTGCTTTGTTCAAAGATGCAAGAGACTTAAATTGCACTGAAGATGTAACCACTGGGGACATTGAAGTAGAGGATATTTGTAAATTAATTAGGATTTAAGATTAGATTTATGTGTGTGTATGGTCTTTTGGGGCGCAAGCAACAGGGCTGCATCAACTTCCATATTTTTCCGTATAGCATGTGTGTTCTGAATAGATTATTACCCCCGACATATTAAGCATGTCCAGAATACTCATGTTTGGTGGAAAAATTTAATTATGCATATATAGGAATTATATACTAACATAGACTATTTGGACCAATGAATTTCTTAAATCAAAGTGTCTTATGTATATTTTAACCAGGCATTATATTTAATGTAGGATATTTGTATTTTTTTATCTATTAATAGTATAAAGAAATTGTTTTATACTGTTTGTTGATCATGTACTCAAATTTAAAGGGGAAAAATGTGTCTTCTTATTACTGTTTGTTATTGAGTGTTTTTCTTTCTCATTGCATAAATGAATGAGTTAATAATTAACTACTCTGATTGGAATGGTTGTATTTTTTTATCAATTGATAACAAAAAGTTAATTTTTTTATTCTCTGTTGATCATTTACTCAATTTATTAAAAAAAGGTGATGTAAGGAGTTTGTGTAAGTCTCTGCTTTCTTATTTCTCATTACTGAAATGAATGAGTTAATAAATAAACTCCTCTAAAAATCCAACACTTGTGTGCTACCCTACCCCCTCAAAAGAAAAAGACTCTAGCTCTGCATTTTCGTTTGTCGAAATAATCTTCACGCTGTCAGTTTTCGGCTTTGGACAATGCTCAAGTCCTCCAAGCAAGGGGAGGTGGAAGTGGCCCAATTATTTTGTCCACCAAGAGAGCAGCTCGGCGCGGATCCAAATAGTCCGTGGGTCACTGCAATGCTGTGAACAGAACTGATAACGTATGGGCCTATTTTATACGTCCCCTGGTGGGAAACTGGGAGGAGGGGGGGTCCAAGAATTTTTATTGGCACTATAAAAATGAATGGAGGCGCGGGGTATCGATCCCCGTACCTCTCACATGCTAAGCGAGCGCTCTACCATCTGAGCTACGCCCCCATTACGTTCAGTGTAGAAAGAAAGTCGGTACACAATTGGCCCTGGACCCACCTGCCCAAACCGGACTGGGCTGGGCGTTGGCCTTGCGCCTTGCCAAGCGTTGCCCCACCAACGGCAACCGCCGTGAGCCAGCCGACCACCGATGGCCGCGTGGAGGGGGAAGCCCCAGATACCTTCGAATCATGTCAATCATGTACTATTCTCTCATAAAAGTAGTCCACATTTCCCAAATTTCAGTGGAATGATCCAGTTTTATTCGTTCTTAAACGTACCCTAGTACATGCATTCGACGGTTGCATAAAGTCTATAAGTAAATGCACCGTTACAATGTGGGCATGGTTCCAGCTTATCAAGCGTTCCAACAATGTTGATTATTTTGTGAGAGTAGTAGCTGGATGCACTGAATTACATTCTGCATTTAATATTGTACACGATTAAATACACGTTAAAACACAACATTCATGTCCAGGTGAATCAACCCGTAAATCGTCAATTTCTTAACTCAATTGCTTCAGTCAGTCTTTGGCAGCCACAGTCCACTCTCCATCGTTGTCCCTTTTGCTCACAAATTTCACCCAGACTCATACACAGACAGACGGACAGACACACACACACCTGACACCTACTCTCTCTCTCTCTCACTCACGCGCACACACATTGACACCATTCTCTTTGTGGATTGCATCGTACAAAACAAATTACTTAGTTTTATAGTATTAACTAAAATGCATCAAATACAACCTTCAGTTTAAAATGTACATTTTCCCCTTTCTGTTCCAAAGTGTGACGTGCAGACAATTTTCGTGGACGAAAGTGTGTCTACAAACTCATCGTGCCACTCTTCAGTTTCTAAATTAATACAAAAATACATCTCCTTAAAACTAGCCTAATAAATAAATAAATAATTCCATCAAATAAATTAGCGGTGAGCTTCCCAGAGAAGGCGGAAGTGTTTCAGTCTCCATGCCCTGGACCTGGAAGACCTGGAACCTGGAATTGGTGTCACTTCTTTTTCCCCTTCTTGATGGTCCCCGTCTTGCTGCCCGAGTCCGACGCCTTCCGCTGCTGTTGCTGCTTCTTGGTGGCGCCCCCGCTGGCCCCGCCCGAGGGCATTGGGGGCGGTGTCGGCGGCGCCTTCGTGGTGGCCCCTGCGCCGACTTTCGGCGAGGCTGGCGCTGGGTTGCTGTGCTTCTGGGGCTGTGGTGACTTCTGCTGAGGCGGTGGCGCCGTGTCGCCAGTTGGCTTCGCGGCCGAGGCTTCACCGAGGGGCGGATGGTCTGCCGCCTTCTTGAGCACAGGCTTCGGGGCGATCGCCGGCGGGCTGCCCGGGGCGCCGGTCGCGCTGGCCGTCGCCGCGGGGGTCGCCAGGGTCACCCTGGCCGGGGTGGGGCTGGCCGTGGGGGTCGCGCTCGGCGACGGTGCAGGCGCCGGCCTGGCCAGCGTCGGCGGCGTTGGCAGGTTGGCCTGGGGGCGGGGCTCGGCCGGCTCGGCCGCCTCGGCGGCCAGCGGAGGGCGAGTCGGCGCATGCACCTGGGGGAGGTCCTGCATGTGCACCTGGGGGTGCGGCTGCGTAAAGCCGTAGTCGCTGTCGTCCGTGGCCGCGGCGCGCACCGGGTTGTTGGACGTGGCCTTGATGATGACGCGGGGCTCCGGGCGCCGCAGCGTCACGCTGCTGGAGGACGTCTGCGTGACCGGCAGGGGGGCCGCGTCCTCGCACGGGTCTCGCGCCCGGATGATGACCCTGGGCTCGTAGCGCACCTGCGGCGGCGACGTCCCCGGCGTCCCCGGCCCCGCGGTGGGGGCGGACGGCGTCGGCGTGCTGCCCGGCAGCTCCGGAGTCGCCGGAAGCATCACTCTCGCGCCGACCTGCGATCGTAAATGTCGATGTCACCCTCGGTGTCACCACTTCTGCGGTCATGGTTTCGGTTGACGGACTCACCGGCTGTTGCCTCCGACCCAGGGTCGACGAGATCCTCGGCGGGGGCGCGGGCCTCATCCTGTTGTAGAGGCCGGCGTCCGCGGCGTCCATGGGGATGGCGCACGGGTAGGCGCACGGGAACGTCATGTTCCTCGCCATCTGGAGGTGTCCCGGCGGCAGCGACCGTCGCCGCGCGGCTGCCATCTGCATGGCGCTGAGCTGATGGGGCAGAGGGCCGCAGCCCGGCGCGTCGCACACGGGCAGGTCCGGCAGCACCTGCTTGTGGAGAGCACCAAGTAAACGCGGGGTTCGTCGCAGTGCCGGGGCGGGGGAGCGGTCGCGCGCTTACTTTGGGGTAGTTCCTCCTCCGCATGCTGTCCAGCGCCTCCTCGGCGCACATCTCGGCGGCCTGCTGCGACTCGTCGCGCGACGTCACGTTCACGTCACGCGGGCCCACGAACGAGTGCATTGGCGTGGCCATGGGCGTGGCCGCGGGGGGCGACGGCGGGCCGGGCGCGACCACGATGTCCACCAAGCTGGGCTGCAGGTCCATGACCACGCTGGTGATGCTGCGTCGTCGCTCCAGGGGCTGCGCGGCAGGAGAAGGAAAATCAAAAATCGGGTTCGAGCTGCAAAATCGAGACGAGAACGGAAGGACTCTCACCAATCCGTCGACCTCGTCCACGGCCTCGGAGCGCTGCAGCGAGGGCCGAGAACACAGCGAGGGCGTGGACCTGGTCATGCCGGCCACGGTGCTCTGCCCGCCCTGCCCGCCCTCGGCGGCGGCCTCGGCCAGCCGCGCCGTCTCCTCCAGGGACTTGCTCAGCTCGATGGGGAGCTGCCGCAGCACGGACGACGACCGGGCCGCGGGGGTCGCGTCGATCGCCACCGAGACCTGGGGAAGGAGGAACATCGTGAAGTGCGTCGTCCCGGCCGACTAGCTTCCAGTGAACTCCGAGTACTGCTCTACCTTCTGCACGGCGGCCTTGGTGCCGCCGGGACGCGGACTCTGCCCGGGGCTGCGGCTGGCCGCGTCGTCGGGGGTGTCCGGCTGGTCCGTGGACGAGCTGGCGGACAGCGGGGCGCGGCCACTAGCACGGCGGCCTCTGCGCAGGAACCCCGGCGAGCACCTCTGCACCACCTCCTGGGCCACCCAATCGCGCATCCTGGAGGCCGCGTCGTCGCGCCCCTCGTCCTTGGCCGGCTGCCTCGCGCGGCCCATCCTGCTGGTACTCCTGCTGGCGCCGCGCACCGCCTCGTACAGGTCGTCCTTGCTGTCGGCGCGGCTGTGGCTCGCCGGCCCCAAGGGCCCCGACGGCGCCCCCACCCCCGCGCCGCGCGTCTGGCGGTCCCGGCGGGGAAGTCCGGGCCCCGTCCGGTTCAGGAACAACCGCAGGCGCTGTCCGAGGCCGCGGGGCTGCTGCTGAGGCGGCGGCGGCAGGGGTGGCGACGCGGCGCTGCAGGAGAAGCCACCCTCCGCCCCGGACGGAGCCTTCTTGGTGTACGCGTCGTCGCAGTCGTCCTCTAGGCCGCCACCGCGGCACTGCGAACTACACAGACCGCCGAGAGTCAGACCACCCACCCGAGGGGTGAGTGGAACTCTCGGAACCAGCCCGCAGGCACGAAAGGCTCTTACCTAAAGAACTGTTGCTGCATGCGCAGGCGGTTCTTCTTGTAGTACAGGAAGCCGAAGGCGCACACGTTGACGAGCAGAAACGAGATCCCCACTACGATGACGACGGACAAGGCCAGCGCCGAGGGCGCCACGCGGCCCAGCCCGTCCTCGGAGGCGCGGTCGCGGTCCTCGACGTCCGCGATGGTCAGCTCGAGGTCGGCGCGGGGCGGCGACGGCGCCCCCGGCGTGTCGTCCTGGCCCGAGTTGACCATCGTGCCGTAGGTGCGCCGGGGCGTCGACAGGTCCTCCTGGAACTCCGCATCGTCTATACTCCACTGCTGTTTCAAAAGCACGGGGCACGGTGGGCCAGAAGACCGGCGGAGGCGGCCAAAATCTAGACGCGTTTTGAGCTCCAGAGTCGCGAAAGAGGACTCGAACCGGACTTATGACCCTGCTCTTCGAAAGAGGAATCCATTGGTGGGGTCACACGTTCGGTTCGAGTCTCATTTACCGACGCTGGAGCTCAAAACGCGTTCGGGATTTTGACCACCTCCGCCTGTCTTCTAGCTCTGCGGGCCATCGCCACGGGCAGCGCTGTGCGCCTCACCTCGCGGTCGCGTGGCCGCTGGAACAGGCGGGGCACGCCGTACACTGCGCTGTCCCGGTTGCCCTCGCGGTCCTGGGGAGACCAGGGCTCCGTCTGGGGGTTGCGCAGCAGCTGCGGCAGGTCGTGGTTCCAGTACTTCATCTGCTGCGCCCGGTAGTGCTGGTCCACGCTCAGGTGGATGCCTGGAAAGCGTTTCACACACATTCTGAAGGATGCACAGTGGAGAATTGGCGAAGGCCTCAATGCGGCCTGCCGTCGCACACTTACTGATGTTCAGGTACACCATGTCGGTCGTGTCAAACTTGGGCCAGTTAGGGGTCCTTCTTCTCGGTATGTTTGGGTCTCTGTAAAAATAAACGCTCAGTTTTGTTTGTTCCGGTCAAGGCTTTGTTAGCTGTCCTCGCCGCCCCAGCGCTCACCCCTTCTTGGCGAAGTTGGTCCAGAGCGTGATGATGGTCTCCGCGAGGCGCTTCTCGTCCATGGTGTAGTGCTTGTTGCCGGGCCGCGCCGCGCTGGGCGTCAGGGGCAGCCCGAACACGTAGGCCAGCTCGTCGCCCTGGACGGACTTGTCCACGGCCGGGTAGTTGCGGTTCTTGGTGCGGTGCGTGAACACGTACAGGTAGCTGCTGCGGTTGGCCTCGGCGTGCAGCTCGGCGGTCTTGATGACGGGCGCCGCGACGCGCGCGTCGGACAGGATGTCCAGCAGCAGGTCGCGCTGCCCCTCGGCCGCCACGGGGTGGTACAGCGCCGGGTCCTGCGCGTACTCGGCCAGGGTGCTGGCCAGCACCATGTCGGGGTGCTTCTCGAAGCGCGCGTGCGTGTAGCGCTTGAGCATGGCGTCGCGGTCGCGCTCGGGCACGCCGTAGGACAGCGACTTGCCGTCCAGCAGGTGGTACGCCTCCTGCTCCGTCACGCCCAGGAGCAGCTCGTACCTACACCACAAAAAGAGAAGTTTGGTGACGTTTTTCGTGACGTGTTTACTTTGATCTGTGGTGGCGGCGTGGCTCACCGACTGAACAGCTCGCGGTAGGTGCCCATGAGCTGCAGGGGCTCGTTGGGGATGACGCTGCCGTCCACGACGGGGCCGAAGGGGGTCTTGAAGGGCGGCCGGTTCACCTTGACGGCGAGGAGGTCGCTGAGCCGCCGCTTGCGCAGGCAGGCGGCCAGCTCGTCGCTCAGGGGGCAGTTGAGCTCCGAGGCCACCTGGATGGTGAACTGCAGCGGGCTGGGCGTCATGGCCCAGTCCGCCAGCGCCGTGCCGCTCATCAGGATGGCGCGGTGGAACAGGTCTGCGGAGAAGAGGGGTGAGCGAACAAGAACAAGCCGCACTCCTGTCGACACGATAGTCCTCGCCGCGGCACAGTGGACCAGAAGACCGGCGTCGGCGGCCAAGACTCTAGACGCGTTTTGAGCTCTAGAGTCGCTAAGCAAAACTCAAACCGAGCGTGGCCGCCGGCGCCGCTCTTCTGGCCCACTGTGCTAGTTACTCACTGCTGGAGACGGGCGAGACGAGCAGCAGGGAGGCGCAGGCCGCCCCGGTCGAGTGCCCCATCAGGGTGACGGAGTGCGGGTCGCCGCCCAGCGCGTCGATGTTGTCCTTGACCCACTGCAGGGCGGCCACCTGGTCCAGCAGGCCGAAGTTGCTCACGGTGCTGTCGTGCACCCCGGGCCGCAGGAAACCTGGCGGGGCAGCACGGCGATAGTCATGTGTCGTCATGCATTTGTCTTCACGGCATTTGTCGCCGTTTTGATCTACTTTGCGGCAGGACTGCTCCCATGGGAGAGGAAGGTCTGAAGACGAACGAACGGAGCCGAAGCCGAGCAGCCCGAGCGAGCAGGCCAAGCGCCTGTGATGGACGGGTTAGGCCTGCCCGTAACGCAGCGGCCGCGTGCGGGTTGCCTACATCCAGGCGCCGAATGCAGCTCGACTGCAGCTCGACTGCAGCTCGACGCCCTCGAGGAGCGGCGCCCTGTTGGCGTGGGGGGTCCTGCGGGCTGATTCCGAGCAGTCCTCTCGTCGCTCTGTCTCTCTCGCACCCCGGCGGGGCGGTCCATGAGTGCGAGCGAGACGGAGCGACGGGAGCGCGCCGTTCGGAGTCAGCCTGGTGCTGGGCGCCGCAATTAGGGGAGTGAGTGGCCCCTGCGGCCTCTCCCCTCCCCCTCCCCCTCCCAGGAGGGCCTGTTTTTGTTCGGCATCCCGCCAGCAGCGCGCCCCGTCGCCACGCCTGCCAGGTGTGGCGATGCCCCGGCGCCCCGGCGCCCCAGCCGTGCACAAACACCCTCCGCGGCCGCCGCGCGCTGCAGTGTGTGTGTGTGTGTGGGGGGGGGGGGGATGATCAGCTGCCGCGGCTGGCCGACGTCCAGTCGCTGACCCCGATATCGCACAGTGCGGCGAAACGGCCGAAACGCTGGCGCCCGCCTCGCGGTGCCTCTCGGTCGTGGGGTGTGGAGTTCGGGGTGGGGGTGTTGGGCCGCAGCAGCGACGCGTCATCATCCGCAGATGTCCGCCGCAATTTCACCGCATTGTACCATTTTGAAGCGCGCCCGTCTGCACTAAATCAGTTTCTAGGACGTCGCGGCGGGTTTTCGTGCCGCCAGGCCGCGCACGGAAAATGAAACATATTTCCCGGCGTATCAAACATGACGAGTGGCGACGGGAATAGCCCTTGCCTTCCCTTGCCGCGCGTCGGCAGGGCGTCGGCTTGACGGCCCCGTGCCGTGCCGTGCCGTGCCCTGCCCACCCCGATGTCGTGACGAATGGACGACGGGCACAAAGGCAGCTTTTCATCGCCGGCGGCCCAATCCGCCGAGCAGGGGCTGCTCTGCCAAAGTCCGTCCGTCCGTCCGTCCGTCTGCGAGTCCAGCCAGGGGACACTGGCGCCAAAAGAACCGCTGAAGCCGCTGAACCGTCGCGGTTTGAAGGTACGTGGTCGCGGCCGCCAAGAAGGCCGTGGAGGCCATGGCGCCGCCTCGCCGCCCTGCTGCACTGCAGGCCGCTGCACTGCAGGTGTCCTTTGCGGACGCGGGCCCGGCGGGCACGCGGCATCCGAGGCGCCCAAGGGGCGTCGTCTTCGCCGCTGCAGCGCTTCCGCGAAAATAGCGCCACGGTGGTGCCGGCCCCCCTCGCCGCGGCCCTGGCTACGCCCCTGCCCCAACGGGGCCCAACGGGGCCCAACGGGGCCCAACGGGCGCTATTTCGGGGCGCATGTTGTCGTCGCGGCCCTGCCCCCACTCCCCCCTCTCCCCCGCCACTTAAAACCAGGTAGGGCACGACGCGGCTCGCAGCTTCGCGTGGCATTCCCCGCGTTAAAATGCCTCCGCTCTGGCGTGGCGGCGTGGCCATCAGTCAGTGGCTAGTTGTCGCATGGCCTTGCGAACCGAGCGGCCCGACCGCCCCTCCCGAGACGTAACCGCCGGCAGCACCAGCAGTCCGTCGGTCTGCCGCCGGCGAGGTTGTTGCACCGGCAGAAGAGTTGACCCGTCGGCCGTCGCGAGGGGGGCCTCGGCGCCAACGTGCATTACTACACCGCTCTCTCTCTCTCTCCCTCTCCTCCTCTCTGCAGACGCGCGCGAAACTCACCGAGGATGCCCAGGCGGAAGTTGAAGGTGACGACGATGACCTTGCCGTAGGCGGCCAGCACGGAGCCGTCGTACGGGGTGCCGGCGTTCCACTCCAGGGACTCGCCGTGGATGTAGACGAGCACCGGCAGACGCGACGAGTGCGAGGAAGCTGCAACAAACAGAACACGCGTCGCCTGTAGGTTTGTCTCTCGTTCTTTTCGTGGGGGTGGGTGAAAATTTGGTCCAGGATCCTGTTTAGCGCCACGCAGTTGACGGACGCCCCCGCGCTTCCTGGCTGCAGTCCCCGCGGCACCCCGTTGCACAGTGGGCCAGCAGACCGGTGAAGGCGGCCAAAATTCTTGACGTGTTTGAGCTCCAGAGTCGCTAAATGAGACTTGAAGCGAACGTGTGACCCCACCAATGGATTGCTCTCCGAACGAGGAATCCATTCGTGGGGTCACACGTTCGGTTCGAGTCCTGTTTAGCGGCTCTGGAGCTCAAAACGCGTCTAGAGTTTTGGCCGCCTCCACCGGCCCGCTCCCTCGTAAAATGGCCTTAATTAAATTTAATAAATGTTATATTAAATCTTTATTAAGTTTTCATTAATATTTAACAAATACCAGTTTTATAAAATTTAATTAACTTTAATGAAGTTTCTTATTAACTTTTGTTAAGGGCCCGTTAATAAGGCCAGATTGGTGAAGCAGCTACCAATAATGCATCCAGGTAGCACGTCATAGGCTCTTTCCGTTAACAAAAACTAGTTAAATATTGTTAAAATTAACAAGTTTTAATTCAATTTTTTGGTTTTAATTAAAATCTTTTAATAAAATACCTTGTTAAAGTTAAAGTAATTTAATTAAAGAAGTTTTGATTAAAACCGGGAAACGTTTGAACTGGTTCGATAATTTCGGATGGATGTTCGACAGAGACCCTGAGGCCGGGTAAGATCCCCCTAGACACCTGCCTAGAGGAACCAAGTCAAAAATCAGGAGATCGGACTCCTCTGAGCGCGACTGGTTCAGAGGGATCCGCCTGCGCACCTTATGCTAGCGGCTATGCTAGTGAACTCCGCGAGCTAAGGGATTGAAGTAGACGGCAGCGCCATCTAGCGGCATACAAGTTTTTATTAAATTTAATTAAATCTTGCATTCATAGGACTGACTTAACATTATCGTATTTATTGCCTTGAAAAGCGCGTGCTTGATGTCGATGCTCAATTAATGGAAGCTAGTCCCTTTCCTCGCTTTTGTCCCGTTCAAGTCACGCTGTTCACGAAGACAAGCCTCTTGACTTATTGACATGATTAAATTAGATCGTAACATAACCCGTTAACTTAATCCAGGGCAAGAGTTCACTTTAATCAAAGAAGTCTTTAATTTAGGAACATCCGTAACAAACTCAAATTAAACACCGAACTAAACTTAACAAGACCGTCCAATGTTGTTAAAGTCAATTACAAACGAGTTTAATAAAGAAATATTTTTAACAAACATTAATGTAAGGTTCAAATTAAATTTTGTTAGATCATTTTTTTAATAAATCCAACTAATAAATTTTTGTTAAACACGGCAATTTAACAAAAGAAGTTTAATTAAAGTAGACGATTTAATTAAAAGTTGATTACTCTTAACAAAACTTTAACAAAAATTTTATAAAATTTAATTTAACGTTTTTACGAGGGTGTGTTGCTGCAGGTCAGTGCACGCCTCGGCATGCACGTATTACGTGCAGTGCACTTCCCGTTGTATGGCGGGTGTGCTTGTGCGTGGGAGTGGGTGGAAATAATCCCGTGCCGGTGTGAATAGCCAGGACACGGCGTATTCTTGGCCGCGAGTCCTTTTTTACGGCGGGGAGGGAGGGGCGGGGGCGCCGCCCTGTTGTTTGGCGTCGCGCTGGTGGCGCCTTCGCTGTGCCTTCGCTGCGCCTGCGATGGCCGCTGCCCTTGGACCCCGCGGACCTAGGGACCGGGGGCGGCGTCCCTTGAAACCGCGAGGACCGAACGCGCACTGTAAAACCAGAAGCTTTACGCTGTTGTGGTGCAGCGGCGGCAGTGGCACACCCTTCGAGCGCGCGCCGTTTTTGCACGCGCGGGCCAGATTCCGTAGCGAGTCGTTTCGTGTCGCTGCGTCCCTGTCGCGCCCACGGTGCGTCCCGCTCGGGTGCGAGAGAGACAGGGCGACGAATCGCAGACCCCAACCCGTCCATATGCGTGTGATTACCGTCGGGGAGTCGCGTTCGCGTCGCTTGCCGCCTTGCCTGCCGCCTTGCCGCGCACCTACTGCTATAAATAAGGCGATCTTCGGAGAAGGGGGAGGGGGGGGGGTAGGTGAAGGGCAGATGACGGGGCCTTTGAGGAGGACCAACTCGCCGTAATGTGCTCTGACGTCCCCGACGTCCCCGCTCTGGCGCGCGCCTCTGGAAGGAGGCCGTCGAGGAGGACAGGGGGAGTCGGGAATCTCGTTTTATTGCACAGTTTTCGTTACACTCTGCTGCACCAACTGCAAACTGCTCTCTCTCTTTTACAAAACTGTACGAAAGAACAGAGATTCGACGGCGTTTGCGGGTGCGGTCTGTCACAGGCTGTGCTTGTTTCTTCTCGGTAGTGCTGTACTTGTAGCTTGTAGCGTGCGCTGCTCATGCCGATGACTTTCGCCAGGCTCTGACTGCGGCTCTGGCAGTGCAAGCACACTGCAAGCGCGAAGGGCCCTTTGCGCGCCCAGCCGGCGCCAGCAGCGGCCAGCAGCGCGCCCGTCTCAAAGTCCCGCCCCGCCCCCGCTCGGCATCATACACTCGGCGCCCGCGAGCCAACGCAGCCACCTGGCCAAAACCAGAGACCAGCGCCAACAAACAATCCAGGGGCGGACTGGAATACCCTCTGGCCTGTGGTCGTGTTTTTAGCCGGCCAGCCTGCCACGCAGTGGCGTGGAGATCACTGTTGGTGCACCAGGGGAGGCTGCCGGACCCGGCGGCCCAGCGGCGGGCCTCGCCATAGGAACCCCTAGGCCTCACGGCCTCACGGGCGGGTAATCCTGTTAATTTCCATCAGATGAACCTCGGGGCACGGTGTCGGTGTCGGCAGGGCGGCGGGGGCGCGAGACTGTTTGCCTCCTTGATCACGACAAGCGCCTCAAGCTCAAGTCCCTCTGAGTGTCTCGCCGGGGCGATTCCCAGCAACACGTGTAAAGCCTCTCTTCAAGTGGCTCGCTCCGTCTCCGTCGCACCTTCGGGGCGGCTCGCGAGTGCGAGAGAGACAGGGCGACGAAAGCCACACGCTGTTCGGGATAAGCCCGCGGCGGCGCGTTCCGGTTGTTTGCTTTTCGGTCCGAAGTGTCTCCTCGGCACGCGCGGGTCGTTATTGATGCGAGCCGCCCCCGCCGCCATGCAGGCCGCCATCGTCCCGTTTCCCTAAAAAGCGTCTCGGGTTGCCTCTCTTCTCGCGTCCGCCAGGGCCCCGCGCTATGGCCCCGCGCCACGCGTCGCCTCGCCTCGCGATGGATGGAGACGAGTTCCGCTTCCGGAGGCCACACCAGTCGCAGTGTGATGACTTACAGTGAGCTAACTGAACACTTGGTTTTGTTTCTGGGAGACGTCCCCTAGAGGCGCGAGAGAGACAGTGAGACGAAAGTGACTCTCGGAATCAGTCCGCTGCAGCTGCTGGCCCAATGGCAACCAGACATCGCGCGCCGCCCAAATGATCCCCAACGTCACGGACTCAGAGGGACCCCAAGGGGACTCCACAAGGGACTCCAAAGGGAGCCCGAAGGACCGCACCGCCGCACACCGCACCGCGCTCAATGCGCGCGCCCTGCCGTAGTAGTACTACGCGCTAAACTTAGCCCTCGGCGTGCCGCGTGCCGCGCTGAGGGCGTGACCGACGCGGCGTGACGCGGCGTGACGCGGTGTGACGGGCACCTCGATCTCGGCCTCGGCGAGCACGACGGCCAGCACGACGGCCAGCACGACGGCCAGCGCGTGGAGCGGCGCCGCCGACAGCTGTCAATCCGGCGTCGCGCAATCGGGACGGTTTTCGAAAAGCAATCAGTTTTGGATAGTGATGGCGCCTTGTTTATCGCAACAGAAGTCTAGCTAGCCGTTTCCGAACAGGGGGTCCAACGCGGTGTCTCTCTCGCACCCATGGTGTGTCTCGCAGATCGTAGAGAGAGACGAGGCGCTGCTGTTCGGAATCTAGACTAGCCAGTGGAGATAGAGGAGTGCAAGGGGGAGACGCCGTCGGCGCGTCGACAGAGAGGGGGTCTGTGTCTGCGCCTTGACTTGCATGCTTTTGATTTATCCCCAGCCTCTCCTCTCCTCTCGGGCTGCAGGCTCCGCGACCCTGGTGGCTCGCGTCACTCGTCGACACTTCGACGGGATCCTTGACGGGTTCCTGGGCCTCCAAGCACCCTCTGCATACTTCATCCCCTTGTGACGAACGAGTAATTTGGGCCACTTCTCACCCGCCTGCCGCCTCTCTGAAGAGTCTTCTCGTCGCTCTGGCTTTGTCGCACTCGTGGCGCGCCCCGTAGGGGTGCGAGAGAGACAGAGCGACTGTTCGGAATCGCTCGGCGGTTAGTGATAAATCCTCGCTTCATGACTGCAATGTCCTCGCTGCCCGCGCCGCGCTGATGCTGATACGTGCAGCTGGCTCGTGTTAGTGCCTCAAAACACGCAGCTTACTGTGCGCGCACTGCGCCGGGCCGGGCCGGGCCGGGTTGGGTTGGGCCGCCGGCTCGGGTGGCCAAACAAACAGCAGTGCAATATACAGCTCCCTTAAATACCGCGCGGCGCGTTGAACCTCGAACCTTGATCGGCTGGCTGCATCGACGGGCCGATTTACTTCACTCCGAGGCCCGAGCCGAGGCCCGAGGGACGTCGAGGCGGCCGGGCCGAGAGGCCGGCTGCCCCTGGGCTGCCCCAGACGCGACGCCCTCCTTGGCCAGCCCGGCCTGCTCGGCCTCGGCCGCCGCGACGCGACGCTCGATGGCGCCGCCACAAAGCAGCGCCCGTCAATTACCGTCGATGGAGTCGTTAATCAAGGCCAGATTTATACCGGTATGATTTTTCATTCCGTCGCAACAACAGCGTGGTCGGCGGCGTCGCGACGCCGGCGTCGGCCGCGGCGGATTCCTTGGCCGGCCGCCAGAGTGCGTGCGGGGCGGGGCGGGGCGGGGCGGGGGGAGGCGAGGGGCAGCTCCACCGTGTCGCCGTGCGTCTCCGCGTCGCCGCTGCCGCCATGCACACCGTGTGCGTCGCCGCGTCGCCGCGTCGCGAAGACCAAGCCCGCCCAGACGCCCCAGACACAATCAAAGGGGAGGGCGGCCGGCGGTGCGACGGCCGCGGCGAGACGCCGCTATGGAAGTCCCCCCCCCCTCCCTCCACCGTCTGGCGACCGGGCGGGCGTATTATTGTGTCTGGACGCAGCCTCCCTCGCGCATGCCACGCCTCCGAGGGGCATATCGTGACAGACGCAGTAATTGGGGTCGCCGTCGCAAGCAGCCGTTCAAAGGCGCGTTCGGGGACGGCGCGTATTCGCAATGGAGCAGCCCGCCCGGCGACGCTGCACAGTGCGCCAGAAGACCGGTGGAGGCGGCCGAAATTCTAGGCGCGAGGTCCGGAGTCGCTAAATGGGACTCGAACCGAACGTGTGACCCCACCAATGACTTGCTCTCCGAACGAGGAATCTTTTGGTGGGGTCACTCGCTCGGTTCGAGTCCTGTTCAACGAGCTCAAAGGGCATTTGGAGGTTTGGCCGCATCCACCGGTCTTCTGGCCCACTGTGCACCTCGCTGCGGCGCGACGACGACGGGGACCGCGAATGCACCCGTCCACCGCGCGTCCTCCCTGGCCGGAAGCTTTGACTTCGGGGAAGGGCCAAAATAGTCGGCAAGTACCACGGCGTGCTGCGCGCCGCGTGCACCGTCGCGCCACATCCGTCGGGGCAGGAAGTGCCTTGGCACCTCCGCCACGGCCTTGTTGTCCACCAATCAGAACAGCGTACCGCGGCACCGCGGCACCGCCTGCATGCGTCCCGCGCCCGATTCCGCTGAGCGACGTTCACACTCAACCCCCGAAAAAATGTTTACAAACATCCTGCTCGGAAGGCGGACGTGCTGCGCCCTCTCGGACGGGGCGTGTCGGCGTGTCAGGAAGAACACATGATTATGCACTTTGAGGCGCGTTTGAGGAGTGGCCCCGGAGGCGCCGCGTGTCAGGACGTCAGGACGTCGTCAGGACGTCACGACTCGCATTCCGTCAGGCCGACGCGTCACGCGCGCGTCGTCGGCTGATCACTTTGTTTCAGACGGCGCGCTGCGCGCTGCGGCCTCCCCGTCGTCGGCGCCCTGCTCGGAGGGGCGGGGGAGCGCGCCGAGGACGGTGTGATTAACTACGAAACATGGACATTGCGCCAGGGCCGCCAGGATGCCGACGGGACGCCCGAGACGCTCACCATTGTGGACGTCGGCATCCTGAGCCACCGCGTTCATTTATCCTCGTTGTCCTGGGGCCCCGTGGCGCCGCGAGGACGTCGACGTCGCCGTCAAGCCACGTGACAATAACGAGAGTGGCGGCCCGACGGCGTGGCGGGCTGGCGGGCTGGCCGCGCGGGGCGCTAAATTTACCCCGGAATGGTGGTCGGGCCGAACCGCGAAGAGGCCGCGCTTACGCCGATGGCGACGGCGACGGCTCAGTGTTGCAAGTGCAACAAGTGGGCATCGGCGGAGGAGGAACGGGGTGACACACTAACGCCGCGGACCAGTGCGGCCCTCCCTGACTGTCATGCGAGTGTTTTCGCGGAGTTTTGGCGGGGCGGCCCCACCAGTTGCCGGGTCTCACCTTGTGACGGCGCGTACACGTTGAGGTACAGGCAGTCCTCGCTCTGGTCCTGCAGGTAGGGCAGCAGACGCTGCACGTGGCCCAGCCTGCCGGGCGACGCGTCCTGCAGCGTGAGGTCGGGCAGGGCCTGCGGGCACACGGGCCCGAAGCGGTCCGCCACCCTCAGGCCCTTCCACTGGCTGGGCGAGGCGGGCGGCATGAAGCGCTGGCTGCCCACCGGGGGCTCGGCGTAAGGCAGCCCCAGGAACTGGTGCACCTCGCCGAAGCCGGGCACCGAGCGCACCACGCCGACCAGGCGGCCCTGGCGCACGATGACCTCCCTCGTGACGCCGGACGACGGGTAGCGCGGCACCATGTCGTCGTACTGCTGCTGCTGGTAGGGGTACGCCGGCCCCGGGTCCGCGATCATGTCGCCGTCGGCGTTCTCCGCCAAGACCCCCGTGGGCGTGAACTGCGCCGACTTCCTCGGCGAGGACGTCCGCGAGCGGCCCAGCATCTCCCTGAGGCTGGCCGTGCCGTGCGTGGCCACGCGTTTGGGCAGCGCGCGCCACAGCACGGACTGGCGCTCCGTGTCCTCGGCGTCGTCGGCGCCCTGCTCGGCGCCCTGCTCGGTGCCCTGCTCCGGGGGCGGCGTGCCGATGCCGAAGGGGCCCAGGCCCGGGCCCAGGCCCAGCACGGGCAGCGGCTCCAAGGGAGCATTGAGGACGGGGGGCGTCGCGGCCGCGGCCAGCACCAGCACGGCCATCACCGCCAGCAGGGGCGACATGGTGGCGGTCAGCCTCGGCCTCGTCGTCGTCCTGGGTCGCAGAGACCCTGGAGCTGGGTGCGGGGGCTGCTGAGGAGTCGGGGCAGAGGCCTGCTGCAAGCCATGCTGGCCCCGATGCCGACGCTGGTCTGCTACCCCCACTGTCGCATGCCGCGCCGGTCACCGGCCGAGGCCTTCCCCGATGACGTTCCGATGGTCACTTTCACTGCGCACTGGCATGTCAGCCGACACCACACTGCACTGACGAACTCGCACTTTGTCGCGCCGGTCTCGTTCACGGCCTCGGAGGGCAAACGTCACGCGCGTGGCGCGGTGCCGCCGCGATCGCACGCCTCGGCCCCTCGGCCCTCCCCGCCGCGCACGCTGCCAAGCGCTGCTAAGCGCCGCCAGGACCCCGGCGTGACTGCCACACTGCCACTGCCGAGGGAGGCTGTGGTTGGGGCGCACCGCACCGCGCCGCACCGCACGCCGAACGCGGGGCCAGGCACAGGCACACCGGCATGGTGGCGCGGGGCGCGCGGGCCGAGCGCGCCAAGAATAGCAGCCCAGCAGCCGCCACCGTCTTCGCGGTACTCTGCGACCACGACAGCCACCTCCTCCGCATCCGTCCGCCGTCCGCCCCGCGACCACGCCGATGAGGACCGCGGCCACCGGCGACAGCGTGGGGGCGGGGGCGCCAGGGGCGGCCAGGCCGCCAGGCCACTCGGACTGCAGGCGAGACCGCGCCGCGCGCCACCGCACTGCAGCGAACGTCTCAAGCGGCCTCGGGGGAAGTGTCCGAGTATCCCACGTGTCTTTCGGGAAATCGGAAATCGGAGTTCGCGTATTGACTTCGGCGCCGCCGTGGGCGTTGGCGGGGAGCCCCGAGGCAAAGCGCGCGGGCAACGCTCCACAGGTGGCGGTGCGGGGCCGCCTCGCCGTGCCCAACTAGCTACTTGGCTTCAAAAACCCTCAGTGCTTGGACATGGTAAAGAACGTCAACGCGCCGATTTCAAGTTCTGCGATCAGTCCCTCTTGAGAGGAGGGGCCACGGCAATTTTCGGCTGCCGGTCTTGGGTCGCGAGTCCGAAAGGGTTGAGAAACGCGTAGCTAACAAGACCAGCCGGGCGCCGGGTAGGCAGGCAACTGTTCCGGCAGCTCTCTCCCTACGCAGCGTAGAATAAATTGCCTACCTCCACGGCGTTCGCCAGCCGGCGGGCGGCAGGGGCGTGGCAGCATGGTGGCACTCGGGCTGCAGAGCGACCAGTCGTTTCGTCTCTCTGTCTCTGTCGCACTCCTGGCGCGCCATGTAGAGGTGCGGGAGAGACAGAGAGACGGTCCTTCTGAATCGGCCGGCCTCCGTGGATTTCCCCGCGAAACTGTCCGGTCCGCTAAAGGCACGGTCGAGGTATATGGGTAACGGTAAGTTGGTGCTTGTTGGTACCCGTCGGCCCATCGCGACTCGCAAGGCGGACAGCGCACAGTGGGCCAGAAGACCAGTGGAGGCGGCCAAAACTCTAGACGCGTTTTGAGCTCCAGAGTCGCTAAACAGGCCTCGAAACGAACGTGTGGCTTTCTGGCCCACTGTTCAGCGTCCCTCGCGACGTCCTTGCCGCCGTTCAGTTCCGAGCCATTCGTCGTTCTCGAGTCCAGTCATCGAACCCCGCGGGACCCACGGGCCAGCCTGGTCGGCCTGGTCACAGGTGTGTGACTTTGTGACATGCCGCCCAGGGCCACCCTGCAGACTGATTCCGAGAGTCGTTTTCGTCGCTGTCTCTCTCCCATGAGTGCGAGACAGACAGAGCGACGAGGACGACTCTCGGAATCAGTCTCCTGTCATTAGACACACAGTGACAGAGTGGCAGCCGATGCTCCAGTCCAGTCGCGGCGTCGCGGCCGCGGCCGATGACGCCGCGACGCCGCCGTCGAGTGCGTGGCGGTGGTGCGCGCGGCGTTGCCACGTCGGCGCGCCGCGAGTACGGCGAGTACGGCCTGGACGGAGGGGAGGGGGATCACGAACTCCACGCTGCACCCCATCACGGCGATGCACCGCATAAAAAGCGAGCCTCGTCCTTTTAACTCTCAGCTGAACCGCGCCCGGCTCGCCGCCACGCCACGCCACCATGTTTAAAAGGCAAACCGGCTGGCCCCGCCCCGCCCCGCCCCGCCCCGACCCGCCGCCCGGTCTCCGGTTCAATGAGGCGGCGGGGGAAGGCACGGAAGGCAATGACCCGGCGTGGTGCGCCGCGCATGTGTGTGCTTCACGGTGCACTGCTTGCCTTGCTTGCGGTGCGCGCCGCGGCTGGCGCAAGACCGGCGCGTGGCGTAGCGTGGCGCCGTCCTGTGGGGTGGTGTGGCCCACTGTCTCTGAGAGCACGGCGTCGAGCGTCGAGCTCGCGTTGCACCGACGCCAGCGTTGTTCCTGCTGGCGTCATTTCGAATTGATTCCCGCTCGCCGCCCCTCGCGAGGCCCACTAGTTTTAGCATATGTGTGCTTGGGCACTGGGTCTGCGCGAGTGTTGACTCATCAGAGCAGCTTGCTGCAGGCAGCTCGAGCGGCCGGGCGGGGTGCTTGGCGTGCTTCGTGGCGCAGGGCGGGGCCGACCGCGCCCGACCGGTAGAGGGAGCGCAGTGGACTGATTTTTCATCGCTCTGCCTCTTTCGCATCCATAGGGAACGCCCCGTGAGTGCGAGAGAGACATAGCGATGAAAACGACTCTCTGAATCACTGCGCTGCGCAGCGCAGCGTGGTGTTCCCGGTCGGTCGGCCTAGGCGGCCCGCATGCCGTGAATCCGTGCTGGTGAGTGGAGGGCCCTGGACACTTTGTCTCTCTCGCGCTCATGGGGCGTCCCGCATGGCCGCAAAGGGTGCGAGTGAGAAGGAGCGTGAGGGCAATGCAGCGCGTCCTGCCCGTGCATTGCGTCGTGTACGGTGCGGAGAAAGCCTCCGGCGACAGTTCTGCCGGCATGCCGTTTGACGGTTCGGCGGCGGCCTCGGCCGGCACTTTCCGTCCGTGCGGGGTAGAGAGCGTGGGGCCCACAGTGGGCCAGAAGACCGGTGGAGGCGGCCAAAGCTGGCGGCAGCGAGTCGACGGCGACCATAGACGCGAGGCGGACTTTAAATCGCCCTACCTGCCGCGCCTGCGCTGCCCTGCTTACCGGGCCGCCTTGGCCCTTCAGTCAAATTAAAACAATGGTCGCACTGGTCGCGCCGCCGGAAGTGGAGCGGAGTGGAGAGACAGAGCGACGAAAACGACTCTCGGAATCAGTCTGTCGGGTCGCTGTTATCATCGAGGGAAGGTTCTTTATTTGGCGATCCTGCGGGCCGCGCCCAGTGTGCCGCGCCCTCCCCGCGCCGAGACACGGCCTGCCGTCTTCTTGGCCGCCTTCTTAGCCGTCCACGTCGCCGACGTCTCCGTCTCCCACTGCGACGATAAGGCGGACCTCTCGCTTCTATGAACCGCGCCGTCAACACGGTGGCACGGATGGAATGGCGACGGCGTGGAAAAGTGCCACTCCCCGACAGCGACAGCGGGGCAGCCCGGCCGGGCCGGCCGGCTAGACGCACAGCACATGCACAGCGCGCAGGGCTGCCGCCGCACGCCTAGGGACGGTGCGATATAAGTCGATAAGGACAGGCAAGGCAAGGCGGTGCGCGCGGAGCAAGCACCCATTCGCTGTGTCGCCGATAAGGGAGGCCTGGACTCGCACACACACACACACACACACACACACACACACACACACACGATCGCGAAGCAAGTCCAGTCTCGCAGCGTTTCCTTCCTGACTATCGCCTGACGCGCTGCAACGTCGCGGCGACGACGCCGACGCAGCCCGCAGGGTCTTTGCCTTGCCAGGGGGGCTGGTGCAGGTGTTGGAATGCCATTTCCATCCAATCGCGTCCCGCCCCGCCCCGCCCCGCCCCGCCACGCCCCCCGCTCGCGAGACCATGCCGAAGTGAAACAAGCCTCGCCTGCAGCTGTCTCCGTGTCCTCGACGCCGTCCTCGCGCGTCGCGCCCGTCGCGCCCGTGCCTCGACGTTCCCTGGCGCCCCGCCGCGCCCCGCCCCCCTCACCGTCCCCTTCCCTTCCGCCCGGCCGGCGCGCGTGCTTCGTGAAGCACGGGGGGAGTAGTGTCAATGACACAGGAAGAATGGGAAAGAATATCGGGAGGAAGCGGATTTCGGAAAGAACAAATACTAGATCCCCCCCTTTTCATTTGCATCTGTTCATTTCGTCGGCCGAGCGAGCGTGTGCCCTGCAAGCGACTGATTCCGATTCGTCGCCGTGCCGGGGGGGGGGGGGGGGGGGGGGTGAGACGGACAGCAGACTGATTCCGAAAGTCGTTTTCGTCGCTCTGTCTATCGCGCACTCGTGGAGCGTTCTTATGGGTGCAAGAGAGACAAAGAAACTCTCGGAATCAGTCTACAGAGCGACGAAAGCCCTGCTCGGAAGCAGACTGCCGTACATTCCCTTTCATCAATAATTCACGAGCGATGCGAGTGCGTTTTAAAGAGCTCCCCTATCGGCTTCGGTTCGGGTTCGGCAGCTCGCCGGAAGGTTTTTTAAAGCGCCCTTATCTGGCGTGGCCCCGATTCGGCTTTTGACATCGCACTGATAAATGCGGGAGCGCCGGGCTGTGGTGCAATGCAACGCGCAACAGGCAACACTGGACTGATTCCGAGAGTCGGTTTCGTCGCTCTGTCTCTCTCCCACCTAGACGGGACGCCCCATGAGTGCGAGAGAGACAGAGCGACGAAACCGACTCTCTGAATCGGTCTGCAGGCGGAGAGGCAAGGCCGAGTACAAGTTTAAAGTTCCCTGGCTCCTGGTTCCTCGTTCTCGGACGTCCTGAGGTGGCTCCGAGGTGGCTCGCTGATGTACAGCATAATTAGTCGTGTTACAGCATGATACTCAGAGGGAAACACCACTCCCTACACCGAGTATGCACAGCCTTTGTCTTGGGCGGGCGCGGGCGAGAGAGACACACACAGATCCGCCGCCCGCCGCGGCTGCCGCCTGTGATCAGGAGGGTAGGCAGAACCCAGACCGGACGGTGCGGCTGGTTGCATACGCCTACGGCGCACGGCGGGCCTTGCGCGTCTGTCTGTCTCGCTCTCGCTCGTGGACTTCCCTCGGGCTGCCCGTTTCGTAGAGCGGACGTTGCTAAAAACGGAAAGAGGAGCACTCAGCGGGCAGGAGGAGCTTGACGAGCCGGGGGCTAGCCGGGGGTGAAAGGAAGCGCGATGCGCGATCCTCCTGTTTTGACTTGTTTGTTTGTTGGCCCACGCGCAAACAAGGCGATTTTCCGGCCTCTCACTTCTGAAGAAAACCGGCGTGTATGAGCCGAGCTCCCATGCACATGCACTTGCACACACACACATCGATCCCAGCCCCAGCCCTCCCCTAGTTGGGCAAGAGGCCGCATGGGAGCGCCAGCAGCGGAACTGCGAGCAGAGCGAGGTGGGGGAGAGAAGAGGGGGGCGAGGCGAGGAAGGAAAGGAGGCGAGGCAGACAGACGGGACGGGACGCGACGGGCGGACAGCGACGCGGCACAGCAGGGAGCAGCCATAACAGTGTCTGGATTCTGGAGCCCTCAGAATCAATAACATCTGTGTGTTTGGCTATTCCTCATGTGTACGTGTTCATTTCGAAAGTCGAATTTCGGGCAAGTTGAAATCGTGAGCCGGAGCTTTTGTGTTTGGGGCCCGTCGTGAGGTCTGTTTCGAGGCCAGACTGTGTCTACATGGCTTTTCGAAATACCTAACGGTTCGGGCCCATCCTACTTTTCCCAACAGTCCCAACCAATTTTGTTTCGGCTCTCTTGGACTCAACACTAAATTCTAATTGTGCTTTGTATTGGAAAATTGAAGAAGTTCTGGAAAGAGAACAAGTCTGTTCAGTCCAACGTTGTGGTTATGTAAAGCTGATGTCTGTTGTGAATTGTTTCACTATGTGGCTGTGAACTGTTAAACATCATCTGTGTCTAAAATTACTCTTCAAACTCGTAATTTTTTATGAGTCTGATTTGCCAGGCTAAATTATAATTTGTAAACATACCTCAGTTTCTTTTATCAACAATGTTTGCTCCTTTGTTCTGTTGACTTGGTTGTTTTGTTGGCGTGTAGCTATTGCTAGTTACAACCTTCAATGTGACATGCAAATTTTCTCGGCTCCTGATTTCTATTTGGCTTGTCCTGTGTGAATTTATTCTCATTGCATGGTTCTTTTAACTTTCAGTTGTGTGCCAGGAAGGTTACATGTAAACGCCCGCTCATCTGCTGGGCTTTCAAAATTACACTATTTATAGAAACTTAACTGAAAATGATAAATCAAGATTATGAACGTCGGCTGCTGCAGCAAGCAGAGAAAGCCTGCTGGAACCCTTCCATGTCTCCAGTCAAAACACCAACCAAAGATAACAGCTACATGGACAGAGTGAGTTATTGATTAGCTTTTCTCTCGATGATACATTTGCACTATCAACTTTAGCCATTTGTATGACTCTTGTTTTGATGCAGTTGGGATCACCACCACCATTTTCTCCACCACCATATTCATCACCTCAATTTGGATCCCCATCACGAGGCCCAACTATTGGTGACAGATTTATTCCAGCTCGTGCTGGCAACAATTGGCAGACACAGTTCGCAATGATAGCAGTAAGAGATTTCCTCTTTCCTACCATTTGCTTTGCGCATTTTCTGTGATCTGGAGAACTTACTCAATTTATTTTACAGGACAACTCTCCAGGCAAGAAACTACGCGAAAACAGTGAAGCCACGAGAGAAAATCGGGAGTGCCGAGACAGTGCTGCCTATGTGTGCTTACTTAAAAATGAACTGTTGCAAGCTGGAATTGAAGACTTAAAAGGACAAGCAGAAGATCGCCGTGCTCTTGCTCCACTGCACAGTGGGAACCTGTTTCAATATACCACTCCAACCAAGCGCCATAATTTTACTTCACCATATTCTGTGTCTCCAGTTAGTGCTCGTAGTCAGAAATTACTGCGCTCTCCTAGGAAGGCTACTCGTAAAATCTCCCGCATACCATTTAAGGTATTACTGAAATTAATTCAAGTTTCACTTGGATTTATTTGTCATTGCAGCTAACTGATTTATGTGTTTCCTTTCCTTTGAAGGTTCTTGATGCACCAGAGTTGGGTGATGATTTCTACTTAAATCTTGTTGACTGGTCAGGTCTCAATATCTTAAGTGTGGGTTTAGGGACCTGTGTTTATTTGTGGAGTGCCTGCACCAGTCAAGTTACTCGTCTGTGTGATCTTTCTGGAGATTCAAATTCTGTGACGTCAGTAGCCTGGAATGAACGTGTATGTATGCCATTATGAAACAATAATTTGCCTACATGTCAGGAATGTTAAATAAAAATGTGTTTGTTTGCTTTTCCCCAGGGAAATCTTGTTGCCGTTGGAACACACTTGGGCTATGTCCAAATCTGGGATACTGCTGTCAGCAAGATGGTCAACAAACTTCAAGGCCATTCATCTCGAGTCGGATCATTAGCATGGAATGGGGACACTCTTGTGTCTGGCAGCAGAGATCGCCTTATAATGCAGAAAGATGTCCGAACTCCCTCCATTTTGCCGGAGCGACGGCTCGTGGGACACCGCCAAGAAGTATGTCCTTCAATATAAAACTGTTTGTTTACTCTGCCTGTTTGGAACTTACAAATACTTACTACCTCTTTCATTTTTAGGTATGTGGCCTTAAATGGTCTCCGGACAATCAATATTTGGCGTCTGGTGGGAACGATAATCGCCTCTATGTATGGAACCTTCATTCCTTGTCACCAGTTCAAACCTACACTGAACATGTAGCTGCTGTGAAGGGTGAGTGCCATGCATCCTTTGTCAACTGACTAATTTACTGTCTTCTAGCTCACCTTTATTTGATGCAAAGAGAGGGTTGCGTGATTGATTGATTCATTGATTCATTGATTGGTGTTTTTAGCAATAGCATGGTCTCCACATCACCATGGTCTCCTAGCAAGTGGAGGTGGTACTGCTGACAGGTGTATTCGTTTCTGGAACACCTTAACTGGGCAACCCATGCAAAGTGTGGACACCAACAGTCAAGTTTGCAATCTAGCGTGGAGTAAACATTCATCAGAACTTGTAAGTAATGTTTCTACATCTGGTTATTTCATGCCGCACTCAATTCCTTTGTCTCGTCTACAATGTATTTACTTTCTATGCTTTCAATTTCCAGGTGAGCACCCATGGCTATTCTCAAAATCAAATTCTTGTGTGGAAGTATCCAAGCTTATCTCAAGTAGCAAAACTAACTGGGCACTCCACTCGAGTTTTATATCTTGCCATGTCACCAGATGGTGAAGCTATAGTCACTGGAGCAGGTGATGAAACACTGAGGTTTTGGAATGTGTTCAGCAAGACCAGATCTCAAAAGGTAACCATGCAATAAAATTGGATCAATATACTTATGTAATATCTGAAGTTTTCCATACTTTCTCTAATCTGCCCTTTCTTTTTTCTCAGGAAAACAAATCAGTTCTCAACCTTTTCTCTAGTATCCGATAGTTGAAAATGTTACAAGCAACTATGAATGCAGTGAATCTGAGACAAGAGGACCAAAACCAAAATCATTCGTAGTTTGTGAAAACAGCTAATTTAAACCTGATTCAGGACCTTGTCCTAAATTCTTTAACCCTCTTACGAATTATTGTAAATAGTATTTATCAACTATTGAGATATATTTATCTGTACATAAAAAGTAGTGATAAAACATGTGCAATCTACTATCGATGGAAGTGCTTTGGCAATAGGATGCAACTGTCTTTCTCGGTTGAGACAAACCTTCATATTCCACTACAACTAAAAGAAAACTGTTAAATGCAGTTTTGTTTTATGAAAGCTGTGGTATTTAATTTACCCCTTTGGTTGAAATTCTACTTATGATACTCAAATAGTTTTTTAATTGACTCAATAAGAGTGTCTGTTAATGTTTTGAAAATGTCTCTCCATGCACTTTGTTAAATGCCAGTGACTTGTTGACAATTAACTCCCTATTATTTTTTGTAACTTTTTATTAGGAAGTAGAAGGAACAGTAGTTCTTCTAAAATTTATCATGGCAGTTAATCTTTGACACATTACTTACGGTCTTTGAGTAGTGGTGATTACAAAAAAAACTCTTTTAATGTCTGATGTCTTATACTGAATCATTTCCTTAGACATCACCAATTTTGCATTGTCATCAAATCCATACCATGATTTTGTTTATGTAAAGATCCGTTTGGTTCGCTTCCAATTGCCTCGAGTATAACCTGAAATAGTTCTCATAATTTGTGATTTTATGTTTAAGTTTTTACAACTCGAAATGCATTTATTAATTTTAGCATTTCACAAATATATTGAATTTTTTTTTATTGAGCTGATGATGTGGGTTTAGTTCTTGATAAGTTATTCTAAAGCTTTATGTAGTAATCTTCAAATTAAATCATAGCAATTTGTATTTTTTGTTTGTTCAAGGCATTAGTTAATGTCTTACTTGTTTTTTTTCTCTTTCATTTCATTAAATCTTTATTTAGAGTTTTATGTTTGTGTGACAGTTAGGGTGTGACAGTATGATTGTTGTTCAATGTTTTTCTTTCTAGTATGGATGAATGTTTGGTTTTTTAACTGAGTGTGTCAGAAGGCACTGCTTGATTTGATAAGTAGGAAGGTTTTGTGATGTTTCTCAGCCTATGAAAGGCTTTGATTCAATATCGCATGCTAGTCATATCAATAGATTTCCCTTCTTACTTGTCATCTGACTTGGTCTTGCCTCCTTACAGATTTCTGTTTGAAGATGACACTTGAAGTCGGAGTAGTTATCTTAGATTAATCGGGCAGTGCCGCCCTAACTTAAATATATAAAATGAATGTGTTTATACTCATTGTTAAAGAAAATAAATGATTGTCTGATTATTTATTTGTTGCTCAGTATCCCTTTTAAATTGTCTTAGTTGGATCAGAACCACTACTGTTGCTGGCCAAAAAATTGAGAAGCAAGCTATGTATTGTTGTCACTTTTCAACAAGAGCAATATTAGTACGTACAGCAGGGGCAGCTTGGGCTGCTTATTCCATCACATTAAATCTGCCTTGGTCTGCACTGACAGACTTGGCCACAGGAGACTTGGCTACTACGGCACAGCCAGGATTTGACGTGAGAAGATGTAGTCAGACGATGATAAATACTTTAATTTTTATTTTCAATTTCATAAATAAATTAAATATTTTGCTGTGTTGTTATAGTTCCTGGATAAGAGAGATCTTACTTGAAGAACATCCATGAGACATGACCACAGTGAAAACAATTCAATCCATGATGACATGTCAACAATTCTAAAATTGCCTCTCACAGGAGGCACCAACAGACTACAGGAGATTCCACCTTGATCTGTAAAACCAATAATTTAGCAGTATAAACTTAACAAATTCAACAAAAAATATACAACTTCATCTTTCTGCCCTTTTAGACACAGGGAAAATAAACAATAATAAGTACAATGCTGACTGAAGAAAATGTATAAAAAAATCTGCTGAGAAAATTTTCTTCACCGAATTATAGAAATAAATACAATGTCATAAGTGTATAGAAGCTTAAGAAATTCAAGCTTCCTAAAGAAAAATGAGAGTACACTAATTCACCAGGATGGACAGATGTCTTGCTAATCAGCAAACTAGCTCGTGTACACAGACCCTCAATCATAATAATAACCATAAAAATATTAAAAGAACTCCCCTTTGTCACTTAGAGAAGTTCTCTATCTTAGGTGGCAAAAGATGCCTTGCTGCTGTAGATTTCTTACAACTTTACTTAACTGAAGGAACGTAGAAACTCCTCTGGCTCTGGATCCAGTAGTTGGCCACCATCGCCAGGCACCACCTTTGGTAACCCAATAACTAAACACAAGACCCACGCTAACGTCAGGACTACAATGGGAGGGGATTCCACAAATTTGACTTAGAATCACAGTCGTCTAGAAAGTGTTTCGACTGGGACATGACGTCCAGCGTTTTAGTTGCTGTATGGTAGGCGCACCGACAGACCAACAGTCTCAATGAAGCAATCGCCCTACTGCACGCTGCGCTTGGCTGCGCTCTGCACGACAGACGGGGCGAACTGAAGAAGTGCTCGTTTCTTCTCCGCCTCTCCCAGTCTCGTTCGCTTTCATCCAGCTTGATGTTCGCGCGTCTCAGTTCACACACACATACGCTCGCACAACGACGTGCTCAGGCCTTGGGCGTCCGGTACACGCCGGCGAAGAGGACCGTCTTCTGGCCCTTGTCGTACAGCATGTAGACGAACGGGTGGTTGCAGATGAACTGGATGGGCGTGAGCGGCCGCGAGGATCGGAACGCGAACAAGGCCGTGGCCCCCGCCGCCTTGGTGCCCTGCTCGTCCACCTCGATCTTGGCCTTGTGCATGATGCGGTCGAACAGGATGCCGGGCTGGCCGGTCAGGCTGGTCAGGTTGGCCGTGGGCTTGAACAGGTCGCCGACGCCCAGCGCTTCCAGGGTCTGGGGGCACAGAGGCAGGACAGTCAGAGTCGCGCCTCGGTGGCGTCAAAGTGCGTGCAATAGGCAATGGCAGCGAGTGGCTCCTACTCCTACCTGGACGAGGTCGGCGGACTGCTCCACCTTGAAGGTCGGGATGGCCACCTCCACCTGCCGGGGCATGAGCTGGTCGTCAACCAGGTCCAGGACGACGTCGGGGGTGAGCGCGCCCAGGATGCCGTCGACGCCGTTGGACACGCCGGCGGTGCCCTCCACGCCCATGCCCTTGACGAAGGGCGGCAGCAGGATGTACATGGACACGTCGTGGCCCTTGTAGGGCAGCTCCAGCACGTGCGCGCCGAGCTGCTCGGAGACCTCTGCAAGGGGGAGGGGAGGGAGATCTGCGTTAGTTTGGTTCCACACTTGAGGGCTCTCAGGACGCCTTACAGACAGGGAATAGGCAGTCCCGCCGGACAGGAGTGCATTCGGGACTGCCTACTCGCCAGGCGCCATGACCCGCCTTGGACTTCGCTTGCCACTGCAATGCAAGGTCCCTCAAGGGCACTTCCCCGAGACATGGGCACCCAGTGGCACCCAGGGGCGGCCATGGGGACCCAGAAGCAGCCCACCCCCCACTGCGGGCAAGATATCGCACCGGGCGGCGTGGCCAGCGCTATCAGAGTGTCACAGTAGCTACTGACGTCGTCGCGACGTCGAGCCCTGTCGCCCCGTCCGTGTTTTGCCGCGCTTCGCTTTCTCCTCTCCGACCCTTTTTATCGACAGATTCGAAAAGCCCTCCCTCCCGACTCCCAGCCCGGCACTGAAAGCGACTGCTTACTGTAGTTGAAGCTGCCTTTCTGCTTCATCATGTTGACGATGGAACGCTTGTCAGAGGAGATGTGGAACACCTCGGCGTGGGTGTTCTCGGCGGGGAACTGGGACTGCCACAGGCCCTTGAAATAGGCAGCGTTCGCCTGAAAGAAAAAATAAACACATTAATATTCGACCGCAGACAGCACCACGCCGCGCTTGAATCCGCGACAAATTCGTAGCGCACTTACAAGGATAAGCTTGGTGTTCTCGTGGACGCCGTCCTCCGGGATGAGGTCCCGGATGTGTCCCTTGGTGACGTTCTCCACCCACTGGTTGATGGAGGCGCGGGCCGCGGCCGGGTCGCTGGCGAAGTCCATCACCTTCAGCTCGGCGTCCTGCAGGATGGCGGCCAGGCACTCGCGCACGCTCTGGGACTTGTCGATGAACAGGCGGTTGGCGGAGCTCAGCTCATAGCTGGACGAGTTGAGGGCGCGCTGCTCCAGCGTCTTCTCGTCGAACTTGTAGGCGTACAGCGTGGCCATCTTGCCCAGGCCGTCGGGGAGCTGCAGCACGCGCTTCACGGACTGCTCCGTGTGGCCGGCCGCCGTGAAGTACGCCAGCAGCAGCGCCTGGTAGATGGAGTGCGGCGACACGAACAGGTTGCCCTCCGAGGTGGCGGCCAGGTGGCGCAGCAGGTTCACGGAGAAGGCGCGCTGGCCCTCCGAGAGCGCCTGAGGGAGGAAGCAGGTCAGCGTCAGCTCCAGGCTCCACGCACAGTGGGTCAGAAGACCGGTGGAGGCGGCCAAAACTCTAGACGCGTTTTGAGCTCCAGAGTCGCTAAACAGGACTCGATTCGAACGTGTGACCCCACCTATGGATTGCTCTTCGAACGGGGAATCCATTGGTGGAGTCACACGTTTGGTTCGAGTCCCATTTAGCGAGTCTGGAGCTCGAAATGCGTCTAGAATTTTGGCCACCTTCACTGTTGTTGGTCCACTGTGAGGCGATGACTCGACAAGCACACTGAGGACTCGGGCGAACCCCGAACCTGCCACCGTCGACTCGACTCACCTGGCGAGCGTTGATGCCCTGCGTCATGGCCTCCTCGTCCACGCACAGCGCCTTGGCGGGCTCCTTCGGGGGCGCCAGCGCGGCCGGCGAGGGCGCCTGCTGCGGGGCGGCGACCGCGGCGCTCACCACGCACAGCGCCACCACTGCCAAGGGCAGCCATCCACCTGAGGAGAAGAGGAAGACGGAAGGGGTTATTAATCGAGCCGAGGCTTCCAGCAGACTCATTCCGAGAGTCGTTTTCGTCGCTCTGTCTCTCTCGCACTATTCGGGATGCCCCATGAGTGCGATAGACAGACTGCCGTGGGCGGGCCAATTAGAGTGGCCCATTTTGGCGGCACTTCGAAAGGGACGATCGCGATTGGCCAGCCTCAATCTCAACGTGACGCGGCGACGCGGCCTCGGGGGAACCGGCAGCAGCACACTCATTCCGAGAGCTGAATGGTCACCCTGTCTCTCTCGCACCTATACGGAACGGGCCATAAGTGCGAGAGAGACAGCGCGACGAAAACGACTCTCGGAATCAGTCTGCAGCAGCAGCTTGGAATGGAACGCCAACCCGGCAAAATAAATTGATCCCCGGGCTTCACAGGCTCCCGTTCCGGGCAAAAGGGCCCCCGCTTCGGGGCTTGTGTGGGCGTAGGGCGGGACGGGGCGAGGCGGGGTGCGGCGGGGCAGGGAGGGGCGCCATTCATAAAACGCGGAGGCGTTGGGTCCGCAAGGACTCGCGGGGGCGTAGATCGGAATGAATGAACACCGGGGTGGGGTGGGGGAGGGCGAAGGGGGTTGTTGATCAGCCGCGGGCGATGCGGGCCCCGCCGAGGCCCCGCTCTCGCGCTTTGCCTTTCCCGGCCTTCGACGATCCACGCGAAAAACAAGTGGCGCGGGCGCCACGGCCTGCAGCCCACAGTGGATCAGAAGACCGGTGGAGGCGGCCACAACTCTAGACGCGTTTTAAGCCCAGAGTCGCCCGAACGAGGAATCCATTCAGGCTCGGACTGGCCAGGGCAGACAGGCAGTAAAGTCTGCCGGGGCCTTCGGGTTTAGGACCAGTAACGTCACAAAGTTGGTCAAAAAGTGATTGAATCTCAGAAAGTAGCCGTTTTTGCTGAATTTGGGCGGCCACTGCGTCCGATCTAGTTGCGACCAACGGCCTCCCTCGACGTCCCAGTGTTCTTAAGACCCTACTCTTTCATGCCCTGTATCGGGAAGACGTTGACCACAACGATTTTGCCTTTGACCGCAACGATTTTGGGACCAAAGTTGGCCAAAAAGTGGTCGAATCTAGGAAATTTGCTGATTTTGCTGACTTTGGGCGGCCACTGTGTCCAATCTAGTTACCGTAAAAGGCCTCCCTCGACGCCCTTGCATTCTTAAGACTCTACTCTTTCATGCCCTGTATCGGGAAGACGTTGACCACAACGATTTTGCCTTTGACCGCAACGATTTTGGGACCAAAGTTGGCCAAAAAGTGGTCGAATCTAGGAAATTTGCTGATTTTGCTGACTTTGGGCGGCCACTGTGTCCAATCTAGTTACCGTAAAAGGCCTCCCTCGACGCCCTAGAATTCTTAAGACCCTACTCTTTCATGTCCTGTACGGGAAGGTTATTGACCGCAACTAGTTTGGGAGCGGTAGCCTCACAAAGTTGGTCATGAAGGGTAAAAACAATGATGATCGGGGGCCTTTTGCGCTCTTATCCGCCGGGGCCTTTTGGGGGCCAGTCCGAGCCTGAATCCATTGGTGGGGTCACACGTTCGGTTCGAGTCCCAGCGAGTTTGGAGCTCAAAATCCGTCTAGAATTCTGGCCGCCTCCACCGGTCTCCTGGCCCACTGTGCGGTGCCTCTTCGAGTCCTCGGCGCGGTAAGTCCGTATTATCCGCGCGTCTGCCTCTCCGCCTTGACGAAAGCCTTGACCTCGGCCAGGAGAGGCGCGGTGCAGCAGGGCGCGCCGCGCGCCGCGCCGGGTGGAGCTGTTGGCTCGGCTGTTGGCATACCGCTGAGGCGCGTTGCGCGTTCGGGGACAATCCGCTTCCTGTCTCCGTCGCTCCCGCTTGAGCAGGCTGGCCGGCGCGGGCAGTCCGACGGAGACAGAGAGTCTCAGGGTGAACGCACCTCGAGCCTCCTCACCGTGACAAGGCTGTCGCCCGCCCCGCGCCGAGCACCGCGCGAGCACCGCGCTCTCGGCTTTTTGTCCGTCTGGGGTCTGGGCCACAGTGTGCTAATATGCACGGCGCACACACGCACAAAGGCACACTCACACAGAGTGAGATCCACCGGCCGGCCGTTCGAGAGGCTCTAGAAACGCGGCGAGGTGCCTGGCTGCAGACTCATTCCGAGAGTCGTTTTCGTCGCTCTGTCTCTCTCGCACCCATACGGGACGCCCCATGAATGCGAGCGAGACAGAGCGACGAAAACGACACTCAGTGTGCTGGGTGTCCTGGACGTCCTGGACGTCCCGGAATTCCCCGAGCGACGGCGAGAAAGGAGTGCTGCGTATAATGCCCTGCCCTGCTGCCTGCGGCTGCCAGTGCCAGGGTCGACGGGGCGAGACACGTACAGGATGGTCTCGGACTTTTGCTCTTGTTGTCGCTCTTGATGTTGCTGCTGCTGGCCGTCCAGTTAATCGGCGATCTCCATCACGATTTGTCCCGGCGTGCACGTTGCACGTCGCCAATAATTTGCAATGCCGACGCGGCCAGCGCTGCGCTGCCATTGGCTGCCATGCGCCTCGAGGTATGGCGATGTGCACGAGGCCCGCGTCGGCGGCCCGACATTTTGAAAACGCGATCCGTTTTTTTCGGGTCCTTGTTGACGGCGTGCCTCAGGGCCGACGCGGAAGTCTGTCGCACCGAGCGGCGCCTGCCGCCATGCGGGTGGCCGCCATCGTCGCGACTCTAGCGTCGCCTCGCCCAGCGCGCTGCCACACCACACCGGCGTGCATGAGGGTTAGGTCGCGGTGGGCTCACCAGCACGCCAAGCGAGCCGGCCGGGCCGCGGGCCGCACCGATCGGCGGCGCCTCGCCTCGATGCCACCAGACTCATTCCGAGAGTCGCTTTCGTCGCTCTGTCTCTCTCGCACTCATGGGGCGCCCCGTGTGGGTCGAGAGAAACAGAGCGACGAAAACGACTCTCGGAATCAGTCCTGCAGCGCAGCCTAGCGCGGCGTGCGCCGCCATGGTCGCCATATCACTGCCAATGCCTGCGGCAGGTGTGCTCGGTTCAGCGCGCTTCCCCGGCACTGCCGGCACTGCCCACGCCACACTGCAAGCCCCACTGCAAGCCCCGCCATCGCGTCGGAAGCTCACTCCGAACAATGTGCTTTCGCCTTTTCCCTCTGTCTGTCTCCTCCGCACCAATGCGGCACACGGCACGTCACATGAGTGCGTGAGAGACAGCGCAGCGCAGGGCCAGGAGACCGGTGGAGGCGGCCAAAATTCTAGACGTGATTTGAGCTCAGGAGTCGCTAAATGGGCCTCGAACCAAACTTGTGACCCCACCAATGGATTCCCCGTTCGGAGAGCAATCCATAGGTGGGGTCACACGTCCGGTTCAAGTCCTGTTTAGCGACTCTGGAGCTCAAAACGCGTCTAGAGTTTTGAGTTGTGGCCGCCTCCACCGGTCTTCTGGCCCACTGTGTTGCGCGACGAAGCGCGGTTTTGAATGGGCCTGCCGGACGCCACGGGACGAACGCTGCTCTGGATGGGATGGGGCATCTAATTGGCCTGGTTCCCCATTTCGATGTCGGCGTCAGCACACTGATCCCAAACAATGCTTTCATCTCTCTCTCTCTCTCTCTCTCTCTCTCTCTCTCTCTCTCTCTCTCTCTCTCTCTCTCTCTCTCTCTCTCTCTCTCTCTCTCTCTCTCTCTCGCACTCATGCAGCGTGCCGTTGGGGGTGCGAGAGAGACAGAGCGACAAAAGAGCGGGATCGCTCTGCAGCAGGTCCACCGGCGCGGCCGCCCCGCTTCCTGTGCGTCCGTTTGAACCCACCGTGGTGGGTCGACCGCGGTGTGTGGCGCTGTGCTAGCTTTAGCTTTAGCACGTCGAGGAGGCGGTGAAGTACACAACGTTTCGAGTCTTTTCTCGAAGGTGTCGGTAATTTTGAAAAAAAAAAAAAAAACAGAACTGAGGTGAGAAGGCGTGGCATTCCCGGCCGATAGGAGCCTCTCCGACAACACGTCTGACGGGTACTCGGTGACGTCACCCAGGACGCGCACTCGCGTACGACTGACGGGGCGGGGCGGGGCGGGGTCGGGCGGGGCGTCCCGCGAACTGAACACGCACACCGTGGACTCTCTTCTGCCGGTCTCTAGTCCGGCCGACGACGCGGTGGGCCCCGCACCACCCCAGAGGCTCTGCACTGCCAGAGAAAGCGATCCAGTAGTTCGCGGATCGCGTTTCCACTGTGCCGGCACCCCCATCGGCTCAGCCGTCCCGGAACTGGGAGCAGCAGGGCTGCATCTACCGCTGCGGCTCGGAAGATATGGGGATGCGTCCAACTCCGGCGCTGGATGTCCCGACGGTCGAGTCCGGCCTTCGGCGTGCCGCGCCGCGTCGCCGCCCTGGCCGCCGCCACAATGCAGTCCTTGCGCAACGCCCCGTGCCTCTCCCTCCCTCCCACGCCACGCGCCGCCACGCGCCGCCACGGCCGCGCCCAGGGCGGCACGACGGCGAGCCCGCCGAGTTGGGGTGTCCATCTCTACCTGGTGTCCTCCACGCGTGATGCAACGACCCGGGAAAACCGCCGGCGTTTTGAGAAGAAACTACACGGAGGAGGAAACGGCGTTCCGAGCGCAGGCCGAGGCTGCCCAGGCCTTGGAGCGCCTGCCGGCGAGCGGGGTAGGCAGGCCCGGCGCACAGCGCTGCGCCGAACGCAGCGCGCGGCCTACCTCGCAGGCGGGCAAGCTCCAGGCCGCCGCGGCGCGCGCTCCGATGAACCTCCATCCCTCTCCTCCCCGCCCGACACTCCGGCACGCGGCGAAAGCGGCAGAAATACAGGCGGAAACGGGAAGAGCGGGCAAAAAATCGGATGCGGGACAGACAAGCCCAACCAGCCCGCCGTGTGCCGCAGCAGTGCCTTTTCTTATCTGTTGCACATTCCGAAGTCCGCCTGGCGTGCTCCGGAGTAGGCCTCGGGGGCTGGGGGCGCCCCGCGGGTGGCGGGCCTGGCCGACGGCCTGGCCGACGGCGTGCAGGTGCGGCGGGCGCGCGCGGGGACTCCATGGAGGGGCCGAGGGTGGCAGTCCTGGCCACCCCTGGCGCGTGATAGCGTCCCGCACGTCGCCGGCCTCCCCCTTCTCCGTCCACGACGCCGTGCACCGAGCCGAGGTCCACGCCTCCGGCCGTGACCAGGTCGCGGATGCTCGCCGGGTTTTCCTAATCTCAGTGGCACCGGCCGCCGCCGCTTGCCGCCAGCTCTACCGACCGCCAGCGCGGGTGGCCCTCGTCCACCGCGCCACGGCCGACTGCGCACGCACCCAACCTCGATGTGAATGCGTGTCTGTCTGTGGGCATGTGCCCAATGTGAATGTGTTTGGGGCGGCCGCGGCAAGACTGGGCGACTGGGCCACTGTAGGACTCCAGGCCACTCCAGCCCCCCCGAAACTGGAACAGGTTGTGGGACGTCACCGACCGGACTAGCCGGCCGGTCGGGTTGCGGGCGTGACCGGTGTGATGTCACGTCTCGATGCCACACTGCAAGGCCTGGCAAGGCCTGCGTGAGTCAGGCGGCACGCACTGTGCACCGCGGTGCAACGCTATCGCAATCACCCCGAAAAGCAGCCATCCGACAAAAGAATCCCGAATCGGAGTTCTATTTCGGGCCGCCGATCGAGGACACGTTGCGTGCGGCCTGTGGACACAGCAGTCATCCGGCGACGAAAAAACAGGGAAGACTTTCGGGAGGTTTGGCTTTGCCGCCCGACGCACAGTGGGCCAGAAGAACGGTGGAGGCGGCCAAAACTCTAGACGCGTTTTGAGCTCCAGAGTCGCTAAACAGGACTCGAACCGATCGTGTAAATCCACCAATGGATTCCTCGTTCGGAGAGCAATCAGTTGGTGGGGTCACGCGTTCGGTTCGAGTCCTGTTTAGCGACTCAGGAGCTCAATACGCGTCTAGAGGTTTGGCCGCCAGCGCCGGTCTTCTGGCACGCGACGGGGCTGTGCGGGTCGGACTTCCCGCCGGGGCGCCGCCAGCCCTGGCTGCCCTGGCTGCCCTGGCCAGCGCGCCATGAACACGGCGAGCAGGAAGGCGGCCGGGAATTTCGAGTCGAAAAGGGAAAGGAGGAAAGCCTGGGCCAAGCCTGGGCCGGCCTGGCCTTGGCCCAGTGCACGGTGTAGCGACACGGTGTAGCGACACGGGGGAAGCCCCAGCGAGAGCCTCGCCAACGAGAGCAGAGAATTTCCCGGCCGGCGCGGGGTCGAATCCTCATCGTGCCGGATCTCAAGAAAGAGTCTTGTGAGCCGCCGCCGCCACGGCCGTGCGCCGCCGCCGTGCGCCCTGCTGCCGTCACCTGCGCCCTCGCTCGGCCTGAGTGAGTGTGTGTGCGTGAGTGTGAGTGCACGGCGGAGGTGTGGGTGTGACGTAACGCCGGACTGAGGCTCCGAGTTCCCCCCTCCGCGAGCTCCGCCGCCCCCCGACGCTTTCTCGGTCTCTGAGTCTCAGCCGGGCCGGCACGCACCGAGCCTAACCGCCTAACCGAGCCGCCCATTCAACAGCACTCGCATGGTGTTCCTGCCAGCGGCCCGGCGACGGCGCGACAAAAAACAAAATCCAAAAGCGCCGCCGCCCTGCCGGGGATCGAACACGGAGCCGGCCGAGGAGCCGGCGAAGGTCGCAAGCATGGGAGGCCAACGACACGCCAAAGGCTAGCCAAAGGGCATCAAGGCCACCGTGGCGCGCGCTATCAGGCGGTCGGCCTGTCAGCCATGCTGTCAGGCAGCTAGACAGCGAGCCGGTCCAGAAACACGAGGGAGTCCAGAGCTAAGGCCATGACCGGTCTCGTGTGATTCAGGTGCAAAAGTGCACGCGCGCACCTGCGGCATGGCTGCCATGGCCGCCATGCGGGGCGAACGCGGCTGGCGTGCGCTTGAGTCGGGCTTGAGTGTACAGCAGCAAACGACTCGGAGAAAAACATTGCGGGGCCGTGCTCCAAAAGACAGTAGGCCTTGCGCGATGTAAGAGGGGCGTACGTTGGGTAGGGCTGGGTCGGGAGGTTGCGATCATGGGTCTTGTGTTTGGGTACGGCCCCCCGCCCGGTGTTCGCCTCCAGAGGCAAAGTCAAAACGTCTTTGCGAGGGCAGTCGGTCGGGCAGCGCGCCTCGCGTCACACTCCGCGGCAAACACGCACGATCCTTCTGGCGACGCTCCACGACGACGAGCTCGAGCGTGACCTACAGGAGCTCCTCCCGGTTATGACACGGCGCAACGGCCTGCGCGCCAGCAGGGCCGGCGGCGGAACTGTCCAGCTCCGCGGCTTCGCGGGGGCACTATGCACTAAAAAGTCAAGTTCCGCTGCGACTGCACTTGGCTGTTCGACCGGACGCCGGCGTGGGGCACGGCGTGGGGCACGGCGTCCAACAGGTGCCGGCTTACCTTCCGTGCTCGGGGACTTCATGATGTCGACGCGGTGCACTGCGGTGTGGTGCGGCGTTCACTCTGGCAGCAGCTCGGTCCAGTCGGGGTCCTGCTGCAGTCACGGCGGAGGCACTACTGACTGACGGCGGTCGGCGCGGACGGCGCGATTCAGCAACAACTACGCTCTTACCCGCCACGCTCCGCACCAGAGGAGTTTCCCGCGGCCCGGCCCCGCGAGGGCCCTGCCCCACCCCGCGCCCCGCGCTCACAGAACGCGTTCCCGAGCCGGAGCCGAGTGGGACGGGGGCGCCCGAAGCGGCGCCGAGCGCAGCCGAGCCGGCCGCCGAGGGAAAAGGGCGTTTCGGTTTCACCTGCCGGCCTGCCGGGGTCTTTCAGGTTCTGCCCGGTGGCCGGCCTGGCCGGCTTGACGGCGTGCTGTCGTGGCGCTGGGCTTCCTTCTTGTTCCGGGGGAACGCCTCCGACGCCGCCGCCTCGCGCCCCTCGCGCCATTCATCGCCCCTTTTGCACCGCCCGTCTGCTCTTCTTTTCTCCTCTTTTCACCCCCCCCCCCTCCCCCTCCTCCCCCTCGCCACCTGCGGGGCTGACTCGGCACTGCTCGGCACTTCGCGACGGACACGACTCCCGCTTGTTTTCGCAGTGAGTGTGTTTTCGTCCCGGGGGTACTTCTCGCTCTGGAAAAAAAAATACGCGCGTTGGACGAAAATCGTATGCCGTGGTGCTGAGCGAAATCCGATGCCGAGGCTCCTCCAGTGTGCGCCCACATGTGAGCGAACACCGGCAAGTCGTGTGTCTTGCGCGGTCAAGTGCACCATGACGTGTTCCAGGCGCGCTGCCTCCAGGAACGACTCCCGGAACCCCCTCTCGGCTGGAACGACTCGCGGAAAGTCCTGCGGCTCAAGGAGGCTGCGTCCGGGTCCTGAGGGAATCACCACCGCGAGGCACAGAGGCGTGCGCAGAAATTTTGAAAGGGAGGCGACGCTTTCTGCCTACCATCAGGCGGAATGCATCGTAATTTGCCTACCTCGCAGGCGGCTGACTACTGCGGAAAGGGTGAGGGGTAGTCATGACCCCCAAACCTCCCCCTGCGCACGCCACGACTCCCGGAACACCGACCGGGCCGGGACCCACGAAGCCTGCTGCCTGCGTCCGATGCCGTTCTTTTCGGGGAAAACGATAAAAGTCGGTATCGCGAGAGGAAAAGCGGGCGCGTGATTGTTTTGGTTTTGGTTGCCGTGACAGGGTTCGCGAAGCCGCTGCTGTGCGCCCCGCGCTGTGACGCTGTGACGCCACGCGGCCGCTCTTTCGTCACCCTTGCCGGCTTGGCTTGTCCCCGCCTGCCTCTCGCTTCTCGGAGGAGGCAAGTTTCCTTCCACATTCCTTGCGCAGCATCAGCGCCGTTTCGCAAAATGTCCAAACCGCGTCGCGTACGCGGCCGGCGTACTCGCGAGACAGGGGCGCCTATCCTGGGAAGGAGGCATCCGCGCATCCGCGCATCCGCACCCGCCGCGACAATGGCTCGCGGCGCGCCCTGCACCTGCACGGCCACACGGCAGTCGACCTGGCGGCCTCGGTGGGGTCTTCGACGTCCTCAAGGAGCGGCCGGGCCGGGCCGGCCGGGCGCGATGACGTCAGGGGCTGCCCAAACCCGCGACGACGACGTGCCCAGGGCCCAAACAATGGGCCGCCTTTTGGTCACAGCGGAGCCAATTGAACTCCGTGAAGTACCGCCTTGAGCAGACCGATTCCGAACGGCGCTGTCTCTCTCGCACCCCTACGGAACGCCCCACGAGTGCGAGAGAGACAGAGCGACGACAGCATAAGGCAGGTGCTGTGGGGCCGGCCTAATCGCGCACTCGCGCGACGCGACACCAGTTGGACGACTTCCAGAGACGATTCGTTATTCGTGTTCAACAGCAGCCTTAGCCTTGCCTTTACGGGCCCCGTGTACGCGACACGCCCAGGGTCTCCATGGCCCCAGCCAGGCCCTCGGCGCGGCAGTAGACTGATTCTGACCGAATCCGAAAGTCGTTTTCGTCGCTGTCTCTCCCGCACCGGTACTGGACGCCCCATGTGTGCGAGAGACAGCGACGAAAACGACTCTCGGAATGAGTCTGCAGGCGCGGTGCGCGGGCGGCGCGAACGCGGACGGGATTCCCGGGGCCGTCGTCGCGTCCCCGGTACAAAGCGCCAAGCGGGGCAGCGCGCACCAGGCACGGGCTGGTGGCACGCCGTGCGGCACGGGCACGCGGAAGGCGCGCGCATTCGCGTTACTATTGTGTTGTTGGTCCCTTCGGTTCGGCCCGGCCGGCACCCGTTATCGGCATCCAGGCGTTATGGTCACTCCTCCGAGGAACGGCGGGAAAGGGTGACTCATGGGGACGACCAGACCAACCAGACCGGGCCGGACCAGCCAGTCCAAGTACTCGCTCGGGCCACTTGGGAGGGAAGACTGAACAACGCTGGGGAAACTGTGGAATTTTGAGCGGGTACCTCAACCGAACAGACGACCTCCCATGAGAGTGTCCCTCACGCCCAAATGTCATGGATGTTCTCCGTGCAAAAACTGTCCAAGAGTCAGGATAAGGAAGAATAACACAAGTTTGGTACAAAAAAAGTTTATGAACACAGTTTCAATCATTTCGTTTCTGCAGAATAAAGTCTCATATTGCCCTTCCACACAAATTTTTTTCTTTCCTGTATAAAGTTTTCAATTGGCATTTTCCAGAAAATTTATATCAGGATAAAGTCTCTTGACAGTTGCAAGGAAAGTAAGTTTCCTTAAATCAATTACAACATTAAATATATTATATTAATTAAAAAGAATGACTAAAGTTGATATTTCTTTACTTTAAAATTCACTCTATAAACACACTCAATCAGATATATCTTTGTGCAGGGTATGACGCTACAATAAGGATATCATGAGGGCATTACATGGTATTTATGTGAGTGCTCAGGTACGCGCTTTTTTACTAAAATGCTCTAAACAATTAAAAAAAAATTCTGCCATTGCAGCCAAAAAGCCTATCACCCAATTTCCTTCATAGAAATCTTGGTATTCTATTAACAAATTCAATAACAGAAAGCGGTGGGTACTAACTACCCATTAACAACACAACAGACCTTGATAAATAAGACACAAGTATCATGTGTGATTAGGAGAATAGATCTAAAAGCACAAAATCCCATAAATTAATAAGGCTATAGTTGATTTAACCAAACGTGGGAGAGGAAAAACTATGAAGGATGTTACAATGTACAGATCAGACCCTGATACTTAAGTGCTTGAAAGCTTGATCACAATATTTTTAAAAATGCATACAAACATTCTTGATTGGAACACTTTCTCTCCACTTGCTAAATTTAGGCAGTGAAATATTGCCGAAAGGAAGCAAGAAGAGAGAGAGTGAGAGAAAGTAAACTAGCCTGCACTTATCCACCCACTTTCTACCATGTAATTAAATATATGCTTCAATGGCTCCCCATCCAAAGTACACGTTTGAGATAGAGTTGGTCCATTTTCTCTCTTGCTACCCTTGTTGACATGCATCTGCAAAGAAGAAAAATCAAGGTCAGTGTCAACAGAAGCCTCTCCAGAAAACAACCCAGTGACAATCAAAACCTGCTCTACCCACCTCGAGAAGAGAGTATTTAGCGCCATAATATTGATTAGGTGTAATATTTAATGATGAACATAGCTGAAACACGGACCGTTGGATTAACAATGAACACTGACAATGACCTAAGTGTGACCACGGATGATGGTGGAGCACCAAGTTTACCTTAGCCTCATCTTTGGAAAGCAAAGGGTAGCCGGGGAGGGCCGCGACGTCCTGAGGAGTGTCCCCTGCCATGGTGTCGTCGCCGTCAGCGTCCCCGCCACCCTCGGCACCGCTATCTGGACTCACGGGAAACAAGCAGCGATCGTTTCCCGTAGATGTTGATTTTTTTATGATTGAGTATGAGCCGCCTTTTTCTCTGTAATGCAGAATAGACCTGTGTTAAGAATGTGTCAGGGAGATGTTTCAAGTCACCGGCACATTCAGCCCATGTTTCCCGCACGTATGAATTCAAGCACATGAGTTGCAGTTCAAATGAGTATGAGACGCAATGTGAAGTTTAATTGAATCAAAATTATAGTACAAAGTGTACAGAAAGTCTCCTAAAACAGCAAGTTAGCATTCAAATTTCATCAGTTCACCTTGATGCTTCAAGACTAAATAATAGAATTCAGGAACATGCATTTCCCAATCATTTTATGACCACTCCAAAATTAATCAATGAAAAATAATTAGAAAAAGAAGACTATTTGGAGACAACCAGCTACAAACGTAAACCAGGGGTAAGTTGGGAAAGAAAATTTTAAGTGAAGAAAGGTACATCCACCTGGGGTTCACAGATCTCTATATACATTTGACAGGAATTTCATGTTAATTTTTTTGAAGTCAAAATGTCAGCTCTACATAGGTGTACTTTTCTAACCCACCTTACCCACAGACATAAACCTTAATAAAGACTTGGAAGGCACAAACACCCAGGCATAACTCAGTATTTATCTACAAAGCAGGAAGACTAAGACTTACAAAGTAACAACATACACACACATTCATGGTTATTACTTTACATCAGTGGAGAAGAATCTTGATGTAATGTAACCTGAGTACTCTGATAAAGTCAGACCACACCACATCACACGCAATCAAACAACCTTTAATTGCAACAAACAGTCCATCAAAACCAACTAACCTTCTTTTTGACTGCGCTGACAGAGGAGAGAGGGACACATTGCAGCTGTCCTAGTCAATAGTAAACATTGTAGTAATTTTTCAATTGAAAAATATGACCCATCCATTTAACAATTTTTATGATTAATTGATTGCTTACCGAGTTCCTGCGCTTATCCCTGGCTTCTTGTCTGAGCTGTTCAAAATGATGACATTCCTCAACTGTAGTAATTCCATGGCGACGGTATCTCATCAACTCATTAATTCGAACTTCAAGCTCACGCTGGCGTCGAATGCCTGACAAGAACTGCTCATGTTCTTGAGATGAATGAAATTGTGTTAAAACACGCATGTGCTCTTGGAACTCCCTATGAAAAACGCATTGAAAAACACATTAGACATGGCAGAAAATGCAATCAATGAGATAACTCAGTATGAAAAGAAAGTGTACCTCTCCTCTCGGGTCAGCTTCTTTTTCACAATAGGACGCTCTTTGCGAGTAGTAGGCTGGAAGAAATTTGCCACAAGCTGGTAATCTCTGCCAACTCTTTTGCGTCTAGCCCTTTCTCTTAGTCGTCTAGTATACATATCCACTTGAGCAAGTTTCAGTGCTGAAAGATAAAGAAGTAAAAATTGTTAAAGAAGTAAAAATTTTAAGCGTGTTATGTGATGTCTCATTCACCTACCTATGTCAAGTTCATCATCTTCTGTGGGGTGAATTGATAGTGGGGAAGCAAGTGATTCAGCATCATTGTCATACTCCTGAAAAATCAGAACACAGAATTTCTTTAGATTCTGACAAGCCAAAAAGATAACAATCATCAATTTGTATACAACAGACCTTTTCATAATCATCCCTGAGAGGCATGTAGCCCAACTGAACACATTCTTCAGCAGTAATGTCCAATGGTGGTAACTTGTTAATTTGTTCAGGAGCAAGCGGACCTTCATCAGGGAGTGAGACTTCTGCTAAAAGAGGGCGCGAGCTGGCAGCTGAAGTCCATGTAGCTTTGCCAACATTACCCTCTAAATAGCGAGAAATGTACTCCTCTCTAGCTTCTACAGTAATGGTAAATTGCAGAGAAATGTTAAAAATGTAAAAAATATCAGATAATAGGCACAATAATTTTGAAATTAATTCTTAAGTACCTTCAGGAGTTCTGGTTTCAATGTGACGACTAATATCTTCCCAGTTTCCAAACCCATACTGCTCAATAGCATCAAGAAGGTGCTGTTCTTCTTTAGCTGTCCAACCACTTTTACCAAAACTAAGTCCGACAGATCCTGAGTCCTGAAAGAATCATGTCAGTGGTAAAATATTTATTTACACTGAAATAGTTCATATAAATGTGTAAAAACCAGATTAATCCTCACTTTAAATTGATAAGGGTGATTATTTTTATGTGGTCCAATTTCAGCACCTGCTGCAAAACACTAAATCAGGGAAAAAAAATTATTCCATAAGGTAAGTAAAAGGAATAAATAAAAAGCAACTTTGAAGTCCTGCCTTACCTGAAGGCATATTTCAAAATCAGTGCACTCGACGCATTTTACACGTAGTCCTGTTACGTCTTCTTGGCAGTAGGTGCATTGTGATTTGGCGAACATGTCTGTACAGAGAAAACAGAAATTATTATGTAAGCTCCACAGATTCAAACAACAAAAAGTTGTCAAAATCATCAAAACAACAACAAAATAAACGTCAATCTAAACAAATAGACATGTTACAAAATTAGCATTGATGAAGATCAACTTAACAGAGTAAATTTGAAAAGAAGTGAAAAGTTCGAGGAAAAATAACATTTATTTCATACATCATTTCAAAGTCAGTAAAGAAAAGGAAGATAAATTCAAATTGCTCCCCACAGACTTGACGCCATTGAGGTTAGTGGCGCGGGCGGGCGGGTCACGAAGGCAGAAAAATGGATCGACGTGACGGGGACGCCACTACGGACAATCTGCATTTCCAGGCCTCAGCCGGGTCAGACCTCGCGACTATGAGCGGAAATAGGTAAACTGAGCAACAGAGAAGGGGAGACGGCATGGAAAGGTGCCAGATGTTGCGCTACAAAGGCCAAAAATGCGAAAATAAGGTGGCACAAACATACCTTTCGCCATTGAAGGACCCTCCCTCCTCCACCTCCGCCTTATTCCTTGCCAACCTAGGGGAAAACATGAACTGCGTACCTTCACGAGTTGCGTGTTTCATATTTTAAACTTGGCTTCAGATGGTATGACATTTTGTAAAGCCAAGTGACGAATTTCTTAAAAAATTGTCAATTTTGAGTTTTTATCTTTTTTTCCTTGCTCTTAAACGATTACATTTAAGAGCGATTATAGTGGAATGTATAATGTTAGAGGTTTGCTATACTGAGCCTATGAAAAATTGCCTAACTTGGTTGCTGGTTGCCTACCTGCAGGGCATAGGGATATTATTAAATTTTCCCCCCCTTATCCTCCTTATCGTTCTGTTAGCAGGAGATTAAGAGAGTCGTTCTCGCGAGATGACGATGCGCAGGCCTGCCCCTTAGCAGCAGATAAATTTGGTACCACACCCAAATAAAGATATGTAATAAAGGGAGAGCCATCCGGAGCCATCCAAGAGAAGGAGCAGCTTTGACGAGGAGGGAAAACAACATGGCTATTGCATGTGTGAAAGAAATACAAAGTCTTTCAAGTAAATTACTTGGTCAACAGTTTTTTTTATTTATTATGCTCTTGGAAAAAAATCCAGTGGCAATGAGTGACAGTTTAATGCTAAGTTTTCTTCTTTCCTCCACTGAGCAACAGAGCAATCTTCTTCTTCCTTTGAGCGCCTTTGTTAATTTTCCTCTGGTAGAAAGAAAATAGTATCAATAATAAAGCAGAAAAACATACAGGATGTTCAAAATTAAAATTAAATTTTTACCTTTTTCTTCTTGGATTCCTCAACTGTCTGTCCCTGGAATCTTGTATGTTTATTTTTCTTTGCTTCTTTTCCTTTAGATTCATTGGAAGCCTCTTCAGATTGTTCTTGGAATCTTAAATGTTTATTTTTCTTTCCTTCTTTCACTTCAGATCCACTGGAGGCCTCTTCGGTTTCTGTGCCTCCAACATTCGGTTTCACAACAGTTTGCTTTCCCATTTCTTCTGAGGCATCATTCTTCTTCTTTTTCTTGCGTTGAATGCCAAGAGCTGCTTCTCCTTCTCTTCTCATTTTCCTTTTTGCTTTTTTTGCCATTCTTTTTTCTTCATTAGCACTTATTTTCGGTTTAGCCTTGGCATCGGTACCTACATGGCGAACAGGTTTAGCTGACAGAGGCTTTGCTAGAGTGGACTTTGCAGAGGGTTTCGCTCTTGTGACAGAAATTGTTCTTTTCTTTAAAACGCTTCCATTGAGGTGAAGAGCTAATTCAGCAGCATCTGAGGTCTGAAATTTAAATAATAAAAAATTATAAATTATATAAAGTTATATGACGCTTTGCAGGCTAGATGTGTAAGAAGACCTACCGTAAAGTTCACGAACGCTATTCCTTTTGACACGGAAGTTATAGGATCCCTGACAATACGCACACTTTCTATGGGTCCACACTCAGCAAACAATTGCCACAAGTCCTCCTCTTCGGTAACTAAATGAGGAAACAAAAGGGAACAGTGTGATAATGTGCTTCACCCACATACCATACAGAGCGGAAAGGTCACTTGCAATAATTACCAAACGGAACATTCCCTAAAAAGACACACTTTTTAGGGTCCACTTGTGGTTTGGCACTTGCACTGTCAACACGAAGGTGATGATCATGAAACACAGAACCATTTGCTTCCAAAGCTGATTCAGCATTCTCAGAGTTCTTGAACACCACATAACCATTAATACTTGATCGTTCGGGATGAAACTTATGTTTGATCACAGCGACCTGTGGGGTTTTAATTTAAATACTAGTTAAAAATCTTAAGATTTGAAAAGGTGATGAGCAATAAAAGAATCAAATAACCTCAGTACCTTCTTAGACACACGAGGATCATTCAGTGGAGCACATCTTATCCTGACTGATTCCACTTCACCATACTTTGAAAAGAACTTAATGAGTTTCTTTTTGTCACTGTGAGCATAGGGAATATTGCCAACAAATATTGTCCTAGAATTCTTCTCTGAATTATCAACATGTTTACGAGTGTTATTTTTAATGTGGACTCTTCTTGCAGCATTTCGTTTAAAGGTATCTTGATCCTGGGGATTATCTTCACCAGCTTTGGAGTGCTCTTCAGAATTATTAAGAGGAACATAGTCTTCACTGAAGTTAAAAGACAACAGGAATTTATACTTCAGCAGGCCTCAAGTACGTAATTCATTGCCCAAGATATAATGGAAGGTTTACCTATTGTGTAAGCTGTAGGACACACCAACAGTGTCTGACACATCATCGCCAGCAATCTCTGCTTTCCGTTTTCTTGAGATTGTGGATCTGATTTTATCTTTGATCTTCAGACCTTTCTTCAATTCAGTAAAGACATCAGATTTACCTGTGAAGAAAGAAAAACGTAATAAATTTGGAAGGAAGAATAACATGTTAGAAGAAATTTATAATTCGTGCATAGGAAAAATGTAGCCCAGGTGACATGAAAACAGAGAAGCTTGCTTAAATAGTTGTCAAGCAGTCTGCAGTGTTAAATTGATTTCCAAAACATAACTTTGATGTAAAAGCCAACACAATAAATAGCTCCAGTTGTCGGCCACCTGGGCTAACAAGTTGATGGATGTACTACCTTTTAACTTTGAACTAGGCTGCTCATCAGAGCTAAAAAGAAAGAGATGAGTAGCATTTTGAACGTGATTTGAGCAGTTCAATCAAGTATTGTTTAAATTTCAAACCTTGTATTATTCTTTGGTCGAGGAGTTAACTCCTTGAATATAATTTTCTTGGTATTAGCAAGGCCATTGGAATTTCCGGATATTAAATCCCCAAGGCTTCCTATTTTATATCCTTCCATCGGAGAAATTATTGTCCACTTAAGGAAAGGTCCGATGAAAAAATGTCAGTAGCTTGACAGGTGAAAATAAGAGAATCAAATCACCATAACCTGCAAAAGAACGGAAAACTTGTATATCTAGTAGCAATTGATTGATTGACATTCAAAACATAAAAGCGCTTCAGGTAGATAGTGCTAAAATTTACGCAATCAGCCACCTTAGATAGCAGCAACTCCTAAGAAACAAACTGAGTACAAAATATGTTGTGTTCAGTCAATAAACCAACGTGACGACCGACGACCATGCGCCGCGCTGAGGAACGGAAACGGAAATTGAGGCCTAGCGGCGGGAAACTATGAAAGTGAAAGTTCGCGGGGACATGAGAAGGGTGGTACAGGAAAAGTAGCAATCATCACAATTTTCACCAACACTTGTTTAATTTCATAAGCATTTCTTAAAAATAAGTACATGTTGGATATGTGGCAGTCTCAATGTGGACAAATTTAATTAATGCAGTTTAATATACATATGTGTTAAAAGGAGCTTAGGAATTGGCTCCAAGTTCAAGGTACAATTCAGTGACAGTTATCATCTACCACCATAAAATAAACAATCTTGAAAACAAGACAATTTCAACTGATACAAGCATTCTGTTCAAGGGCAAAATTACAAAGAGATAATAGCCAGACCAATCCTAAGATTACTATTTAAGTTTTGGCCAAGAGAGGAACACCTTGCAATCTGGCAGTAGCAAATCACACTGAGTTAGTGACATCAGGCGCAGCAGAAAATTACTTGGAGCGAGCACTGTAGATATCATTTACTTGTGAGTTCTGCTAATAACCTATCTCAAATAAAAGTCCATGGTTCTTTATAAATACAAACAGAGCTTTAAAAATAATTTTAATTTCAACAGAATAATAAAATAGATACATAGCTAATTTGGAACAGTCGTAGTGACAATAATGAAATTTACTATAACAGAGACCATACAAAAAGTTGTCATTTAGTGCAAATTAGGAGGCTCTTGTCACAGCCGGTAGGGAGCCATTGCAAAGATGGTATCAGAACATTGGTTTTCTTCTGCAGGGAGTAGCAACCCTAAAATAGACCAGATTATATATACTTTTAGCTGCTTTTAACAAGTGAAATGAGATTTAGATGAGTTCTTCCATTCTCATTCCCTAATCAGATGTAGCTACGTACTTAACTCAGAAATTAAGAGATTGCAGGGTTGATACCCCCTTACCTGATCAATCAAATTCAATTATAAACTGATATAATTTAGTGATCATAAATACAACACAGCACACTGGAAATCAAAACCACATTGAAACCCCCAGACTCCAATTAAAAAGACACTTAAAAGGATAAGGATACATCAGGCCGAGCAGAACCAGCTGGTTGTAAGCAAGGTACCCAAACACCTTCTTTCGAGCCAGTATTTAAAATTTATTTCATGTATTATAACTTAGTACACCATCCTCCAGATGATTCTTTATAATAATAATAATAATTTAATCTATGACTTGGCAATTGCATTCCAACCTTACATAAAGTTGTACACATAGCCTGGGATAACATGCTGCTAAGGTCATTATTTTACAATAAGATTATTTAAAATTTATATATAACACACTCAAGTTCTAGAACATTCAGAAAGCTTAAAACTCAATAAGAGTCCAAATAGAACTGTAAAGCTGGTGGGTCACTTTTCCCATATGGAAACCTTGCAGTCAAGTTACTTAAGAGATCACCAAGACCATTAATAGTTATCCACATGCAAGTACACCTCCACAAGAACAATAAGCCTGGAATGTATTTCTAAGTGAACAAATTAGACATGCTTTGATAGAAACCTGCTTTATCACACATAATGAATACTGGACACAAACAAATTAACAATGCTCTGCAGCTTATCATTTGAACATATCAATTAGATTGAAATTCAAGCCCAATCAACCAAAATTACAGCATGAATTGGTCTTCCTTGCAGTCTTGTAAAATGCTTTGGACTGGATGCTTAGGCCCTCTGACTTTGCAACAAGGTCATCTAATTTTTCTCCTCTTTCCAGAACTGCCTCAATAGTACTGTGCTGTAATGTTAATAACACAAGTGAGACAAATGATGACCAAATAAAGATGATATTAGAAAAGAGAATCAGGAATAAATCTATTACCAGGATAATTTTAGTTTCATCTAACTCTTCTTGAATTTTAGTCATGGCATCAGCTTCTCGGGGATTTTGATATTTGGCCAGGTATGTGTTGATCTGGTTGAATGCAATGCTGGATTCTGAAGATGTAGGCCATACGTGAGGAGGATATTTCTGGGCAAATTCATCCAAAACCTGTGCATATAACAGTTTGAATGACAATGTGTTGAAGTTAACCCTATTGAATATCCATGCTCTTCCATGTACCTTAGTTAAGAGAGTATGGGATACTCTTTGAGGATATTCATGATCACTTATAATAACTCCAGCCAGGTTGTCTCCTCGAACATAAACGTGGCACATATATTCTGAAAAACAACAGTTAAGGGTGCACTTAGGAACATAAACAGAGTGAGCCTTGATATGACTCAAAAGATAGAATGACCCTGTTATGTGGATATACTTCAGGATGCATACATTCTACTATCAGTAATGATTAGACTCACCTCCCTCTTTCACAGACTGCCTTGCTGCAGTTTGGGTCCGCTCAACAATAGTCTTGCTTACAAATGCCATAAATTCCTGAACACTTCCACGTTGGAAAAAGCTAAAGGTTTGCAGATCATAGGCAGCCTTTAACCAAACGGCACTGTTTGGATTTTTGTACAAAATACTCATGGCATAAAGTTTAACCATTTTAGGCGATAAATAACCTGTAAAAGATGTAATTCAAAGATAAAACAATACTGCAATGCATACCGATACAACTGTCATTGGGCTATTCATGCAAAGTATTAGCAATTTCTTAGGTTATTGATCAAAACATAGTTAACTCAACAAAACGCAAGAGGCACCACCGAAAATTTCTCACAATTTTTCTACAAGAAACTTAAACGAAAAAGTAGTGTTTGTTTAAAAAAGCTTTCAATTTAGAGGAAAATAAAGAAAAGATTGACATACCTTACGTACAGGCGATCAACAATCTGTCAGATCACGAAGACCGACAGGCGCAAATAAAAAGCGACACGGATGGCACTAAAACCTCCACAAATGTGCCACGATGAAATATAAAATTGTTGCGTCCGCGCTTTGCCCACTTTCACAGCAACACTTGATGTTTTTATGCGAGACTGTTTTTGTTTTTGTTGTTAATTTTGTTGTTGTCAAATGAAGATGGCAGAGGAACGGAACCGGATGTGAGATTAGCAGACAGCAGCAGACAGACGACAGACGAGGAGAGAAAACAAAAGAGAGCAGGCCCAAAGCAGCTGATGGTGGGAGTGATGAAGGTTCCAAGTTGGATTTCAATTTTCGCCTCATCGCAACAACTTGGGGTGTAGCTCGTTGAGCGAAAGTGATTGAGAAGATGGCGAGGATGTTGGGCCAGCTGCGCGCCGTCGTTGCGAGGCTGAACGGTGCCAGCTCTCTAGCGCCTCTGCCTCTCCTGCAGCACAACCTAACCTCGCCAAACCTGCATCAAGTGCGCACAGCCGTCGGCGCATTCAACTCCCAAGGAAGCGACAGCCTTTGGAAGAGTATCACCATCGTCAGCAAGAACGGAGCGCGGCGAGGACGAGGCAAGAAGACCAACTCTCGCCTGATCAAGGACCTGTACAAGGGCGTTGCTTTAGGAACAGGACAGGGTGACAACAAAATGGTGTGGCCCGGACTGAACACCAGTGTTCTGAGGGGAAGACAAGTGGTCCAGCAGGGGAAGATGGAAGAGAAGGAAGACCCTAATGCAGCAGTGAAAGAGGCAAAGGATGAGGTGCAGTCAAGACGCAAACTGCACCCATTGGACAGGGGCTTCACCAGTGTCAATGTGTGTGGGCGCAACTTGAAAAACACTACAAATTTAAATTTTCATGAGGACTTTGACTTTCGTGTTATAGACTCAAGAAACGTGTCTCACATGACTGGAATGTTTGGCAGATATCAACAGGCGGCAACTGTTGTAGCATGTGGAAATGGTAATGGAGTGATTGGACTGGGAGCCGGCAAGGCATTGACTAGGAATTCATCTATCCAGAAAGCAGCCAACAGAGCTATTATTAGGCTTGTTCATGTTGAGAGATACAACAATTCAACAGTGTTGCATGACTTCTTTTCTCAGTACTATGCAACAAAAATTTTTGTCACTCGGAAACCGGAAGGTTACGGCCTAAACTGTCATCGAGTTATTGCTTTGATGTGCAGGCTTATTGGTATCAAAGACCTAGAAGCAACAGTTGAAGGATCAGTTATGCCCATGAACATTGCAAAAGCTTTTCTCCTTGGACTAGTCCAACAAAAGAAATATGAGCAGTTTGCTGAAGAAAAGAAATTGCATGTAGTGGAATTTGACCCAAAGCGCCGCAACTATCCCTCTGTTCTGGCATCGCCTGAGGTTTGCCGTAGTAATGTTGAAATCCCCACATCTGAGAGTATTGACTTTAATCAGCATGCCCTGGGTGGCAAAGTTAGGTTTGAAAAGCCCAAAAGGGCACCTTTCTTCGTCAGGCTGAAGGGCTGGGAAATTCATCTGAAGAGGACAGAGAGAAGACGTGGGGCTAAAACTAATGAGTATGAGCTTATGGCCAAGTATGGTGAGCTGAATAGCTTTTTGACAGCCAAATATCCAGAGGCGGTCAGACCTGGTGCGACACCAAAGGAGTAATCTTTGTAATAATACATTTGTATCTTAATTTGTAAATTAAATGTTGATAAAATTATGTTTGCTCGATCTCTTTTCAATACCCAACACCTAACAACTTGCTCTCCAGTTTTTAGCTAAATATGTAAAACTTTTCTCATATTTTCAAGGAAGATGATTGTAATAAAACTAATAGTCCAGTTTAGTCTTTATTATTTCATCATTGAAGATACAGGTACAATAAAAATGTTCAATTTCTTTACTTTAAACATTAAGTATACAGTCTCCAAAGCCTGGAGCATACTGCTTCATTTTAGTACTCTAAAGCCAGTACTCAAATCTTGACTCCTTATCTCAGTAATTACATTTCTTGGGTAGGAGTATTGACAATTAATTAGCTCTTCAAAAATTTTATAAAATTGCACCACTACAGGTTTGACAGTAAAAAAGGAAAACTACAATGTAAAATTCTAACTAAAACTAAAATAGCACAAAGTATTACACAATTGTGCTTCAGTCCATAAAAAATTGACTTGCACTTAGTGAAGTCAAATTTACTGAAGTTATCTGAAGCTGACACTCAAACGGGGCACATCTATAAATTAAAATGGATATGATTGCACCACAGAGACATGCATCAGTTAACAATGTGATGGAATTCTATTTTTAACAAGATTCCTAATTAATTTACAATAGCGATGTTATTGGTGCCTGCATGAGGGAATGGCTGACGCATGCTGTGAGAAGAATTTCTCAGGCCAGCCAACAAAAGGGCAAGCCGCTCCTGTAATGAAACAAAACACATTAATTGGCGCACACAGTTGTAGCCTTTATGTACGATCGAGAAATACTTACCAGTAATTGGTGAGTGTAAGTGTTGACATCCCCCAGCATCTGACGCATGTGAAGTCTTTCTAGTTGAGATTGTGCGTAGGTCAATACCTTGTCACCCTCCACCCGCACTGACTAAAAATTAGAAAAAAATGTATCACATTTCACATACTTGCAGCTGGACATAAGATGTTAAACGAAACAACCACACTTACTTTCAGGACACTGTTGGCCACGACAGAGACGGTCTTGGTGTTGGCACCAGCCGCAGTGTAGTTGGCAAGGTGAACCACCCGGCGGGCCACCTCCCGCACCAGCAATGCTAAACGCTCCTCCAAGGTCTCTGGAGGGACTTGATTTTCTGGCTCATTTTCACTAAGATGTTTCCATACAGCACGGCACTGTTCGACAAATGCACGTGGGTCCTTCACAAGCTGTGAAAAAAATACATTAATGGTTTTAAAAACAGATTGTTGGTGATCAAAAAGTACCCGATCCTCCACTCACTGTTTCAGCAAAGTAGACAAGAGTGTGAAGGGTATTCTCAGTGTCCTTCCGCAGAGCACGAGCCTCCAGCAGGGTGCGGCGGGTGATCCTCCTCTGAAGTTTGCGAGACAGTCTATCAGCACGCTGCAGGGCTGCTCCTCCTTTGGCCAAATTAGCTCCAACTGCTAGAATTGCAATAATAATCAAAACATTAATACCTTGTCAAAGAGATGTTTCCCTCGTAATCACTTTGATGCACAACAGGAACGCCTGAGGGTAGGCAGCCCATAGGGCACACGGGTGGGGCCGTGGCCTACCTTGTCGGCTAGTTGTTATTGGCTAGACCACATAAAAGAGCGTAAGTTATGCAAACCGTGACGGATCGTCCGCTTAAAGCACTTCGCCCACCCACCAGAAGGAAAACCATCCCCCAAAATATTGAGAATTACCATCCCCATTCTCGGTGGCCGCGTCTCCCGGTAGGTACTTGTCGACGTACTGGTCGGCGGAGTCCAGCGCGCGGGCGGCCAGCGTGTCTGCAATGCGAGCGTTGGTGGCGGTCATGCGGAGCACCGGAGCCACGACCCGCATCGACATGTAGTCCCGTCCGACGGTCATGAGCTGCAAAAGAGCAACGGACACGGCGGTGAGGGCGAGCAAAGCAAACACACGGAAACCAAAACAGCACTTAAATCGCCTCACCAGCTCGGGGGGCATGTGGATGATGGGCACGTTATGCTCCACGACGTCCAGCCCGCGGCACAAGATGGAGTCCACGACGGCGAGGGGGCCGCTCAGTGGGCCCAGCAGGGACAGCGACCGGCCGATGGAGGACTTGACCGCGCCCTCCGCGGTGCCCAGGCCCCACTGAACCACGGGGTTCACGTTCTGCAACAGAGCGTCACGAGGGTCAAGGCGTGCTCCAGCAGGGACCAAGGATTACGGCTCGGAGAGAGGGGGGGGGGACGCTCACCTTGACCTTGCTGTAGACGCCCGAGACGATGCTGACGCCGGACTCGACGACGGGGAGCGCCAGCACGCGGGACACTGCCTCCATGTGAGGGAAGGCTGCCGTCGGCTTCTGCTTGTGGGCCACGCCAGCGTGCGAGTTGTTTGACACCGGGGGCTGCGGGGGCTGCACGGGGGTGGCGGCCGGCGCTGGAGGAGCTGAGGGGGCCGCGGGGGCCGCGGGGGCGGGGGTTGGTGCCGGCGGGGCGGAAGGAACAGGGGCCGGAGCGGGGCTGGCGGGGCTGGAGACGTGGTTCTTGGGAGGCGACTTAGCGGCCGGCTTCTGCGCGTCGGCGGGGCGCTTCTGCTTGGACTTCTGGTTCTTGTGGTTGTCCTTCTTGCCAGACTTGGGCTGCTCCACGGGGGCGGGGGCAGGCAAGTCCGGCATCTCGTCCTCCGACGACGAGCCCAAGTCATTCGCCAGGGCCATCGGGGCGACCACGGGCGGAGACGACGACGGCGTGGACGATATCATGGTGGGCGCCATCTGGTCGGAGCAGTTGTTCATCTGCTCGTTGGCCACGAACTCCTCGTTGATGGTGACCTGCCGAGAAAGAAACAAAGCATCCGATGAGCGGGAGACTCTCCGAACGGCTGGACGAACAGCCAGTGCCGTACAGTGTGCATACGACTGGCGGGACCGAAAGACTAGGGGGAGTCGGGGGCTGGTGCACGCGCGAGTCGGCGCCGCGCGTCTTGGCGTCTCGGGTTCGACAGCTTCGACTTGCCGGCCCGGCAGGCAGCTGTCACTGCCACGTTACGCCGGGAACGCCTCGGCCATGGACGGGGCGGGGCGGGGCGGGGCGGGGCGGGGCGGGGCGCCGATCTCGATTACAATGCCGCCCTAAAGACGAGCCTAAAAGCCCAAAGGCCGGCTGGCGGACCCGCAGAGGCTATCGGCGTCAAAGCCAACAGGCCAGGGTCATCTCGGCCGCGGCAAGCCGGGCCCTCCGGGCACAGCCGGGCCGGGCACCGCCAGCTTCCCTTCCAGCGGGCCGAGAAAGCACGGCCAAGCATGGCAGCAGCCTCAGCCTGGCTCCGAAGGATCGTTTCGTCACTCTGTTCCTGTCGCACTCGCGGGTCGTCCTGTAGAGGTGCGAGAGAGAAAAAGCGACGAAGGCGGAGTACAGTGTGGCCACGGCAGGGTGGCGGCCAGGCGAGCCAGGAAAACAAGGAAACAGAGTCAGTGAATCTTTCCAGCGCGTTATGGCATGATGGCCCGGCTCGTGGCTTGGGGCCAAACGACTGGCCACTGCACCCATCTTCAATATAACGGCTTCAAGCACAGCCAAGCACAGCCCGATAAGGAACCAAACGACTCATTTTGTCGGCGACACGAAAAAAAAACAGGATTCGGGAAAACAGGGGCGGGTTTGGGGGCGGGAGAGGTCGCACCTTGCCTCTTGGCCGCGGCGCGAGGGAGACTGACACTCAACCTTAAAGCCCTGAAGGGTTCCACCGCGAAGGGAAGACCAGAAAATCACCGCCCAGCACGGGACGCCTTCGGAACGCCTTCGGCGTGGCCGTTGGTGGGGAAGTCCAAGACCAAAATGTCCCCGTGCGCTCCACCGCCACGCCGCGACCTCCCGCCGCAAACAATTTTGACAAAGCAAAAAGTACGATTGGACTGCAGTCAGGGGCGGCGAGCGTGCGCGACAGCGCGGCTGATTATGAGACCTCCGTTGAGATAGGCCCCCGGGCCGGCAGAGGCCGGTCAGGCCGAGCCCCACTCACTGGGGAACCGGGGAAATGTCTCACGGAGACTGCCAGCGCAGGCACCCAGCGGCCCAACAAAATTCGCACTCGTGGTGCATGGCCAGCTGCAGCGCGATTGCGTACTCTCTCTCTCTCGCACTCGTGGGTGCGAGAGAGACAGAGCGACGAAACACTGTGCGGATGTGGAATCAGTCGACTGCTGCAACCTAGACTGGAGGCTCGAGACTCTGACTGGATGGACTACAAGAGAGCATCAACTCGCGTAACACTCCGTACACAGGCTGCATATAAATTGCAAATTCCCCGTGCATTACCGTAAAAAGTCCATTAACATTGCCAAAGTGCTACTGAAAGTAAAGGGAAGGATGATTAAATCAGCCGAACTGCAAAATGACACAACATAGAACTGCACCCCTTGGAATGAGCTGCAACTCATGACGCCCCGCCGCGACTACTCACTGGCCCTCGAATCAACAGGTGCAGCGGCACGGGGGCGCACTTCCGCCTCGACCGCTGGCGCGTGCCCAGCGAGTCCCTCCACATGGCTCCCGGCCTGCTTGGCCTGCTAGGCGGCCTGCGACGATGGCCTGCGACCTGCGGCCCGGTCTGCCGCCCTCGCCCTCAGCGCGGCCGGCCGGGGCGGCCGGGGCAGCCGGGGCAGCCAGCGCCCTGCGTGGAGAGAAGACTGGACCGGGGAAGGGGCAGGGGGTGTCCCTCGCGGCCCACCGCGGCCCACATGGCCGCCACGTGATAAGCCCGCGGCAGATCAAATAGCGCCGTGCACGATAGCGAGGCGAGCGGCGAGCGGGCCGAAAAGGGTGAGTGACTGGACTGTATTTCCACGCAGCCGAACCCCCCACTCCGACTCAAATCAGTGCCTTCCGGTGCACACAGCCCTGCAGCCTGGTTCTGAAGACAGTTTTCGTCGCTCTGTCTCTCTCGCACTCATGGGGCGTCCCGTATAGGTGCGAGAGAGACAGAGTGACGACTCTCGGAATCAGGTATGATAGACGCGATCGCGAGCATCCTCCCGTTTTGGCAGAGGGGATGGTGGTGGGGTGGGGGCGGGTGGTTAGACAGCACACATTCCTATCGAAACCGGTAGAATATGTGTACGTACTCCGGAACGTCATCTGGAGAAAAGCAGTAAAAGTTCCGCCAAACCAGAGTACTTGTGGGTCATGCCTGCTCCGGCGCGCACCCCGCACCGCTGCCTTCGACAAGCCAGGCAAGGTGCGAGTTCTAGACCAGCCCTAGGGCAACACAGGCAACGCAAAAGAGTGACCCAGGTCAGGTCATGGCAAAATGCACAGCGGCACGGCGGCCACGAAGGAGGAGGAGGAGGAGGAGGCGGCGGCGGCTCGCAAATAAACATGGCTTATCTCCCTCCAATAGCGCGCCCCGTCCAGTCCCAGATAAATTATTTCATTTGTCATGGCGGCGATGTCCGACGAGGCGTTCACGGTTAAGGTCGCCAAGCCCAAGTCGGCCCAAAACGGCAATGCGGGGCGGGGCCGTGGCAGCACCGGAACCGCGGAGTTCGGGACGGAGGTGGGGACGGTCACCAGCTTTGGCTTTTCCAGAAGGGGCGGTTTCCGAATCGTTGCACGAGCGGTGGAATGGGGCAACCGCGGGGTTCCGCGCGACTCGCAACGAAGAACGAACAGCCCCACAGTAACTAACCTCGTGCAACATTCGCACAAAAGCCTTCCTTATCACGAGTGCCAGCAGTGCGAACCGCGCGGCGCAGGCGGCGCACTTGAGGCCCCGCTGGCTGCGGCTGGCTGCCACTGGCCCGGGCCTGGACGGGCCTTTGTCTGGGCCACTGCAACCCCGCTGCCAGCATCGCCATGGCAGCGTGTCGCTAACCAGGGCCGTCTGCCTGGACCGCCTCGACGCCCATTGTCACCGGGCCGTCGGCCATTCCCCCGACGCAAAACAGCTCCTTGTAGGGTAGAGAGAGACGCCGGCAAAAACCGAGGGCGCAGGTGCAAAGGCCCCCCGCCGACTCTACTCACGAGTCCGTTGGTGGCCTCTAGGCTGGTGGTCATGATCGCGGGACGGTGGTCGCGGTGGGTCGGGGCGGGGCCGGGAGACGACGGCAAGGTGATGGGGCCGGGCCGGGGCGGCGTCGACTGTCGCAGACTGTCGCGCCGCAACAACCGAAAACAAACTGGCGGACGGGGCAATGGGGCGGGGCTGCGGGGCTACGGCCACCGGCCAGTCAGTCCGGGACGGTCGGGGCGGTCCGCGAGGGGCAGGGGGCGCCAAGGGGCACCTTAGGCCAGAGGCAGGGCAGGCAGGGCCAGTCCGCTCCGCCCAACTCCGCCACGCCGCGGCGCTCCCGCGTTGCGCAAAACAACCGACTAATTGGGAGAAGGGGACTCGACTCCTTTATCGCCTTGATACACCACAAAACTCACCATTCTTGTTCGGGCCTTGGCCGTCGCTCGCTCGATTCACCGCAGCAAATCCGGCAAGGTTGGCGACTTGGCGACGCACCGCGCAGTCCGTCGGTGCAGTTGCAGCTGCTCTGCGCGCTCTGCGTCCAACACTGCGTGGCACTGCGGGGCACTGCGTGCAGCTCACTCGCGACGACGCCGACGCCGTGGGCTCTGCGCCGCTCTGCGCAGACCGGTCTGTGGTTGACTGAAGACGCGACGCACCGGGTCGGCAGTCGGCAGGCAGGGCCAGCCGTCAGGGCCAGGGCTTCACTTGGAACTTGCGCGCCAGGCTGGGCCAGGCAGGCTGAGGCAGGCAGCAGGCAGGCCGGCGGAGGGGCGGGGCGGCGGGACGGTCTCGAAGTCCAAGTTCCATATGCCGTCTGTCGGCGGGGCTGTCTGTCTAGCTGGTGAGACTCGTCAGCTCGCAGTCATTCGGGGACCACTCGGTGGCCCGAACCCGAGCCCGATCCCTGCCGAGCAGGCGGCGAGCACGTGGAGTGGAGGCGGGGGAAAGGGGTAGGGAACTCCCGCGGGGAGGAGGAGATGGAGGCGGGGACGATCCGCGAGCATCTCAGGTGCATCGTCCGGTGCACTGCCCTGCCCGCCCTGCCCCGCGGGCGGAACGCGGAGCGACGCAGCGCAGGCCCACCTGCCCCGCCCGAGGCCCCGCCCCCCGCCGCGGTCCTTGCTGACGCGGACTGATGCCGCGGGAGACTTCCCTCTCTCTCTCGCACTCTATGACGCGCCCAACAGGTGCGAGAGAGACGGCCCTACGTGGAATGACTCCGCTGGCGCCGCGGCCGCCGCGGCATGGCATGGCCCGGCAAGGGCTTGTTGCTCCTTGCTCCTTGGCGCGCGTGATCCGAGAAGACGCCGCCGCCGGGGCCACCGGGTCAAAGTCCACGTCGCGACGGCGGCCCCGCGGCCCCGCAACCCCTCGACACGACACCTTAAAACGCGGCCAGTGGCGTCATCCTGCCGTCTGGGCGTCGCGCGACCCGTTTGCCATCTCTCTTTGTGACTTTGTCGCTGATTCCGGACAGTGCTTCGCCGCTGTCTCTCTCACGCCCCGAAGGGGACACCCCATGAGTGCGAGAGAGACCGAACCAGCCCGCTGCGCCATTGTTGCCGATACTCCTGTGCATGCCTGTGCACTACAACGACTGCAACAGCCATGTAGTCTGGTCAACAAAAGCGCGCCACGCACGCTGCACGTCGCGGCCGCCACGCTAGAGTCAGACAGCGCTGCCACAGCCGTGGCGGGCAGCTCCGTGATACGCCGTATCACACAGCCTGCACTGTAAAACTCACCCCGAAAAAAAGAAGTTGCCAGCCGGACTGCCGGCAGCACTTTTGCACCGCCTTGTTGTCGTTAACGCTTGCGCTGTACTGCGGAGCGGCGGGCCCGGCGGGGTGCGTTGTCGAGGGTCATTCCCTCGCCGTGCATCCCCGCGAGGGCCGCGGGTATTGTTGTGCCGCTGGAGGTCATTCATCCATTTTCCGCGATGTACTCGATCGACTCGATTGAATGGCTTGTGTACCCCAGCCAGCAGCAGGCTGATTCCGAGAGTCGCGTTTTCGTGTTCCTGTCTCTCCCGCACCTATACGGGGTGCCCGCGAGTGCGAGAGAGACTCTGCGGCGAAAACGACTCTCGGAGTCGGTCTGCAGGGTCGATCATCGCTGCTTGGCGGCCGCCGAGTGTACACTCTTGACGGCCGCGGAATAAAAAGGGGTCCCGGTGAATGCATTTTCGTTTTCCGCCCGGTGCGTGACGTCACGGCGGGCCTATTTATAGGCGGCTGCCAAAGGAGCGACTTGGGTGACCTGAAAGTCGCTTCCGGCTTCGCCGTCATTGTCCACAAATAGTAGTGCTGCGCGACGAAGGGGTGTCACGTGGTCGCGTGCCCGCCCCCACCGGCCTTCTGGGCCACTGTGTGGCGGTTTCTTTGAAAAGGACAGAAGGGCCAAGGGCCGGCGAGGGCTGCCCGAGGGCTCCTGGCCAGGACGGCCTGGCCTGGCCCCTCCCGTTCCACGCGTCCAGATTACTCTAACCGGTTCGCTGCACTGCAGAGGTTGCACGGGCCGGCGCGGTGTACTGCGTTCTATGTACTGTGTACTAGTCACCGCGGCGCCGAACGAATCCAAGACTGCAGTGCCGAGTGCGTCCAACACCAACTGCGGTCCGTAACAAAAAGATAGGTAAACCAAGCCGAACTGACCTACAACCCCTCAATCCTATCTTTTGCACTAAATACATTCCGGCCTCATGGTCGGACGGTTGGCAGGTGCGGTGCGTTCCGCGAATTCAAACAGTAATTTGAAAGTAGGCTTTGAAGGCTTATGGTTCAATGAGGTCTGGTTCTCGACGGCGTGGCTGCCGTGGTTACAAGCGTGCTTGCATGTGTGTGTGAGTAAAGATAGAGTGATGATAGGGCAAGCCCTGCAGGGCCGCTCCAAAGTGCACAGTCCTTTTGGTTCTGTGGTGTCCTGGTGTGAATCATACTTTCTCGCCCACACTTTCATCGACTTTTAGAAGCCGCCCCCGTTCCGCGGGAGCGAGGTCGTTTTTTGGTTCCAGTCCTCTTTTGCGCCACCGGTCTTCTGGCCCCACTGTTGAGGGGGGGGGGTGTCGGCAAATAGTGCGCAGGGCCAGGTTTGAACACACGCCCAGCTGCTTCCGGGCGGGAAGACGTCTACATCCGGCGAGCCGAGGTGAAGGGAGATAGGCCAGATAAGCGGAGAAACAGAAAATAGAAACGCCGCTGCGGCCGAGAAGGTGTCCCTTTGGTCCTTCCCTCGCTGCCGAATCTTCTTCGCTGTAACCGCACGTACGCGCGCGCGGCTCGCCTCATAGCTAATTGCCATCTTGATGCTTCGACCCGATACCGCAACGCCAGGGCGACTTTGGACCGTACAAAAAGGCAGTTGTGCTGATTATCACGATGCGAAGTGAGACTTTCGGTTCCCTTTGGCGATGCCGGTTACAGGCGATCGGAGTTTGGCCTGACGACTCAGCAGACTCGCCGCAGCCGTTTCGCAGTGGCCTAGTAGGCTTCCCTGCCTCTGCACCGATCACGCGTCGCGGAACACGGTTTCATCCGTGAACGAAACACCAAAGGACCGAAGGTGCACCCGCAGCGAGCATTATTAAACCGTCAAATGTAAACAGAAATTTTCCGACAAATGGATGTCGATTTGACATCGCTCTTTCTGGGTGTAGGATCTAGGCAAAGATACCCCTTGCACCCAAATTTTCCAGTTCGAGGGGATAAAGGTCAGAGCCAGGGTTGTGTAGACAGTTGAGAAGAACACTGGCACATTCTACTTATCGCGACGGACAGAGCGTTTTATGAGCTGCACGTCTAGACTGGGGAAGTGGTAAGGGGGGCAGGGGCTCAGGGGCCGTTCTTTAACTCGCTACGCACATCTTACAAACGCCGAGGCATTACCTGTTGTTTTCGTTTGTTTCTTTTGCGACAGGATTTTTAAACCTCTCAACTCTCAGTAATGACATGAGAGAAGACCACAGGGGCAAGGTAGGCCACCGTCTGCACGCCGGTGTGTAGCGGAGCGGGCTGGTGGCCTACCTCACAGGCGCTATAGGCCACAGGGGCAAGGTAGGCCACCGTCTCAACGCCGGTGTGTAGCGGGGCGGGCTGGTGGACTACCTCACAGGCGCCAAACGCCCGACTGCCTAGGCAACGCGCCACCAGATGATGTGTGGTGGTTGCCTATGCTGCAGTCTGCAGGCGTTAGCAGTGATGGCATTTCATCGCTGTTTATCTCAGGGCACGTAGTTCTTTCTGTGCTCTGCCTGTGCACTGTGTCTGACACGGCCTGTCGGCTGCTTCCGAAAAACTCGACCAAGTCGCCGAAATGCCGACAGCTTCACGAGAGATAGCAAGTAGAGTTCTTTTCCCTTTTGACTCTCGAATTCACCAAAAGTGTTGAAATGTTCACATCCCACTTGCTGGGCACGCTTTCTGGCAAATGAGGCGCAGTATTTGTTTGGACTAAAATATACTTTGGAATTTGTTTTGTTTTTTGGTTTGGAGAGAAGGTAAAGAACCGGGCTACTTTCTTTGAAATTACTCAAAAAAAAATATATTTTTCAAGGAAAATGGCAAATTTTGTTATCATGAAAAGCTGTTGAATAGCCATCACGCTTTGAGGTACCTGGCATGATGTTTGATGTGCTCTTCAATAAAAGTAGAAATAAAGTAATAGCCATGGTCATAGCCATCTCTTAGCTGTAAAACAACAGGCATGTTTGCAGCTTGGCATGCTTTCACAAAGTTGTCAGGTAAGAGTTGAGTAAGCCATGTATCCTGTGTACCCTAAAAAACAAAAACAAAGGAAAGCAAGGATTGAATGAATAATAAATGAGTTAATATATCAATAATTTTGAAGTTTAAGGGGTGGAGAAGTGAATAGGGAAAAAGTATTGCATCTAAATGCACCAGTGCTGAACTCTAAAAATATATGGTTTACCTGGTCAATCAGTATGTCCATCGGAGGACCTGAGTAGTTTTTAAGAAGAAGGGTTGCATCATACTGAGCCCACAGGTCGCTGTCTCCACTTCCTCGTGGGCCCAAATAACCAGCAAATGCCTTCTGTCCCCACGGCACTTCAGTGGGGTTGCAAATGGGAGCAAACGCAGAAACAGTCTTGTATTTTCCAGGGTTCTTCAATGCACAGATCAAGGCACCATGCCCACCCATACTAAAAACAAAGATTCAACATTTTAAGCATGTATCTTTACACTCTTTCAAATTAACTTTAATAAACAGAATGCCTTACGATCAATTCATACCTGTGCCCCATGATTGAAACTCGATCAGATGAGACAGGGAAGTTATCAAAAACGAGTGCAGGCAGTTCTTTAGTCACATAGGAGTACATGCGGTAGTTCTTTTTCCATGGCTCAGCAGTAGCATCGACATAGAAACCGGCTCCAGAACCAAAGTCCCACCCATCATCCTCACCAGGAATTTGCAAGCCACCTATCAAATGCAAGTGAAAACTCAGTTACTATTGGAGTTACCACTGACCAATAAAAATGCAAAGGGTGCAAAGTGCTTACACCATCACATTACTCACGAGGACTTGTATCTGGACAAACAATTGCAACACCATGTTCTGCGGCATAGCGATGGGCTCCAGCTTTAGTAATAAAATTCTGCTCAGTACAAGTGAGGCCAGACAACCAGAATATTAATGGTACCTTCCCATCTTCTGCCTGGGGCGGGAGATAGATGGCAAAGTTCATGTGACAACCAAGTTCTTTGCTGAAATCAGAAGACATGTCCGATGTAAATTGGCAAGCCATACAGGCAACATATGGCAGTAAAGGAAGAAGACGATAAGATGAAAAATATTAAAACTAAGTGGGAGACTGCTATCTTTTTTGCCGATGTAGTGGAAAGAATGTCATCGCTACGAAAATCACACAAACCTTTCATGAGCAAAGACTTTCTGCCATCCTCCAAAACATTTAGCGCTGGATGTTTCTGTCAGCGCCATCTAAAAAAAAAAAAAAAAAATTAAAAATATGTTGAGAAAAATAATCTATGAAAAAGACGATGAGATAGTAAAATTAGTTTGATTTAATCCGCTTTTCATCGAAAACTCAATGTGCACCAGAACGAAACCCTTACATTTCTTTGTCCTTGAGACGTGTGTCTGCGACTTGCAAGTGAAAGCAGATGCTTGACTAGTGGGATAGCGTTACACTTTCTCGCGAGGAGCGACACTGTGACGAAATCGAAGAGATTCACAGTTCCCTCCGACACTCACAAACAAACCAAAGATAAAAGGACCGATAATCATGCGTCAGATCTTTCTTTACGTACCGGCCCCTGCCCCCCACCTTCATGTTTTTATGCCCGTTGAATGAAAAATTCAGATGCAAATTCTTGCAGTAAAATTTTGTTTTGGCTAGGTTTAGGTATTAATCTCAGGTGAAACAGATGGAAGTGCGAATGGCCATTGAACTGCCATTGTAAAAAGCAGCTAAAGATTTTTACAAACGTGAGTTTGTCCGAAAGGTATTTCGCTACTACTTGTTACTTCTCACACGGGGGTTGGCAATAAAGGCGGGCCGGATACACGATTTGAATGCCGCCGCTGAGATTAGGAGGACTGCGTCGAGTTTGACGCAATAAATTGAAAGAAAAGGGTGATGAGAAAACAGAATGGTCATTTTCCTATGCTGTTTGAGAACAAAGCATGTAGTTGTTGAATCTTTTTGTTTCTTACCAGGACAGGTGAATGTGAATACCTTCAAGGAGGGGGAGGAGTCACGTGGTCCTGGCAGCCGACGGAAGTCATGACAAAATCGCTGGGTTCCTGCTTTGTGTGTCAACAAAGCAGAAAGACTGTTAAGACCGGCCCGTTCATCTTAGGACGCAGTGTCTTTATGTCTGTCAAAGGGAGTTGTATCTACCCATTCAAGGTGCGTCATTTAAAATTAATAACCATAAACTTAACATCCCTGATTTTTCCTTATCAGATGCTTAGGTTGCGTTAAACGTTCAAGAGGTCCGGGCATGTTTGGATTTTCCAGTGTTCAGTTCCTCCTGTTTCGTTACAATAGTTCCTCATGGTTTTCATTGAAAATAGTTAAATTGCATGTGTCTTTTGTCATGTCCCTTCATCATTTGGACCGTATTATGTCAAACATTCAGGTTAGGATTCGTCACTGTGGTCCAGTTTACTGCTTTCAGCTGACAAGTACTCTGATAATGGGATGATGTTTTTAAAATGACCCCAAATATACTAGTAAACTGAAGGTTTTAATCTGCATCCATCTCTACACTGCTTCTGCTGTTTTCTTGGATGTGAAAATTATACTTTCTAAACTGTAAAATTAATGTCTCTATTTTGTTTTTGTTTGTTGCAGTCATGAACTCGTACCCATATGAGGTATCCGGACTGCTTCTTGCTCCGCCGCCCCCTCCCCCTCCCCCGCCGTCCTCCGCACCACCACAACACTCCGTAGAGTCAGGAAGAGCTAAGGCTCCTGATGCCCAAGTGCCTCATCACAGTGGTCAGTTCCGCCAGGAAGCTGGTTATCCCATGGCGTCCATGCCTCCCCACCATTCATCCATGCCTCCGGGAAATAGTCCAAGAGGTGTGATGATGCTGCCTCGAAGTCATTTAAGTCTGCCTCCACCTCCACCACCTCCACCTCCACTTGGTGAATCGTCCAACACACAGCACCGCTATGGAACTCCGTATCATAATTCCTCAGCTCCTATCTATCCCCGGCCTAATAATCCCAAGTTCCAACAACATAGAAAGCCTTTTCAACCAGGCCCACCACATTGGGCACCTGTGAAACATGCCCCTTCAGGTCTCCAAGGGCCATGGCAAGTTTCAAATGCAGAACGTAAGTGCAGAGTTTCACTCATAAGCTTCAGACTAGAGGTAAAGTTCATCATGTCACTACAACCAATTTTGCTGCAGGTCCAACTGGAGTCTTTCAACAGCTTCATCCACCTGGTGTTCCTGGTGAACAATACACTGGTAAGCCTAGTATAGGTCATCAAATAACAATTATTGTCAAGGAATGATAGTTACAGAAATCTGTTTTACAAATAAATTTTAATCTTCACCTGACCAGGAGATAGCAAGCTAACATCTCTTGCAGACCCAAACTCCACTATGGAAATGGAAACTAAAGCTCCAACAACAACTAAATTTACTCCTGCGACCACTTCCTGTAAGTTGCTGTAAATTAAACACTTGCCTTCTCTTTCCCTTAATTCCCCCTTTAATACAGTATATTTTTTTCAGACAAAGATTACAAATTAGAACAGAATTTAGATCCAAAAGACCCAAAACTACCCAAAGAATTAACTAATCTGTTTGAAGCTTTGACTTGTAAACTGTGTGAGGTTTTGGTGAGTACTAATAGCTGTCAGCTGGTTAAAAGTGTTTCTGTAATTATTTCTGAATTGGACTCTCTTTATTCAGTCAAGCTCTACAGTGCAAGCCAAAGTTCATTACTCTGGGAAACCCCATGAAAAAAAGGTCCGGCAATGGCTGCAAACATGGAGTGAGCAAACTGGAGAACCTCTAATTAAGAGACCAAAGCTGGACACTCCAGTAAGACTGTCGTGCAACATTTAAATAAAAATGAATTGATATTAATGTACAAACTACTAATTCTTTTCTACTTTCCAGACTGAAATTAACCCTGAGGATTTTTATTGTAAACTGTGTGATGTTACTTTCACCTCAGTAAAGCATGGACAGCAGCATAGAATGGGAAAACCTCATCAGAAAGCTCTTAGACTTGGTTACAACCCATCAAGGTTGTACATTATGTTCAAAGATGAATATTTTAATTCTAAAACCAAACAACTAAAATATTTTACAGTGTAAATAATTTGATGAAACAAATTTTTTGTTCCAGAAAAGCTAAAAAGGTTGAAGCCCCCGCGGACCCAAATAACCGGTTTGGTATAGGAGAAAGTTTTTCTCAGCCTGGCTCTGATGAAGCAGTACCTGACCCCATGAGTAAAGACCCTTTAAACCTCTTACCAACAATAAAAGCACCACCACTACTTAACAATAAGTAAGTTCTTTTTTCTTTTTTTAAAAATTTATTAATGTTCTGGCATGCCTATGAAGTTACGTAGATTAGTTTTTAGGGATGTACAACATAAACCTCTCAAAATTTGCCGTAAACCGCTTTCATTTGAATTTCTCGTACCACAGGTTTGTCTGTGAACTTTGTAAAATTAGTACCACTTCCCAAGAGCATCTTGAATCTCACTACGCTGGAACTAAACACCGCAAAGCTCTGGTAAATGCTGCAAGATCTGGAATAGTATCTGAAGCGTCTGTAGTTCCCCCACCGGTCGAACATGCAGAGTCTATTTTGGCAAGTGTCATTACGGATGGAAACATGGCCAGAACTAATGCAGTTTCCACTGACATGTCGATCTATCGCACCCCATCAGGTGAGTACCACATAAGCTCCTAAGTTCTGGTAAGCACTGCCCGGTGCATCGGTTCGGTTTTGGCTTCTGAGAATTAAGAAATAGACAACACATTCTGACATTCTTGTGTCACGCACAAGCACGGGACGGGGACGGGGGGTAGCGCTGTGCCGCCGTGCCGATACTCCAGGCTGGTAGAGTGCGCTAGTGTCGCTCTCTGGTCGCTGGTCGCCCCGTCGCCCCTTCCGGTCCGATCCGGCTGGAGAGACATTTGACTTCGTTGGTTGGTTCACCTGTTCGTGGCAAATAGCACGGGAAAGGGGAAGGAGGAAGGAAGGGGAAGAGGGGAAGGGGAAGGGGAAGCGTTTGTTCGTGGCAGTGGCATCCCCAAGCTCCTTTTCGTCGGGTTTGACGCATCCTCGCCTTACTTCAAAACTTGAATTGATCGCTTTAAGAGTGCCTTAGCCTTTCCTCGTGTCGTGGAAGTGAGGTGCGTACTTTCGAAATCGATAGCGTTACTTCGCGGCAGGTCTTTTCTTGGAACTCCGTTGCTTTCGTTTAGCCTCGGCTACGCTTTGCCGCCAATGCTATTGCAGGCTTGAGTGGCCTAAATTGTTTTTGATCGAGAACGCCCTTATCCCCTACTCCTGTTGTTTGCTGCTGACGAGAGGGTGCGGTAGTTTTAAAAGATGGTGTGGGTAGTGCGCGCGCTCCTATTTGTCGTATATTATCCATAGTTTGGGTCGAGAACTCGAGAGCGTTATTTTTGAAGGTTAGGGACCCATTGGGAATCTGCATATGATGCGGTTTTGTTTGTAGTGTTGCTACCTTCAACGTAACTTGGATGCTCACAGCTTAAGATTGTTCTAAATATGTTCCATCCTTTTTCCTTTGTGTTATTGCCTTATCAGTTATTTCTGGTTAATTTCAAAGCGCGTTCTGTTTGATTTGGCGTTTTGCCCTGGCTGTTTCAGTTTTGATTAAATAGTGATTTTATTGTTTTTCTTCTTTTAAATTGGATCATAAAATGTTTCTTGTTATGTGATGGAGAGGCATGGTTAATTTTGATGCTGTACCCAATGTTTCATAACTTCACATAGATTATCTGTCATTCGGGCTTCCTACAGCATCACCTATTATTAAAACTCTGCATTAAGCACTACGAACTCTTAAAAATTTTCTGTTATTTATGTGTCCCACTCCAACTGCAGCCAATTAGGGTTTGTTAAATTATCTGTTAATGTTGAATCGACTATTTCTTCTTCTTCTTTCAGGACAATTTTACTGCAGTCCTTGTAACACTACAGTGAACTCTGAAAAGTCTTTCAGAGAGCACACGGAAAGCAAACGTCACAAATTTAAAGTGGCATCATCAAAACGCTTTTAACATTTTGACTGAAAATGCGTCAAACTAGGTAATCACACTTGAATTCAGAACTTCTAACCAGTCCAGTGTATTAATTTTACCACCTTTTTTCCCTTGTGCTGAATTTGTGTTCTTTTACAGGCGGTCAAGGTCCGGTGTGACCCCTCAGAAGGATGAGCCCGCTAACCAGGCAGGAGAAGTAAAAGGAGACGAGGAGAAGTCTGTTAAAGCAAGTTTGGAAACTGTATTTGAGAAGGAAGACAATTTAGAGAAGGGTAGTGAAGCTGTTGAAGATACAAGTGCTGACAATGCCAAGGTTGATAACGCTGGGCTGAAAACAGAAGAAAATCAGACCCCAACAATTGAAAATGCAACTTCTGGAGAGGATAAGCAAGATGAAGTATCCAAAATCAGCGGCTCTCCCAGGAAGTCTGACACAGGACTTATTGAGTTAAACTGCCAAGTGTGCAACTGTTCATTCACCAATTATCATGAGCACATGAACAGTGAATCGCACAAGTCTAAAATTAGCCATTCCCCTTTGAAGACTGATACGCAAACGAGTGCTGAAAAGCCTGCTACCAACCAGGCTCAGAAGCGCAGTGGGGATCAAGATTCTGCTCCATCACCGAAACGGATGAAAAATCAAAATGCTTCAAATGCCCCCAATGAAAAGTTCAATTGTGACATCTGCAAGTTGTCTATTCTGAAACAGCAGGACTACGAGCAACATATGAATGGTAAGCGCCACATGCTGAACGTCACCAGAGCTCAAGGCAAATCTTATTGCGAGATCTGCAAGCTGTTCTTCAATTCTCCAACCGATCTTAGTGACCATGAGGACTCTCAAATGCACAAGAAGAATCTTGCTGATAGAAAGCAAGATAAGCAGCAATTCGAATGCAAAATATGCAAAGTGATATCTCTTGGTCAGAAGCAATACGAACAACACTTAACCAGCAAACGCCACAAGCGCACTGTGGAGAATCCAGGTACTGTTGTTGCTAAACCAGCTGCTGCTGTGAATGGAAAAACTGAAGCCAAGCCAGCTGCTGCAGCTGCAGTTGTTGTGGCGTCTGAAAAGAAGTGGCTGTACCTCTGCAATGCTTGTAACTTTGGATGCAACTTTGATAACCAGCTCTCTTCACACATGAATCTTGCCGAGCACAAGGCTGCTGTAATTGACATGAAGAAGAAAGGTTTGATGAAAGAGGGAGCCAAACCGAGCCCTGCAAAGTTTGCCAACAAGCCTGCTGCCGCCAACAAGCCAGCTACTGCTAATGCAGCACAGCCTGCTCGGAAATTCACTCCTGGCAATGCAGGAAATCGTCCTAATGCAGGTGTCAACAAACCTGGTCCAAAACCAAATTTCAATGCTGCAGGTCCAGGCCCTTCTGTCACTTACAATATCGTGTCTGGCCCAAATGCTAATGCTGCTGCTGTCCAGAAGCCAGGTCCTCAAGTCAATAGGAAGGTCCCTGCTGCAGGTGCAGCCGGGCCAAAGAAAAACATTCCTCCCAACAAACCTGCTGCAGTGCAGAACAAGCCACAATTTGCTGGGCGTCCGAATCAACAACGATTCCCTGGTAAACCAGCTGAAAATGCTCCCAACAAATTTGTTGCAAACCAACAGGCTGCGAAGATGGGTTTCCAGAATCAAGCTGCTGCCTTCCGCAATCCAGCTGGGAACTTTGGCGCAGGCGTTGCACCTCATCATGACAATTTACATGCTGGTGGTAACTTTGGAGCCTACAGAGCTGCAAACTTTGGTGGAAATATGAGAATGGACGTGAACCCTGGCGCTGATTTGAGGAACGATTTCCGAGGCAATGTGAGGGATGATTTCCGCTCTGACGTGCGTGATGTGCGTGACATTCGCGACGTCCGTGACATCCGTGACATACGCAATGTTGATACCAGCGCCGGGAACAGGGGTGATGCTGCATTCCGTTCTGGTTTTTATAGGGAGATGCCTGCTGAGTCTTCCCGGGCTGACTTCAGAACCTTCAATGACATGGACACACGGTCAGATGTAAGGCCTGGTCCCATTGTGGATGCGGGAGATATGCGAAGTTTGGCAAGGAATGACATGGCTGATCTCAGAGGCTACAGCAACAATGATATGAGGGATCTGCAAAGCGACAACAGGAATGATTATTCCAGGGAGCGAAGCGCCATGTCTGGCTATGGAGCATCTGCTGCCTTTGCTCAGACATACCGAGGCAATGAAGAATACAGGTCCGACAATTATGGCCGAGCTGCGCAACCCACAGCATCTGCAACTTCGGGTAACTACTCGAGTGGCATGATGTCCAGTGGACGCTATGATTACATGGATCGCAACTCATCAGCATACAGCAATCAATATTCTGCTTCATCCAGAGGCATGGGATACATGGGTAATGTTTCACTAAATGGTCGCTGAAATTCTACATTCTTAATTTGTTTTTCTTAGTATTGCAATCAAACTTGAATCATTATATTTATATAATGACATCTTTTATATTGTAGACAATGTCAAGCCTATGATTATGCAGATTCTTGTATAAATAATATGTGCTTTTAAATAGCATTATGCTATCACTAATATGAATAGTTACAGTAGATGCACTGTATTTTTATGTTTATTTAACTTAATCAATTTGATATGTCATTAAGGTGACGTCATCAGCGAGCAATTCAGAGTAATTATTTTCACTCCATTTACTTCAAGTTTGTAAAAAGTATGCATGGTCTCCAGGAATAAATGTTCATGAATTTTTATTTAGCTTTCCCTTTTCTTTTTCTTTTTTCTAAATAAGGTGTGCTTTTGCCGTGTGCTTGTAGTTGTTTGAAATCAAGCACCACAATTTTAAACACAGACACAGTTTGGCAAAGAAGTATTTTCTGTGTATCTTGAGTTGAGTTGTTTACGCAACAAGATGATGAAAAACATATTGATTTGTGTTCTTTGACTTCAAGTCCCAATGAGCAATTTCTCACTGTGATCTTTCACTTTGATCTTAGACAATTGTGCAGTGAACCACGCGTGCACACTGACCTATATTGTTGATTTGTTTGATTTGCATCTCTTTTTGGGCGGTAGCTCAACTCAATCTGTGTATTCTTAAAAATGAGTTTGCAAATTTATTAATGCAACCTATTTTGCAGAACATCGGTGATGGTAGAAAAACTATGAAATTGTGAATCAGCGGAGCTCATGTGAAATCTAGGCCATGTACATTAATTCAGTGAGAAATCAAAGCTTTACTACCTCTTACTTAAATTGTGTACACCTACATCAATTATAGTTGATTATGAAAGATTGTTCTTGAATGTGAATGGTTTAGTTACTATATGAAGATGGTACAAATGTGATTCACAACTCAATAAAAAATAGTTGCAAACAATTCATTTTTTCAAAATGCATTTATTTATAACAATACCTTGAAGTTAAAATCTTTCAAAATGAGCCCTCTTGAAAGAACTATTGGCACTTCCTCCTGTATTCTGAGATGATGAACTACATTCTGTCCAATATTAACAAACTTGAGATACAAACATAAATGGAATATGGAAAATATCAAGTGTAAAACTCAGCGAACATCTTGAACATGTCATCTCACTCCCCCAATTAAGAAATGGCAACAAAGAGTGCACCTGCAGAACCAATTTTCTTTGCAAAACTGCTAGGGCAACAGAATTGTTATAATGGGGATAACTTCAAACATGTCATCCCCAATATAACTAAAACAAAAGAATATTTAAAAAAATAAAATTAAAGAATGAATTAGGCATCTAGGGAAGATATTCCAAAGAGGAACAATACCCATTTATTGATTGTATGAGGAATTTGTATAAACACAAAACCCCCTTCTCATGGTAAAAAACATGAAAAAAAATTTAACATTCAGGGTAAATAATGGAGGTGGGAGTTTATCAACAAAGTATTAAGATGCAGACCAGTCTTTCCTGCAAATGCATTAATGTGTAATTTAACATCAGTACAGGGTGCTGCAACCACCTCATGTATAAGCCTTTTGTTTAAGAGCAGCACACATACAAACAAGACAGATGGCCTTATTTAAGTACAAAACTACTTCAAATCTACTCTGCTTTTATGAGGTGTTGGTCACAATTAAATTAGACAAATACAATAAGTCACAATGTGCCAGTGAAAATATTTGGGAAAATCGTACAAGATTGCCTCTCAAATAGAACACATTACTGTTTCCTTTCTGTTAAATTAAGCGTGAACTTTCCACAGGCAATATTAATAATTGTGTGTGAACTAGAGTCAATCACAGTCAATGGACAAAAGAAACCATCTTTGTCATCAAGATACTTATCTTGCAGTTGCAATGATCTTTTCATCTTCATCTTGACAAAGCTGAAAGCGGGTTTAAATTGTGAGATGTCCACACTCTCATTGGAAATTATTTTCATGACATTACAGCTGCTGTACTGTACAATGAAATTAGGTCATAAATATTACAATACAATCATATAACAATAGCATGGGTAACTAGAAACGAGACTCCACCAAGAAAATCAAATTAACATAGGAATGGAAGTTGGATTAAAGCTGAATACAGTAGTTAAGTAATGCAGCACCAATAAACAAATACAAAAATTACTTTTTAAAAAATCTAAGGAACAAATCTAATAAAATTTAATAAAATCTCAAGAGCTGAAGAGAGAGGGTGGGTGTAGAGAGCACCCATTGTTCAGATCATTATAAACTGTGAGAAAAACTTTCCTTTAAGGAAGATAGTCTTAACTATCTGAAGGTGGTGTAGTTGGTAAAGCAGCACCAATGGTCATATTAAAATAAATTTTAAAATAATAACTTTATAAGAAAACAACAAACAATTATCTGATAAATCGAAAATCTGAAACAACAAACATAAGAAATATAAGTCATTCTAAGGTTCAAAACTCAGTAAGTAATCTTTCAGTGCAGGAGGAAGAGGCAATTTGTTAGCATGCTCCCCAGGACACCTATTCAATGCCTTATAAATAGTCACTCGACAAATTTGCTTGAGTGTACGAGGTGTAGCATACAATTCACGAATCACATTAAGGAGAGCTGTACCCTTCACTGATATGATGCCTGAATGTAGAGCGGTAAAAATAACTTTCAAACAAGAAAAAAGAGGTCTATGTTCCATACAAAGGTAGAAAAGCATAATAACTGTGACAAAGTTTTGGGCTGGGTCCATTGTTATGTCTTCTTTTCTGCATATTGTCACTATGTAGTAATAGAGAACCTGCAGAAGAAAAAAAAAATTATTAATACAGCAGTGTTTCTTGTGATCACAAGATTCCTTGAAAGACCAGCAAACCTACATGGTTGGATGCTCTCTTTAAAACACAAGATTGAGAATTACAAATTGTTATGTGGTCTGGGGGTGGAACAATTATGTTGGGATCTGCACCATGTTGAAGGAGAGCCAGGGTGAGGGAATGCACATGAATTAGATCTCCAGGTGAACGAGCCTGAGTCACCATCCCCATTACTGCTGGGAGGATATGTGGTGTCTTTTGAGAAAATCGGACATTAGGATCCAACCCATGTTGAAGAAGAATTATCTAAACAAACAAAAAAAGCATAAAATAAATGATTCCAGGACACTTTTTAGGAATTGAGTTTTTTAAGTTATTGAAGATTACTTAAAATAAAAGGTTAAAACTTTTCTTACCAGTAAGCTACGAATGAACTCGAAATTCTGAGCTTTTTCATCTTGACGTGAAAGGGCTATACTCTCACTGGCAGTAAACATGAGAACATGTAAAGGCGTTAAGTTGGACCGTGAGGAACAGTTCGGACTTGCCCCATGTTTGCATAAAATTCGAACACAATTTAAATAACACACCTGAAATCATTTTTAATTATTATTATTATTGAGCAGGAAAAAGGTGCAAAACGACAAACACAGGGGTGTGTCAGACCCTATACCACAATCTCGAACACAGTGCATTGCACACTGTATACAATCCCCATATTTTTGTCAGTTTTCAATTAATTACCTTCATGTTGTGGTTGAAATGATGTAAAGGATCTTTGTTGATTAAGGGGACAAGGCAGACCATAAGAGGGACAGAACCATCACGACCAACAAAGTTTGGATTTCCACCTTCTTGCAGAAGCATATTAATAAGCTCATATCGGAATTCCCAATCTCGAACATGACGCAGAACACAAGCTAGTGCTGAATTTCCTGGCTGATTAATAGAAGGTCTTGCTCCATTTTGAAGAAGATAGCGAACCTTCACAGAAAAAAAAAAGGAAATGTAAAAGATAAGATTTGATGTTCAAATTTCTCATTACAATTGAGTTTATGCCTTTGCAACCCTACCAAATGTAAAACATCCCACTTGTTCCAGGGTTGATTATCATGATCATAGCCAAATCTTGCTTCTTCCAAAGCATATCTTACAATAAGACCATGGAGTGGAGTATTGCCAAGGGAATCAGCTTCATTGATGCACTCTCGCATTCCATTATCCAACAGAAGACGTGTTGTTGCCAAGGTATCTTGAGCAGATTTTCGCCCAATAAGGTACAGTATATGTAAAGCAGTCATTTGTTGAGTTGCTGTGCGGACCGTGGTCTGGGCTCCACATCTAAAGAACATGACCAAATTAGTGAGGCTCTAGGTAAATACAAAGTAAGACTTTAGATAAACTTACGATATTAGAAGCTCAACAAAGCGGACATCATGGAGAGCTGCCTGATGTATTGGGTAGTACTCATCAAAACACAAGTTTACTTCTTCAGGTCGTTCTTCCACTAGGTACCTACAGCAATTCAGAGCACCTCTATCACAAGCAATGTGAAGTAAAGGACGCTTGGCTTGCCATGGAAACCAATGTTCATCTCCAGTTTGAATAAGAAGTTCCAGTATTCCTACCTACAACAAAATATATTGGTTTAATTCAAAGTATTAAGGAAAATACTTCTTATTGACAAAAGAAGAGAGGCAAATAACAACCTGGTCCCCATCAATAGCATAGGAAATTGCATTTTGAAGCTTGTCACTTGTTCTTTCAGCTGGTATATGGTCACCATATGAACTTGCTAAATTAAAAACAGAACAGAACATTGCTCAAGTGATACATGCCTTTGTCAAGAAAATAAACCAAGCAATGAATATCGATTTTGAAGAAAGGTTTCATTCGTAATATCTAGAACTTACAATACTTTCCCCGCTCTTCACAGTTTTGGCTGTGAGGTCCAGGCCAACACATGCGTGCCTCCACATCAACCCTTGCACCATGTTTAAGGAGAAGCTCTACAATTTGCTCATGCCTGAAAAAAGGAAAACACCATGTTGAGATTATGAGGGTTTCTATATGTACTTCCAGGAACCTTTGAGAAATCTTACCCTTTCAGACATGCAATATGCAGTGGGAAAGAGCATGCACTTCGATTAAGATCAGGATTTCTTGAGCAGATCCATCTTACCAAGTCTACATTGTTGATGCCAATACATTTTTGTAATAAATTGTAACCCTCTCCATTATGAGCTAATAAGATATTATCACACTGTAATTCAAAATGGCCTAATGTTAACAAAAAATTGACAGTCACAATAGAACAATAGAGATGGAACAAAATGTGAAGATAATGAACCTTTGGTATTCCTTGCAGAAACCCTTCGAGTCTTTGAATATTTATGCGGGGGTTAGCTCTCAAGACTTCAAATAACTGCCTCACATGGTCTCTTGTCAAATCCGAAATGCCACGATGGTTTGATACAAGCAGGCCATTGCTGCTGAAGAGGTTGCTGAGTGCACTACCCATTCCTAGGCACCCAAGGGGTACCCCCCTGCGGGCACCAGCGACCTAAGACCCGGCTACATTACAGCATCATTTAAGAAGTGAAGGAGCGAACCTGCAACCATAAAATTACAATCAATACAAGCTGTATGGAACAACAAAAAATAGATCGAAAAAAAAGACAGGAAAACAGAAGGGTTAAGGCAAGACAAACTAGAAACCCCACACTATTCATGTGGTTTTTAGAGAGCACATAATCGCATCACATAACATAACTTTGTTTCATCTTTGAATGTAGAATTACACCGGATAAAGATTTTAAAGTTTCAGAGAGAAGGCTGATCCCACCTCAATTTTTACAAGTCAAAATTTATGTGTAGCTCTTCCATTCCCAATAATTCTATGAAACAAAGATGATGCTCAAACCAAACAATGTACATCAGCCTATCTTGCACTTGTGGTTAGATGGACGAGGGCAACAAAAGAGGTTAATGTTAACGCAATGGGTGAACTAAGGAATGGGACTAGAGGAAACAAGTTCCTGCCATCACGGTGGGCGATGAAAAGTCATAACAATGTTCCAGACCAATCTTGCCCGTCTTCCCAAAGCTAATACAGTCATACAAATGCAGACGACATTCAATTAATTAGGAGTTCCCTGAGAGGGGACAGTCTTTTTTCTCGTTCGCCATGAACCAGCAGGGCAGGATAAGGAAAAAGTGCTCACTTACCCCGAAAATTAACGTGATCTTTCACATGCATACATATGACAAAATCCGTACATGTAGAGGTAAATCCTCAACTCGAGAAAATGCTTCTTGAAATCTTGCAAGTTTTGATGTTTTGGGCAGAATACTCCTTCCTGATTGGTCGCATGGAAAGTTGTCGTTCCCCGTTATTCCTGAAGATGGCAGTAGTGGTCGTCCTCATCCTACTCTGTCAAGTCTCAACGAAAAACGATTCACGTCAAATGTATTTATTTGGAGATTTCTCTTGGATTTCTTAAATCTTTGGGCCAAGAAGTTTTTTCCATTGCAATTCAAAAATAACTACCTCAGTTATTGGCCTCCAGGCATAACTGTACGAAGTGTCCTAGTTCACGGATCAGTGGTTAGCCCAACTGTAACCTATACTATATGTTGTCCTAACGTTATTAAGTTTATTTGCTGAACAAAATGGACGGAATTCGTGGAGAAGTCAGTAACAAAATAAGAGTAAGTCTCTCTTTGGGTGCCTGCCCAGTTTTTCATTTTGATATCCATAAAAAAATATTTGGTGTGCATATCTTATGTCATTCTTTTTATTACTTCACGACAATTTTTCTATTACTTCTGTGTTAATTTTAACCATATTTTTGTGGGTATTTTGTCTCTACAGTCAGCTATTAAGGCGAAATTAATGGAGCTCGGTGCATATGTTGGTAAGAAGAAATGGACAGGAGAAAGTGTCTTTTGCGTGTTTGCAAAAACAACTTGTCTACTGGCTGTAATATTTATGTAACTTACATCCTTGTTATTTCTTACTGGCATTTATCTTGTGCAGATGACGAACTTCCTGACTACATCATGGTCATGGTTGCAAACAAAAGATCAAGGCAACAGATGGAGGACGACTTGCAGCTCTTTCTAGGTGATAGTACATCTACATTTACAGCCTGGTTACACACAGTTTTAAATAAGCTGCAGCAAGTTACAGTAAATAACACAGGTAACTTCAAAATTACAATTCTATTCGATAATCTCTTCCTGCCACCTCTTTTTCATATTTCTTAAACCTATCACTTCCCCTTTCAGAACTAAAGAAAGGTTCAGAGAAGAAAAGACCCTCCATTGATGATGAGAAAAAGGACAAAAGAAAAAAACTAAAGAAAGAAAAGGACAAAGAGAAGCCCGAGAAGCTTGGAAAAGCTCAAGAGAAGAGTAAAATTAAGAACAGTGCTGGTGAAGACAAAACCGAGGACACAAATCGTTCACAAATTCAAGGCAAGCAAATCAAAAGTGAGCCTGTTGACCGAGCAGTTCCTGAAGGTATCATGTTTGTTTGCTCTACTTCATATCTGATTTAACATAATAATAATAATTAATTCTATTATTATAATAATTGATGTCTTCATTTTCAGCTTCCCTGCAAAGTAAACTTTCCACTCATGTCAATCATCAATCAGCTAGTTCAATTACTTCGACAATTCAAGAGAGAAATTCCTCCGAAGCAAGGGCCAATGAAGAGGAGGATGATGATGATTTCATTAATATTAAAGCCGATGTCGAAGCAGGTACATGCAATTCATTTTACTTTCTTTTTTCCCCTGCCAATTAAGGTACATATCTCATCTTTTAACCTTCTTGCAAACTAATTCTGGAATTGTAGATATGTGGGGTGAAACAGATGAGACAGCTGCTGCAGCTAAAAATTTGAATAAAAGTGTAGCTGCTCCACCCCCCTCAAGGGAATCTAAACAACAGGAACCAAAGGAGCAGGAACTCAACAGAGATCAAATGAACCCAGCAGCATCTGAGAAATTGACATCAGATTCAATATTACCAGATGCAGCTTCAGTATCAGCTTGTGTTTCACCTTCCAAGGTATTCTTTATACTTTGTTCATCGAGTACTAAATAATGGTTAGCCAGATAGTAGTATTTTAATTTTTGTTGTGCAGAATATTGAGTCCAGACCTGCTCCACGTATAATAAAAATATCGGAGACAATTCGGCAAGAACAGGAAACGATGAAGCCATCTTCTAAGGCTGTCAGAGACCCTCAGGTAAGCCTCAATCAAACATTATCCTTTTACATTATGTTGGTCTGAACCAGAAACTAACTATTACTAGCCCAGTGATCAACTACTAGAATTTTACTTGACATAATATCTGGTTAAATTTTCTTTGCCCAGCAAACATTTTTGGGCTAGTATTTAAATCTACTTGCTATGTGCCTTAAGCCTTTTTTTTTCTTGTTTCTGTGACTACACCAAATGGCAAGTCTCCATTCTCAGAGAAGCTATACCCATCTAGTAGAAGCTTTCACTTGAAAGAAAATTGGTTACAATCTTATTGCTCATGTGTGAATGTTGTGAATGAATACATCTGCTGCAGGGGGATAGAAGACCACCTTCCCCAATTTTCTTTACCAATACGTCAGAGACAATTGAAGATGACTCAGAGATCTTTGGTAGGCGCATAGCATGTGAACTCAGGAAAATGTCACCTGAACTTCGTAAGTTAGTTAAATTGAAGATTGAGCAGGTGTGTACAAGACAATTCATTCCTGAAGTAGAAGTAACACTCTGTGAATCTTTAATTATGCTGTCTCTTGTCCTCAAAGGACATCATCGATTATCAGGGAACTCCACATAAAGGACATGAGATCACAGTACAGCCACTTAAAGGAAATGACTCAAAGAAGAAAGCTGCTCCCAAATCTAAAAGGCTCAGGGACAGATCAAAAGAAAAAAGACGAAAGAGGAAAAAAAGATCTGAAGTCGCTATTGGAAGATTGAATCATTCAAGCCACACCAACTTAGACAGAATTAGCCACAGGCTAGAAATGTCTTTAGAGGAAAATGGAAATAATGCAAGACTTTTGCCAGTTAGGTTTGGACCCCTCAGGATGGATTCACCTTCATTAAGTAGGACTAGAGTTACGAATTCATCGAGCAGAGTGGATAAGTTTCGATCATTTGTGCGTGATGAAAGCCCCACTCCTCCGAGAACTGTGAGCAGTGTAGTTACAAGCTGTAACCCATAGTGCTCAATTTGTTTTGTTCATTAGTCCTTTGAGTAGAGCCAGCATCACCATGTGATATTTCACAAATCAAACTGAGTAACTACATAAACCATCTACCATCTATTCATCTTCCCATTTTAACATCAGATTTTGATTACTTTTTTATTTATTTCTGACAGCCAATCTCTGTTTTCCATCTTTACCTATTTCTTGTTTTTGTTTGTGGTGGAACTTGAGTTCTGTCAATTTTGTGTATGGAATTTCTTTTTCTTACATCTCAAGATTTGTGATACTTTTTCCACAATAAATGCAAATTAGTAACATTGTAAGACTTTTATTTTGACTAACCCCACTACAAATTGATTACTGAGTTTGAACTCTTGCCATTTGGATGTCACAGTCACAATTAGCTTCCGATTATTCCTACTAAAGCCTTTACAAGTCTTCAATTAAAAATATAGCAAATGTTTTCTTGAAACATTTCTTGTACTTAAAACAATGTATTTCTTGTTTTTCAACAGGGCTTAGCAAAGCGAGTGTTCCAGTCCCATATTGTCAGCTTGAGGAATGCACAAGAAAAAACAGACAGAGACAGGACTCTAGGGCGGAGCTCCTCATCTCATTCTAATGATAATCACTCTCGAAGAACTGACCAAAGAAATAGAAAACGCGAGGACCTAAGAGAAACTCTTCGTAAAGAGCGGCAGAGAGAGAGAGAGCGTAGTAGAGACCGGGAACGAGAGCGTAGACGTTCCGGGGATGGAGCACGGAAGGCCCAGGCTAGAGGAGATTCTAGTTCAGGCCGTGCATTTTCGTCTCACAGGGATGAAAACAGCCCAGATCCGTCTCTGTTGAGTGTTGTTCGAGTGACACCGCGCCCACAGATGCCGGCTGCTCTCCAAGCGAATCGATCACTCATACTCAAAGCAGTAGCTGAGGCACAGAAGTCTGTTTCTAAACCTGTTGTCCGCCCTGAGCTGGCTGATGTAAAAACTCGAATTAAACCGCTGCAACTCAAACGATCTTTGATGGACAAAGGTCGAATCCGTAAGCAACTAAATGTGCAGACACTATCTTCATTAAAGGTACACAATACAGTGCTCTGTAATGTTCTATAGTTTACCTCTTTTATTCTACTGGTTTATGATTGTTATGCATGTAATTTATATTTTACACCTTTCTTTATTTAACAGAAAAGTCAGTCTAATTCAAAACAGTCCGCTCACCTTCCATCCAGAGACGCTCTGAGGAAAATGTCCTTCACTGTGCTTGGACAAAAAGCAGCACCATCTCAAGAGTTTCAAGGAGCAGGTAATGATAACAACACCTTTTTCAGTACTTACTGTGGTTTTTTATTTTTTAAATTGTTTAATTTTTTTTAAAATTTTGCTCTTGCAGAATTTGGTGACATTAGTGATGAGAGCTCGATCATCATAGACCCCTCTCTTAACATTCTTATTCAAGTGCCTGCATCTCCTGGTTAGTAGACATCTCTTTCTGGTTGCGTTAATTTTAGTATATTCAAAGTATTCACAATCTAAACAGTCTTGTTGTTTGAACCCAGTTGAAGATGCTCATGAGCCTCCAGATCCTATTCAAACTGAAAAAGTTCGGAGGTGGATTAAAGATGTAGAGGAGGCAACCAAATCTGATACCATAAACCTCGATACCAAAACAGACTTAACAACGGATGCAGGGGTTGAGGTTGATAATTATGGGTTAGAGAGTGCCTCTAAGCCCGTGAGCGATGAGGACTTTGAAGACACTTTAGAAGTTGATACCAATTCTCTGAAGACATCAGATATTCACAGTGTTGTCATCTCAGATGATAGATCTTTGAGGTAAGTGTCTCCTTTAACTGCTCAATCTAAAATATTGTTTTAAAAATATTTAATATTAATGAACCCATTTTAGGCAACCAGCTAATACCCAGTTTGTAGTTACCTTGGATGGGCTTGACCCTCGATTATTACGGTCTTTTGCAATGGAAGGTGACGGATGTGCGGTTCAGATGAAGGAACAGATCGACGCTGAATGCCATCAAGATGATAGGGAAAGTCTCATAAGGGAGGAGTTGGTAAAGGAGCAGCTTCTGCGTGAAGAGTTACTGAGGCAACAGGCAGCAATCAGAGAACAAAAGGCAAATCGGAACAATGCATCAACTGTGTCATCAGTAGTTGCCCCTGTTAAGAGACCTGCTTCTCCTAGTTGTTTCTTAGAAACTCGACCTGCAAAAGGTGAATTTAATTTTAAAATGGTTGAACTTACCTAAACTCACTTCACCAGAAATGTCTCAATATATAGCTTTGTCTTTTGCAGTATCAACAATTCAGAACAAGCCTGCTACTTCTGAACGATGTAAATTCTGGCCCTCTTGTAAAAATGGAGAAAAGTGTGAATTCCATCATCCAACTGTGCCTTGCAAGTAAGCTTTTCATTCATACTATGCGAGGAATTGAAGTTAAAACATACTTACTATCTATATCCTTTCAATTTATACTTTATAGGTCTTTCCCCAACTGTAAATTTGTCGACCGCTGTCTATACATTCATCCAAACTGCCGCTTCAATTCTATGTGCACAAGGGCAGACTGTTCATACACTCACACTGGTCCAAGACCAAGTCTCAGCACACAGACTGTTGGTTAGTAGGATATCTTTTAAAGCCAATGATAGCTGTTATTTTTTTAACTTGCAAGTTATTATTTGTACCTTTGTTTTAGGACCAAACCCTTTGACTAGTCAACCCATCAAGCAAGCCTGTAAATATTTTCCTAACTGCAGCAACCTCAGCTGCCCTTATATTCATCCAACAGTGAGTGTTCCTTTTATACCTTACCATAGATATTTGCAACTTTTATTTAAAGTCTAATTCCCCTTATTTATTTCTGCAGGTGTGCAAATTTGGAACCCACTGCACACGTCCTAAATGTCAGTTTATACACAGTGACAAAGGACTCATGACGAAACACAAGTGGGTCCGACAGTGAAGACTGATCAAACAATAGCAAACTATGTTTCGGGGTGATGTTGGTCATGATTTTGTCATTACTGAAGCTTGAAGGTGATCAGTAGTTATATCTGCCAATTCAAGTGACGCTTGATACTAACAGGACTGAATTATGAATTATTCTAATGCGCTTCTGTGTAAATAGATAAATTTGGAAAGGAGGGTAAAAGAAGTTAGGGGAAAGAAGATTAAAGGTTTATAAGGAAACAATGAAATTATTGTTTTTGTGAGCTTGTTCAAAACTTTCAAAATTGTTATTGTTTTTTTCTCTTGTTGCATATCAGTTAATGCAAATAAGTAGCAATGATTCGTTCACCTACACATCATAATGATTCGATTCACATATTTCATTCATTTTCTAGCTGCATGAGTTTCACATTTGTTTTGTTTTCTGTACACTGTGCATCAATAGAGTGTAATTTTGTTATACAGCTTCACATCAGCCGTTGTAAATATATTTTTCAAGGGACACTGGTGCAAATTTCCTTTTAGATTTTACAGGTCTATTGGAGTGCAATTTACTACGACTAATTAGTCTGTGATTGTTGAACTGATGTATTCTATTAGTAGTCGATTAGTATATTTTTGTCTTATGAGAATTGCAAGTGCATAAGCACGAAAGGTTTTGCAACATTGTAAGACTTGAGAGGAATTTCAGAATAAAACAGCTTATGCATGAGCAAGCATTTGCTATGAACTGCTCTTTGTTTTTAATGCTAGGAAAAAAGCTACAACTCCCATAGGGAATATGGCAGCATACTTTATACACCCTGAATAGTCCAGCGTTTCAAGTGCACATGCATGGCAATGTGTGGAAAAGGATAAGAAGGGCAGTTGAGAGAAACTACTAATGGGAAAATTAACTCAGAGGTATAGTCCATTCATTGTTGTTTATTCTTAATGCTTCCTAAGAATGAAAACACCATCACTTTAGATCACATCTGTATACAGCTTTGCCATTGCAATATGAAGGGTACAAACAAATGCTGTAAATATTACAGCGGACATAGCAACTGTGCAATGACATCAATTGGCTGATTTGACTTGAAATTGATTATGCAACAGGCTTAACAATTGACAACACAGTGTAGATTGACATTCTACTTTAAATATAACTGAATACAAAATCACTTGTGTATTGTGCTAAATGGCACAACAAATTTTTTAGCTTTTACTCTACAAGAATCACATCATTTTGTAAGAATCCTGCCAATCGTAAATTAATGTCTGAAATGAGAATACATAATGAAAGCAGCAACATCAATAAACAGATTTAAAAACTAAAGAAAAAAAATGCAGAAGACAAAAAGTGTTAAATTAAAGAGACAACTGGAGACAATGGTCGGTAGCAGGTTTGCACAGCAATTAGAACTTAAGAGTAAAGCTTGGAACAACTGGGCGGACTAACTGGAGGTAACATGATCACACAAAGCCTTGAAAAATTCAGGTGATTATGATTGTGATCATTATCAGTTTCACCAACCAGAATATCACAGACAAGTAATTAATTTATGAGTACATCAGTACACAATCTAATCCTATTATGAGAACATGTCTTAATACATAACAATTAATTTACTTTCTGAGGGTTCACATTATTCTTGAACACCTTGGAAGCTCATAGTTTGAGATATATTCAGAATTCACTGAGTGACATATGCCAATAAAGTTCAGAGTTTTTAACAACACTTTCATGCAACAACACTAATGAAACAATCAATTTTTTTAAACAAATTAACAATCAGTTAGAAATAGCCTTAAATCAATAATGCTGCTATAAACACAGCAGAAATTAATGAGTCATATTTACTACATTGCAACTTGCTTACCTTAGTAAGATATATACACACTGTACAGTAAATTTATTGATATTTGTACACAAATCTCTTTCATATATACAAAGATCAATTTAGATATGTCATAGTGACATTTAACAACAGTTCATATTAATTTTAAAGAGAACTAACAAGAATCTACACCTTAAAATTAGGAAAACGTAAGAAACAAATCATTATTATTAAATTCCATAACAAAATAAAAACTTTCCATCCAAAATAGACTTGGAGACAATTTTTCCTGTCATTGTGGAAAAGTTTTGCTTATGGCCTTCTCAAGTGATAATAACTTAATCATACTTGTCATTTGATAGACACATCAAAGAGCACTTAGATCTTCCTTCAGCCATTGTGGTACAACATGATTTCCCAATCGTTTGAAAAGTTTCAGAAGGGCTGTGTTGTGTGACAAGTAGTACCGCTGCAAGAAAAGGAACAAAGGAAAGATAAAATGATAATGTGGGTGATTAAGTTCTTTTTGTTTTGTTTTTTAAGTTAATATATACCTGCAGTAGTTTGTAAGATCGTTCTTCCATTGGGGGGTATTGACGTCCTTTACTTCGGCCCAAACACTTGGTATGATCAGAACTTACTACTTGGCAATAAAAACCTTTCTTCGAATCATACCTGAAAAAAAATCAGAGGTGGAAAGTATGAGATCTCCTCATCGCTCTATCACATTAAATCTTTAAGGACATCTAGAATATAATATTATACCTAAGATGTTTTGAATAATCGAAGGGTGGGGTAAGTTTCAAAAACCGCTGCAGCTCATTCATAACTCCTATAGGATTGTTACGAAGTTGTTCACCGTCTACTATGAGTAGTTGTTGAGGGGGATAATAAGAAAGCCATCTCTCCAAATGTTGAGAGTATTTACCAGGGTTCAGACACCTGCAAATTTGAAAGAAGAAAGTTGATGATGTTTCTCCTGTTTTCTGGTAGTGACAATAAAATCTACTTGCACACTATACAGTACCTGTTCCTCAATTCCCTTAGAGTTTTAGGAGCAGTGTCTGTTGCTGTAATGACTTGATGAAATGAGTAATTGAGTGCAATTTCGTCGCCATGCGCCCGCATGTGTTGGTACCATGAATAGGCGCGACGAGCAGGAGAAATAAGAATGGTGACCAGTTTGGCATGAGGGAGTAAAGCATGTGCACGTCGAGGAACAAGGTCTCCATCAAAGTAGGTTGCACTTTTCTCAAACAAATAACGAGAAGTGGAATTTGTTGGTGTTGGGAAAAAGCTCATATACCTATTTAAGGTGCAGAAACAAGAAACAAAGAATTACTTTGTGAATAACAAGAGGCATATTATAAGAACAGCACAGGTACCGACCAATCCAGTCCCCGATAATAATTTTTTCCATTGAAAAACTGAATTTCTTCAAAAGTGTCTTGGCTAGGAAAGTTGGATGATACTTCAGGATGCATTGACAAAAATGTATATAATGCTGTTGTACCAGTTTTTTGGGGACCAATCACCAGAAATCGGGGTAATTGTTCACATGTTTTATTGCGGGACCAAATTTTTTCATGCCTCATGTCGTCACAGGGATTCTGCATGAACGAAAGAAATGCATTCAATAATGAGTAATTTCCATCATAATGGGTTGATGAACAGCATACATGTATTAAGAAAAAATTTACTTACTCCCCAAACAGGATTTGCTTCCTCTGGATACATTTGGAAGTATTTCTCTGCTAGTTGAACTGGAGGAACAGATATCAACCGCAGATTGGTCCAACATTGTACAAATTTAATGACAGACTCAAAAGTATACAATGCTAGGCGGTCATTCCCATAGTTTGACATATGCGTCATAAAGATATTCATCTGAAATAATAATAAAAAGTTCAGTTTGGAATGAATCAGGTGTTGTTTGAAGGTGCAAAAGATAACATTTAAGGGGAAAGTGTCAGTACTTACAGGATTGTAGACTATTGTCTGGAAAAGTTCACCTCCTTGAATAGATTCATCCAATTTTTCTCTGCCCCCAGGATATCTTTCAATAAAAATTGTATGAGTAAACAAACCACATGTTTGTCTTGGTAATACCTGTGATAAAATGGTCAGATAAGATGATCCTCTAGTCCAAGTATAGAATAATAATGGTGTAGCTTTGTGACTTTTACGAAGATTCAAACAAACCAACCATGATGTTACGGTGTATGAAACCCCTTCGAAGGCGAGCCGGGCGCAAATGAGGATATTCTTCCGTAGACGTCACTCTCACATTCCATACACGTTTCCATGCCGCATAAAGAGGTTCATGCACTGGATAAACGCCGGAGTGGTGTGGGGAAACAGAATATCCAGTATCTGTTGGTATTCCATGCTCCTGAAAGGATTATTTGGAATGTATAAACTCCTTCTCTAGTCAATGACACAAATTTGAGGCAGTCAAATTTCAAGTCCTTTGGCCTTACCTTTGCAAAGTTTTTATTCAACATCATGTCTGTGGCCAGGAGAGTGCCATTATCATAGAGATGTGGTTGTTGATGGTTCCACATGTGACTAAACCACGTGAACTTATCAACATTTTCTAGAAAAAAAATAAGTTTAAACACAATATTAAAACATATTTTACAGGTTAAAGATAATGACATTGGAATTGGGAGACCAACTTACCAAGTAGCATGTCATCTCCTTGGTTTTCTTCTGGAGCTCCATGGTGAAAATATTTTCCGGAAAAGCCCAAATTGAATCGAAATCCTGGTACCATTTGCTGGATTCGAGTTTGACTCTTGAGAAGTGCATGAACATCGTCTTTTAAGAGCCGAGTGCCACGCTCCCCCACAAATATATCATCTATATCTACAAGAAGGAACCTTTGAAGACTTACACTCAACTGTCCATGAGATAAATAGGACAGAGAGTCAAGGAAAAGAAGTTTGTGGAGCCAGAAACGAAGACCTGCTCCAAACAGTATTCTTTGTATGCCATCAATTGATCCATGGTCCTGAAAGCAATAGAATACGATGAAATGAAAAGGTGAACAAACAACTGACAATAACAACTTAGTTTAGTAAGGAGACAAACCTGCACAATGGTGGTAAGAGGAGTCTTATCCTGACCACCCGGACCATCTCTTAATGCCCAAGCAAGGGGCTCGTATGTAGAGTGGTTGGGATGAAACACTGTCCAATCTTCACCAGGCAGTTGACCCCAGGCACTTTCACCAGCTCGCGTCAATCTCAGAATAGGTGATGCAGCATTTAAAACAGCATCCTGGATAGAGAGAAACAATAAAAGGAATGAGCCGGAATTCTCGACATCTATAACACCACAGAAATTAGTAAAAGCTACCTTAAGTCGTAGATTTGTATGAATGTATAATGGAAATCCCTTTAACTGCGCACCCACAAGGGTTTCCTCTGAGGCAGGTTGAAAGGCAACCACACCAACACTGTACTCCCGGCAATATTTGTCTATAAGTTCTCGGTTCCACTTATCCATATTCAAATACTTGTTGATGTTCTCAAACACTATAACTCCATACTTTCCCTTATCTAAATTTGTGAGAACTGGAAGGGATTTTCCAGCCACTTCTACTTTGTACCTAAAAAGAAAACAGATGGGAAAAAAAGGAATAAGTTAACAAATTTGTTACCGAATTTATTCGTTTTAAAAACTAGGTGAAGACGCACTTTATCCTGTTGTACACTAGAAGTTCTGCAATTTCTCTTCCAAGGCGTGAGTAAGTTGTTTCAACAAAAACTAGAACTTTAGCATCTATTCTCAAACGAGCCGCAGAGCGATGATCATGGGCTGGAGTTGGTATCCGAGATGGGCCCCCAGCCACAGAGCAGCGAATGGCAGGCTCTGGCCTTGTGTCACGCCTAATGAGACTGACAAATACAATGTACCATTTTAATACACTGACACGTTAAAGAAGGCAGACACACAAATACTACAAATTGCTTCCTACCTGGAAAAGGGATGATTGCCAAGGTAATGGGTGTAGTAAAGGATGGAGATAGTTGAGAGTAGAACAAGAGCAGCGACACAGCGCTTCACAGTGACAAGTCTGGTGAGACAAGCTAAACGGGAAGACTGACGCGCTAGTGAAGAGCTGCTCCCTCCAACATGAGAACCAGGCAACAGCAACGCTGCCTCGCTGTTCCCACCGACTCTGATTGAGCCTCCCAGCTTCTTCCGACTTTCAGATGAAAGCATCTTCATATTAAAATTATTGTCTTCCACAGACACACACACTCGCGCGCACACACACACACACACTCACACACACACTTTGAGTCTTTCTAATAAAAATGGCTTTTGACACACTTCATCCGTACTATGGCACTTGAATGCACATTTCTTTGCAATGAAGACAGTCACACAGGGATCAGACTACTGGCACATCAGCAGGCCGTTTCTTTTTATCTGTCGATCTTGGCATCTTGACGCCATTTGGTGTGCTTCCTCTGAGTGTTGACCAGCTTTGGGGGAGGCATGGTGGCTCACTTCAGCAAATACTTCACTCTTCGCCTTGGGCATCTCACATGAATGCACCCTCTCACACCAGGGCCACTGGAGTACACAGCAACACCTGGAACAAACACAAATTCTGTAAGGTTTTGGCGGCAAGACGAAGGAGAAATATGGCAAAGTTTAACTTGGACAGGACAGAATGTCGACAAGGGGAAGATCGCGCGAAAGAAGTGCTGCAGACCTACATCGAAGTCATGACAAGGCAAGGAGGGATGGGGAATGCCACGGCCTGGACCGCGTGTATTGGAGGTACTCGTCCCTGTCCAACCCCAGACGAGGTTCCTGCCTGAGCGCAGGCACTACACGGTACAGCACCACGCGGGGGCGGAGGCGACCGTGCGCCCGGCCGGCCGGCAGACCAAACACTGGAGCACGAACGGACGGGACGGGACTGGACGGACAGCAGCGTAGTGGCGGCAGGGCTGGGCCTGGCTGGGCGGAGCGCGGCGCGGCACGCACGCCGGAGCCCCCTCCCCTCCCCGCCACACCGCACTACCGCACCCGAACGCTCCGCGCTCCAGTCGTCAGTCGACAAGACGCCGCCAAGCGCCGCCGGCCGCCAGCCAGCCCGTGTACCCCCTTCCAACAAGGGGGCGTCGTGCACAGGGCGCCAGCGCGCAGCGTGCGCCGGCCAGCGGCTGCAGCAGCAGCCAGTGCCGTGGTCCACGTAGGTGCAGCATGCAGCACTAGTGCAGCGAGGTGCAGCCTGGCAGGAAAACGAAGGCCAACCTGCGCTCCCTTCCGTTAGTAGCTTGGCGCCATGACGCTACAGCCCCACGGGGCCAAAAAATGTCCCGCAAAGCGCGTTAATTTATTACCAAGTTGCGTATGCAACCACGGCGTTTGCTGTGAACTAGTTCACGGCGTTCCTGTGTTCTCAGTTACAGTGTTCACTGTGATCTGGCCACAGTAAACGCCGTGAATTGGAGCCTGATTTCAGTACGTCGGTGCTCCGGCGTCATCCTCACAGTGTTTACTGGGGACCAGATCACAGTGAACACCCCGAACAAAATCACAGTGAATCCCGTGAGCAGATCACAGTAAACGCTGTGAATTGACTCAGTGAAAACTGGTAATAAATTAACGGCATTTACAGGACATTTTTTGGGAGAGTGCCACGCGGGGGCGGAGGCGACCGTGCGCCCGGCCGGCCGGCAGACCAAACACTGGAGCACGAACGGACGGGACGGGACGGGACGGACAGCAGCGTAGTGGCGGCAGGGCTGGGCCTGGCTGGGCGGAGCGCGGCGCGGCACGCACGCCGGAGCCCCCTCCCCTCCCCGCCACACCGCACTACCGCACCGCGTGCCGCTCCGCGCTCCGCGTACGTGCCGACAAGCAGGCTGATTCCGAGAGTCGTCTTCGTCGCTCTGTCTCTCTCGCACTCATGGGCGTCCCTTATAGTGCGAGAGAGACGGAGCGACGAAGACGACTCTGGGAATCAGCCTAAAGGGACGCCCCAGCGCCGCCGAGCGCCGCCCAGCCAGGCGCCAGGTACTCCCCCTTCCAACAAGGGGGCGTCGTGCACAGGGCGCCAGCGCGCAGCGTGCGTCGGCCAGCGGCTGCAGCAGCAGCCAGTGCCGTGGTCCCCGTAGGTGCAGCATGCAGCACTAGTGCAGCGAGGTGCAGCCTGGCAGGACAAAGGACAAGGACTCTACCTGCAGCCCTTCCAGTGTGGGGCCGTGAGGCGCCACTCCGCCGCTCCCCAGCGGGGCCAGCAGGGCAAAAGGCAGCAGGCGGGCAGCGTCAGCGACGCACCCACCAGCCCGTTTCCGAGGAATCGTTTCGTCGCTCTGTCTCTCTCGCACCCGCACGGGACGCCCAGTGAGTGCGACAGAGACAGACGTCCAGCTTCCGGTACTTCCGGTTGGCGGGACAGGACGAGTGGATCGCCTGGTCGACTTGGCGGCGCGGGCCCGCTCGCCCCGCCACGGCCCCCAAAGGGGCTTCAATATATCCAGCGAGAGCGGTTCGAAGACGCCGTCGTCCTGACGGACAGCTTGTCCGCCGTGAAGGCGCTAAACAATCCCCACCCTACAGCCGCCACCCCCGAAGAGTTGGTGGTCGCGCGCCGCGACGCGGTGGCGCTCATGAAGTCTGGCGTCCGCATCGCTATAGCCTGGGTCCCTGCACACAAGGGCGTGGCCCCCAATGAAGCGGCGGACGCCGCGGCCAACTTGGCACGGACACAGGGTGATATCACTGTCCTAAATCTCCCCCCCCAGGCCTTCCACGGACAGCAAAAAGATGCCGCCTGGACAAGATGGGCTGAGGCCTGGAACGCCAGCCCCATCGGTCGCCACCTTCACGGCCTAGAACCGCGTCCCCCGCGCCAGCCGTGGTACAGGAGGGCGCAGAGCAGCCGCAGGACCTTGAGCGCGATGATCCGCCTCCGAATCGGCCACGCGGCCACCCCCGCGCACTTGCACCGCTGCGCCGGGACCGAGTCGCCCCGGTGTCCCCGCTGCGGCGGGACACGCCGGCGCAAAGAAACTTGCTGGAGATTGCGCCTTCGGGGGTTCGTATCGCGCTCGGGGGCGGAGGGGCGAGGAGGCCGGCATCTCCCCGACCTTCCTTCTAGCTGCAAAATCCGGCCCGAGCTCTCCGAGCTCTCGAGGGTTTCCTCAGGGAAAACCCCCATATCCAACTTTAAATGTTCCCGCGCACACAGCACACAGCGCCTTCCGCCCCGTCCCGTCGCTGCCCCGGGCCACTATGCGCTAAGCGCGGAGGCCGGACAAAAACCGAGAGTCTCTCTCTCTCTCTCTCCCGCCACGGCCCTCCGCACTCCGCGCAGCAAAGCACGCCTCTCACTACAAAGGCCCGCTAACACGCATTCATATTCAAACCCCGGTCCCCCTCGCCATGGCCATGCCATGGCATCGCCAGGGGGACCCAATGGAGGGAGGCCGACGGGGACGGGGGGGACCCAACGGTGCAAAGTTTGCTGTACCGCCCTCGACGTCGACGCCCTCCAGGCCGTCCCGTCCCCTGTCTGCGGCCCACTGTGCCCTGGCGGCCCCAAGGGCTGCCCCCGGCCCTTGGTCCATTCTTGCGCCCGATTCCAAAGGCTCGTTTCGTCACTCCGTCTCTCTCGCCCCCGACGGGTCGCCCTAGGGGTGCGAGAGAGACAGAGCGGCATTTGGCGGCTGGTCAAACTTGGCCTTGGTCGCGTTGGCGGTATTGTCGCGGGTGGTGAAGGGATAGGGCGGGGTCCGGCACAGACCAAGTCCACCCAAGTCTGCCCCACCACCGAGGCGTCGACCACCACTGCAAAACAAACCGGACCAAACCGTGTGTTTTTTTCGTCCTTGTTTTTTTTTTTCGGACCACACGCCGAGCGACACAGTGTTCCGCAAACGGCTTAGGCCCAGCGCAGGGCTAGCGAGCGGCTGGGCGGCAGGGCCGGCGCGGGCCTCCAACGCACATACAGCTGTTTGTTCAAGACACACGGGGCGACGCGACGCGACGTGGACGACATGGACGATAATCCTAGGACCACGCCCTCCCCTCCACTCCGCCCGTCCGCGGCGCAGCGCGGCGCGCAGAGGGAAGGACAAGTCGGTGGACGCCAAGAGAAAGTTACGAAAACGGTGCAAACGTAGTACGCACTGCCAAACTAGACAAAGACAGAAAGAAGACATCGAGTGGAGTGAAAGGTGACTGAAGAAATGCCGGTTCGAAATTGACCGGCTCGTTTACTGGAAGTTTGGAGCTCGCAAGGCCCGAACTCCCAACTCCAACCGTACGTACGCACACCGGACCGGGCGTGTTAACCCCGGTAGAAAAGGGGGGGGGGGCGATTCACAATACGCATTGTCAACAAACAACTATTCGTCTCTGCGCCGCAAGAACAAAAAGCGAGTTCGCGCAGACGCGCTCGCAATACGCAATACAATCGGCATTCCCAACGTGGAGCCAGAGGCACGGCGCGGACGCCCGGGGGGGGGGGGGGGGTACACACAAAGTCGCTCCACAACACGTATCAGGAAGATGTCGCCAAGTATCGCCTCGCCCCTCCTCCCCTCCCCCCAACTGTCAAAAAGAGACCAGCAATAGTTAGCGACAGGCTCCGCGCCCCGCGCCCAGGTACAGTACAGAGAGCGGCGGCCGCCAGAGACCCCGATGAGTCGGTTCGTCGCTGTCTTCCTCGCACCCACGCCTCCGTGCGACGCATGAGGGCGACAGAGACAGAGGGGCGAAGAGACTCTCCGGCACAACACTAGTGCACAGTGCACTGCGTTTCGCGATCATCACCGTCCGCGGCCCCGCTGCGGGCAGTGTAGCAGCTCACGAGCGCAGACCCCGCCAGCCAGCCAGCCAGCCAAGGGCCGGCCGAGGGCCGAGGCAACCCGATTCCCCCTAGTAATGATGTGTTTGACCCCCACGTCACTGCGGGACGGCCCCTACGGATACTCCGCCCGACCTATAGCTACTTTGCGATATCCGCGTCCATCCGCACCTCCGGGCCGGGGGGCAAGGGGGCCGGCGATAAATCTCAGCCCTGGCGCCCTGGCCCGGCCCCGGCCGACAGCACCGAGGTTATCGAATATTCCGCAGCCAAGGCGCGGCGGCGCGGCGCGGCATGATTAATAGATGGCCGAAAATCCGGAAGTCCGGAGCGGAAATACGAAAAAGAAAACGACCCAAAGTGAAATGCGCTGGTGGGCCGTGGCCGTGGCGGCCGCGGGGGCGGTAAAGCGAGAGCACATTCGCGTTGAAGGGCGAGATGCGGAAAATGGCGGGGCCGCGGAAAATGACGGCCGGGCCTTTGTTTCGATGAAATCGGAAGTAAGCGAGGGGAGGGGGAGGAGGGATACGACCGTGGGCACCGCGGCATCGGGCAGTGTACACGCGGTTCACGCCAAACAGCTGTGTTCGACGGCACGGTGAACATCGCCGCAGAGGGAGAGAAAAGGGAAGGCATGCCAACACGCCACGCAGTCCAAGTCCGTGCGGCGTGCGGGCTTTCCGCCGGGCTTTCCAACGCGAGCGCGATCTTGATGAGGGGAGGAGGGACGTCCCACCCCCACCCCTGCAGGCTGGTTCCGAACAGCG